GTTGATTAAATCTTACGACGATCAAGTTGGAACGAAACAGAAACGATACTTTACAAAGGATATAGATCCTTTACAAATGTCTGTAAACTTGGACTTTGAATTATCAACAATTTTCTGCACTTTGTTTTCTTTTCTTATCGTGTATACATACAGGGTGTACGGCCACCCCTAGGAAAAATTTTAATGGGGGATTCTGGAGGCCAAAATAAGACGAAAATCAAGAATATCAATTTATTGATGGAGTCTTCGTTAAAAAGTTATTAACAATTAAATTTAAAAATTTCAAATCGTTGTGGAAAAATTATTTTCGGTTGCGGAGGTCAATTACAATCATTTTTGGTGAATAGATATACCTTCGAAATCCTATCCACTTTCGAGAAAAAAAATCGAGTAGGTATTGAACTTTTTACATGAAATTAAAATATATAAAATCACACTAAAAAAATTATAGTTAGTTGCAGGGGTCAATTATAATCAATTTTTGTCATTAGACATACCCCCGAAATCCTACCCACTTTCGAGAAAAAAATTCCTTACCGAAAATCTAATTACGTTAAAAAAAAAAATTTCAAATCGTTGTGAAAAAATTATTTTCGGTTGCGGCGATCAATTACAGTTATTTTTGGTAAATAGACATACCCCCGAAATCTTGCGCATTTTCGAGAAAAAAATAGAGAAGATGTGAAATTATTCGACAAAATTAAAAAATTACAAATCATTGTAGAAAAATTATTGTTGGATGCGGGATTCAATTACAGTCATTTTTGGTGAATAGACATACCCCCGAAATCTTGCGCATTTTCGAGAAAAAAAATCGAGTAGGTATTGAACTTTTTAGATGAAATTAAAATATATAAAATCACACTAAAAAAATTATAGTTAGTTGCAGGGGTCAATTATAATCAATTTTTGTCATTAGACATACCCCCGAAATCCTACGCACTTTCGAGAAAAAAATTCCTCACCGAAAATCTAATTAGGTGCCTTTTTTCGACGAAAAAAAAAAATTTCAAATCGTTCTGAAAAAATTATTTTCGATTGCAGGAGTCGATTACAATCATTTTTTATCATTACACATACCTCCGAAATCCTACTCATTTTCTAGAAAAAAATTCGAGAAGTTGTGAAATTTTTCGACGGAAAAAAAAAATTACAAATCATTGTAGAAAAATTATTGTCGGTTACAAGGGTCGATTACAATCAGTTTTTGTCATTAGACATGCCCCCGAAATCTTGCGCATTTTCGAGAAAAAAAATTCAAAACTGGCGGAACTTTAAACGTTAATAACTTTTTAACGAAGCCACCATCAACAAATTGGTATTCTTGATTTTTGTCTTATTTTGGCCTCTAGAATCCCCCGTTAAAATTTTTCCCAGGGTATAATAAAATTCTGTTCATGAAATGTGTTGATAATATTATACCGATGCTGACGCTAAGGTCGATCCTGACAGCATGTACGTCATGTATCGTACAGTTTTAAATATTGGCAAAAAGCATTTACGTCAACAGATAAACCATATTACAATTCAGTTTTTATTTTTTTTTTCTGGCGAACATGTGTATTTACAAATAATTTAAACCGCTGAAACACGAATTTACTAAAACTTCTATAACTCCTACAATATGGAGACATAATAACATGAAATTTTTTAAATAGTACTCATCTTTCTTGGAAGAACAAATTCTAACTAGCTCTTGATTGTAAACCTTCTTTTCAGTATGTAAATAATTTCGTTGTATTAAAAATTAAAAACACAATGCGTACATGTGTATTTATAAATAATTTAAACCGCTGAAACACGACTTTACTAAAACTTCTATGACTCCTACAATATGGAGACTGATACCATGAAATTTTTGTAAATAGTACTCGTCTTTCTTGAGAGAAGAAATTCTAATTAGCTCTTGATTGTAAACCTTCTTTTCATTATATAAATAGTTTCGTTGTATTAAAAATTAAAAAGACAATACGTACATGGTAATTACAGGTATTTTACAGTACAGGAGTAAAACATATTTACAGTACGCCGCGATATAAACAGAAATGTAAAATTTGTTGTATTGTCTTTAGCACGTCTTTCAGTCTTTTAATTTTCTCAGCGCAACACATCGGTTAAGCAAACTAGTCAATTATTTTTATTATGCAGCCATTCTCTGTTCCTTTGGCACAGTAGAACCTCCATTATACAAACTTCCGTTATTCCACCAAGAATTCTACTATCTGAACGTTCTGTTATCCAAGCAAAACACGTCCTTGCAGTGTATCACTTCTCCTATCGAAATATTCTCCCATAAAGGTAAAAATACTGCAAGGATTTTTCGTACAAATAATAACAACGTTCGAGCGACACGATGGCAATTGTAATACATCGAAGAACGAAAATGAAAAGTTCGAAGTCGATGAGGTTCAATGGTTAAAAAAAATGAATTGATTATTTAACAATTTCTGTATTCCAGTTAATTCCGGGGCGTTATACGCCGCGTTCCAGTGTTTTATTTTTTATCGTAAAATAACACCGCGTTCGTAAAACGTATTCGGAATCGCGCATAAATTGTTTCCACTCGCGCGCGTATTTTATCGTCGAAACTCGGTCGTTCGGTATCTGAAACGCGTTTTCGCCCGGCGTTCGAGTCGCGTAACGCGTATTTTCGAATAGATTCGCCGACGATCGGCCGAAGACAAGAGTCACCGAACCGGATATTCCGATCGAAAGTAGCGAATAACCGAACAACACCGACGTTCCCATACGGTTTGCCCGCCATCGACCGTTTATCGCGTATCGACGACTCCGGAACCTCGGTACGTCCCGTAAACCACGAATTTCTTATCCACGTAGAGCGATGAAATTCCACGCGCGATCGTGAGAATCCCTGCATTCCAAGCAACACGGTCGCGAAACGCGTTTATAAATAACGGTTCCGATCTACGTCGGTATTACAATAATTACCAATCCACGGTTCGTGTTTAAAAAACTATATTGGTCGATAAAATATACGAAATATAACTTTAAGGAAACTTTTCAAAGTTGACCAACCGATACTTCGTAAATCATATTTAAACAACATTTCAATACACGAATGTTTAAAGTTTATTCGTGGCGAATTATATAATCTTTCGCTATTAAATTATTCGACCAGTCCCAGTAAATGATAATGAATAGATAATTAAACGACGATTATTGGATTCGTAGTATCGACGAATCATTAATGTGAAAATCGAATAAATATTTGTAAACTTTATCGTTTTCTATAATAATGATAATTTTCGAACACTTTCTTCGATGACCTCAAAAACATATAGTTTTCTACTTTGAGTCTTCCACTCTGCCAAGGAACGTTTTAAATATGCGATGCAATAAAACAACGTCACGAACAGAAACTGATCTAACGTTTAATAAATGAAAAAAATTGTGAAAAAACAATTGGTTACGTATATTTTACGTTCGAAACCACGCGTTTGTAAATAACGGTTTTGACGTGTGCACGTTGAAACTATAAAAATTAGACGCGAGTGGTTCGTATTAAACATTACAGAAGTTAAACGCATAAACGAAATATAATTTATATGACGTATGGTAAAACCGTACTAGTTATGTTCGTACATAATGAGTAATCGCCTATTGTATTTTAATAAAAGCACATTGTTTGTAAATATGTGCACTCGCTTGATCGCATAAAGCTTCGCGTATCCATCTACCAAAGTGTGGAAAAAAAAAGTAAACTGAGAATAAACGCTGTTATAAGGCTGCCTAGGTTTCCGATGTTATATCAACAAACCATTAAAGGCAATACCGAGAACAATTTTTGTAAATGTATCCGCGATATCTTTTCCAACGCTCGTCTAATACGGTGTGAAAAGCCAAAGTAAACTAAGAATGCACGCTGTTTATGTGTACAACGAAGAACCAACAAATTATTAAGTACAAACAACTTTTATAGACTATAATATTTCTGTAAACATTCTTGTAGCATTAACATTGTTATACTAGGAACAACTTGTATATAAACGTTCAAGAATTTTGCATTTATTCAGTCCTGCTAATAAGTTTGGCAAATATGATCAATTCCTCGGAATACTTTTACCTTTATCGTTTTCTGTGATAGTGGTAGTTTATAGGTTATGATCCTCGAATACTTTCTTCGAAAAGTGTACAGGTCTCTGCTTCTGTGTCTTTCGTTCCGCCAAGGAACGTTTACAAATACGCGATAAAATGAAAAAACGTAGCGAATAGAAACTAACCCAACGTTTAATAAATGAAAGAACTGTGAAAAACAATTGGCTACGCGTGTTTCGCTGTGGAAATCGCGACGTTCCGAGTTCCATTCGTAACGGCGTGTTTCGCGTGTCGTTTCGCAAAATATCCCCCCTGGGCGTTCGATTTCTTTTATCCCGCGCGGCTGTCGCTCGCTTCTCGAATATTCGTGTCGCGGTGGACGACGATGTCGCTACCTAACACGAGCTGCTATCGAGTTTAACCGAAACCGATAGCCGATCGTAAAACTCGATGAAAACTCCGGTGTATGCGCGACGACCGGGACACACTGTGCCATTCGAATCGAATTACCGTTATTCGCGTCGAATTCGATAATCCACGGATACCCCCGCCCTCTATAATCAACGACGGTGCGAGCGGTAACGCGATTATCATCGCGAACTGACCACTCGCGCCGCTGGTAATCGTCCTCGGGGTAGTTTAAATCCGCCTTTACGCGCGCGCGTGCATCGTTTACAATTTCTCGTGTCGCGTCGTTCGACCTGTTGCCCGCTGGTATTTCCACGCATCGACATTTTCTTCTTTCGCTACCGAGCAACGTGACACCCGGGTGCCTTATTATGAATGAGGTCGACGACTATAAATATTAAGTAACCGTCGCGTACGTATATTACGCTGACACACGCGATACCTTTATCCGTACGACCGATAGATAAACACTCGAATGCACGAAACAACAGTGGTCTCCGCGGGGAAAAAAAATTCATAGAACGGAAAACACTTACGTCTTAACGGTTCGATTCCTTGCGCCCCAGACACGACGATTTTGCGCCTCTTCTTCTCTGGTTGCTTCGATCTTTTTCGGCACGTTGCAACTCCCGGGTACTATCTCGTCCCCTTTCGGTATTTTGATAGGCTGCACGCGATCCGAAACGTTGACAACAAACGGTTCGGTTCTCTCGCGGATCGATACAGCAGGAAGCACACTCGATTTTTATCGAACGTCGTTCAAGATCGAGCCCGTGACATGCGAACGCGATACCCACGAGCTAACCGCCGACAAACGGGCACACAACGTCGGACTTGCGTGAATGAGAAGTCGTCGAGGAACGTGGGAGATCGAGCGAGGTTCGGCTACATCCGAACTGTTCGGGGGTTCGGAGACAACTGAGCCTACCGGCAGACTTTGGAATCGGTGAGCGGTTCGGTTCGCCGACTCAACTTCCCCGGTTCGTGTCAGTCGTGATCGTTGTTTTCTCTGTCTCTCGATACACGTTACACCAAGTGCACGGTACACGCGCGTTCTACCTTCGCGACGAACTCGCTTCTGTTCCTCCTGTTCCTCCTTCTGCTCCTTTTGTTCCTTCTGTCCGTGGCTTTTCTGTATTACTAGCCTCGCCTCGCCGCGCCGCGCCGCGCCGCGCCGTACGCGGAGCCACCGCAGAAGCGGCCACGCACGCACGTGCGTGTCTCGCGACTTTGTTCGCGGCGGCGATGAAAATGGTACAATGAAAATTGTGTTTGCGCACCGCGTCGTTTCGTCCCTCGCAAGGTTACCATTATCCGCGCGCAGCCGTGGCTAACCGTGCTCACCGAATAAAGCACCCGTAGGGTAAACGTACCAATTCAGCTACAACGCCCAAATACTGACCCATAACCTCAATAACAACCTGTAAACCACAATAAATGACAACTTGAACAATGATACCCGATTCTAATGTCCCAATTACATGAACACTTTACGAAACATACAAATTTTGAATAAAAAATCTACATTTTTAGTGACATTATCCCGAATCCACACATTTTTTTCAGGTTTTACGAAAAAGGCTGTATTCCAACGTTGAAATAAATCGAGGAGTTTAAAAAAGCTGCTTCCCCTATTCTTTCAACAAAGAAACATAGTTTTTGGAAACCGCGAAACGCGTAGATCTATTTCGATGTTTATTTGACATAGATTGAACTAATTTTATCTCTATTCTAGTATTAACTTATCTTGAAGTTGATTTATGTCTAGACCGTGCGAGGGTATTTCCATGATTTTTTAGAGGTTATATAAGAACCATTGTCTAGTCGCATAAGCTCTGTGTGTTGGAGCCAATATTTTGATAGGAGATGAGATTATTGCGAAGTCTCAGACATGTAAATTTCCTTTGAAAATATTTATGCATTCGTTTCTGTTCATGACCCCATCAGCGATTACTATATTACCCGCTCCATCCGCGGAAAAACACTATAGGTTGAAGATTCTGTTTATCGAGGCTTTTATTTGGCTTACGCCATACGATTTGTCTGCCATCCGATTGGAAAACATTAAATTTGCATTCATCGGTAAAAATTACCCATTTCCAAGTGTCATGTGTCCATTTAGCGTATCCATTTGCAAATTGCAAACGTCTTCGTCGGTTTGCTTCACTAATAAAGAGTTTCTTTCTAGAAACCTTGCCGTTGTATCTATACCTTCTGAGGACACGTGTCACATTTCGTTGTTAACCTTTTTTTCTTCGTTAGTTTCTATATTATAACGTTCCAAGATGTACTCTATAAAGAATCAGCTATGTTCTCTCGTATCTTATCTCTTAATACAACCTCAAATAAATTAATCAGTTAAATGCTCCTGTATTTGACTGAATATTAGAAATTAAAATTGTAATTTTCCACCGAACGATCCGAATGCTACCAACCTTGTACGATGAGAAACTTGAACGCCTGCACGCGACAACCCTGCACACAAAAACCAGCTGGTAAAAAGAGTATTCGTACACCGTATTGGCATAACAAAAATTGTAGATAAATACTTTTTTTATTTCTCTACCTGTTATTTACTATTTTCTTCTTTACGTTTCATTTAACATTCTTTTTAATCAAATTCTTTTTAATTCTTTATTTACGATGGACTTAACCTCGCGTCAAAAGCTATGTTATCAGCGACAGTGTCGATTGATTGTACTGTTTGACCGACAATCTTGATTTCTTTGACGTGCTCAGAGATCGTGAATTTTGTTGATTTCGAGGCCCAGTTTTGAATTCGTTACGGTGAACGTTGTACCTGGAACAGGATACGGTAAAATCGTTTGTTTTACAACCGTTTTAAGCGTCCGTGCGAAGATTTCGCGTTGTCCATCCCCGAGAATCATCGGAAGAATGTTATGGTTTCTGACCTGGAAAATCCTGTTGCGGGGCAACTTTCTCAACGTACGGCCTTGCCTTTTCTCCACACACAGAAAATTTTCTTCTCGTTTCGTCAGCAACGCGTTAATACGAACGCGCCTTCTGTACCGACCCGGCCAGTGGAAACGCAATTGCGAATAACGAAATAAGCTCGCTTTTTATGAAGTGTTGCAACGAGGATGTTCTCCAGGTGTTCGTAAATAAAATTCAAAGCCCATATGTAAAGTTAAATCCTTGAAGTATCCCTGAGGGACTCTACGATGCCAACAGTATTTTTCCATTGCACAATCATTAGCAGAACCCATCGACACTGATTCTAGAATGATCGTCAATAGCAGCTCTTCCAGCGATACCTTGAAGATGACCACACCTCTATCGAATGTTTTTAAGGGTTTTCTAATCGCAGAATATAAACAAATTTCCTACTTGTTTCGTTCGTATTGTAACCTGGATTGTTCCTTGGATCGTGGATCGATAAACCAACAAATACGCGGAACGATGTTGCAAAATTGGTTTATTATTCGATACATCGATATTTGGACGTCTGGAATAGAAATTTGTCTGAAATTTAACCAAGTAGGCCATGGCTTTGTAGGCCGATCGGTAGATTATGACATCAATACTTTTTACGTAACACCAGTGAACGACAAATACCTAAGTTAGGTTTATATTCAGGATGCACCACCGAATCGATCCATCGTAAAGATTATTCACGTCCAAAGCCGTTTATACGTTCGATTTATCCTGTGAATTGAACTGGGAGTATCCGACCGAAAATTTCCGTTGTTCGAACAAACAAATATTTTTCAACTGTAATAGTAATTATCATTATGAATTACACGTAAACAGTCAAATTCTAAAACTGTGTTTCGTCTTAAAATGTAATTTACGTTAGTATGCAGAGTGTTTTAACGAGAAAAATTTTAACGAGAGATTCTAAAGGCCAAAATAAGACGGAAAACCAGAATATCAATTTCTTAACTGAGGCTTCGTTAAAAAAGTAATTAAAAAAATTAATTAAAAAATTTCAAATCATTCTGCAAAAATTATTTTTGGTTACAGAGGTCGATTACAATCACTTTTGTAGAATACACATACCCCCGAAATCCTAACCATTTTCGAGAAAAAAATTCGTATAGGTAGACCAATTTTTCGGCGAAATTAAAAAATTTCAAATCGTTCTGGAATAATTATTTTTGGTTACACAGGTCGATTACAATCACTTTTGTAGAATACACATACCCCAGAAATCCTAACCATTTTCGAGAAAAAAATTCCTTACCGAAAATCTAATGTGAGGCTTCCCTGACATTTCATGCGAATCTTTAAAATGTCATAACTTCTGAACGGATTGGACGATTTTGATGTTTCAAAATGCAAACAACGCGTATTTTGATGAAGAATAGGTGAAAGTTCTAAAAATATTCGAGAAGCTCTTCCATGACCCTGCAAAATGAGAAAAACGCCATAAAAATGATACACTTTTCAAACAGTCACAACTTCTACAATAGTAAATATATTTCATTGAAATTATGGGGGGAAGTAGAGTTCATAGATACCTACAAAAAAGTATTACACAACTTTTCTGCACGACGTCAAACAAAATTACTAAAAATGGAAAACGAATTTAAAAAAAAGATTGAGAAGGGGATGGTGCCTAATTTTTATGGCGAAAAAAAAAATTTCGAATCATTCTAAAAAAATTATTTCTAGATTCTGGATTCAAATACAACCATTTTTGGTGAATACACATACCCCCGAAATCCTACGCACTTTCGAAAAAAAAATTCAGGAAGGTGGATCAATTTTTCGGCGAAAAATAAAATTTCGAATCGTTCTAAAAAAATTATTTCTAGATTCTGGAGTCAAATACAATCATTTTTGGTGAATAGACATGCCCCCGAAATCCTGCCCACTTTCGAGAAAAAAAATAGAGAAGGTATGAAATTATTTGACAAAATTAAAAAATTACAAATCGTTCTGGAAAAATTATTTTCAGTTGCGGGGGTCAATTACAATCATTTTTGGTGAATAGACATACCCCCTAAATCCTGCGCATTTTCAAGAAAAAAATTCAGTACTGTCGGAACTTTAAACATTAATAACTTCTTAACGAAGCCTCCATCAACAAATTGGTATTCTTGATTTTCTTCTTATTTTGGCCTCTAGAATCCCCCGTTAAAATTTTTCCCAGGGCTGGCCGAACACCCTGTATAATAGTGATAAAATTTAAATTATAGTTGAAATCCAAAATAAGCTTTGAAAATACCTTTACTCGATAAATAAATTTCTACAGTCACGTTGAATTTTTAAAAATCTTTCACCCTGAAAAGAACAATCATAATGTGTTTGTCGCGTTTAAAATTGCATGGAAGTTTAACCTTAAGAAATAGTTTTCTGTTGCAGATATTTTTTTTGTTAGTTTTATAAGAAAGCAAATATCTTCGCAATTTCCCCGCATTGGACGAAGTTATTGTTCAAAGACTACGCAACGAATTTTTCAAACTCTTGTCACTTTTTGTATCAATAAATACTACGATACTTCGGCCTTTATTTTGCAGCATATCGAGCCAGTCGTTCGTCGTTTAAGATTCCCTACGATTCATACATAATTTACAACGAATAACTGAAATTCCTCGTGTAACTTCCTTTTCGTATAGTAATGGAAGAAAGAAGAAAATACCTGCAAACGTATATATTTATTTGTATTCCATTGAATCCACGGAATGTAAATTATATTACGTGAAATTTATATTGTTGAATACATCGCAGTTTTATTTACTTTTTTTTTCTTCAAACTGCAGACACGATACCAAGCTAGACATTACATTTAGTATTCTTCGTACGCTCATCATATAACTGATTGCAATTTTATTACTTCCGATAGTTCGGTAATCATTATCTAGGAACACGTTAAATACATAAAATACTCGATATACTTACTCATCCAATGTGTCTCCAATGTTTTTTTTTTCTTCAACGTGGTGTACTAACGCTGGTACGTTACGAAGACTCGATTCCTGAAAGCTGAACAAATATGGAGTCTGAAAATAGTACCCCATTGAGTAAAGAACGAGTCTGCGTTTATGAAACTACGTTTAAAGTTCATTATCGATACTATTTACGTGGTATATAAAAATATTAAAAAAGAGATTAGAAACTAAAAATATGAAAGTGTCTGAAATATTTTAATACCGTAAACGCAAGAACTATCTACAGATGACTCCAATAAACATATACGAATATGTATACATAATATTACGTTTGACAATTAAAGCAGACGCTTCGTTAAAAATATTTTTTATTTTTGTATGCCCATTATGAGGTAGGTTACAGCTTCGTATAAGACAATTTAATTGCTGAAGTCTATAAACGATCTGCAATATAAAAGTATATTAAAAAACAAAAAGATAGATAGAAAAATAAATTCCTGTAAAAGAATACATTATCACGCTCATTTCTTCATCATATCGAGCAACTGTTTGTAGACTAATCTGGGAGTATCCGTACCCCATACGTAATCTACATGATTGAACTTCTTATATGGTATTATGTACATAGTTGGTTCGCTCGGTAACTCGTTGGCCAGTCTCATTACGTCCTGAAAATTAAATTCACGTTGTAAGTGGAATGCAATTGAAAAATATACCGAGGACTCTATAAAACACGTACAGTGGTACTGGACATCCAATCATTTTGAGCGTAAATTAACGTGATCGGTATCGCGATCTTTGACAAGTTATAACTAGGAGGCTCGGTGCTATTATAAATCTCAATATTTTTTTTTCCGCCATAGTCATATTGCCTAAAGTATCCCGACGATATTTCTTGGCTGTAATGGACCAAAGTCTTGATAGACGTGCCAGCAGGCATATGGTTCAAAATCGTGGGCAATAACGTCTGCATAAAACCAAAATTTAAAGAAAAGTTACAACAGTAATACCATCAAGAAGCAAAACTTTTTCTTTTTTTTTATACAGAAACATTGAATAACATATAATATTTCAATTGAAATTTTATGTACGTTCAATTTTTTTGGAAAAATTGCTTAATTTTTGCACTCACTGTATTAAATAATGGCGCATCGATACCGACAGCAAGAAGTATCAAATTCGCGCAAATTTTGTCGCGAATCGAATCAAAGTAACAGAAATATTTTGCTAGAAACTTCGTGATAAAATTCTGTGGAAGGATCTCGCCCTTACCAAACAGGCTGCTGATTCTCTAAAAATTAAATTAGTAAAGTTTTACTGAAAGTTATCAGATCCAGAACCATTCAAAATTTATACGCTGTTCGTAGTAATTGGAAGATTAATTATTCAAATAATCTTATCGTTCGCCATAGTGTCCAGTATTCTATGGATTTCAGCGCCATATGTAACGTTAAGTAAATTTTAATTTGCAAAAAAAAATCGTACTCGTACATGAAAAATATTAATGTTATGTTATAGATTAATAGAAAATAAAAATAGAAAATATTAATGTCTATGTTATAGATTAATAGAAAATAAAAACAGAAAATATTAATGTGTATGTTATAGATAGATAATAATGTTAAAAGTCAGACGAGATCGATATCTTCTTTATGGTGGAAAGATTCCAGATTTCCTTTGGAAACCCGCTACTGATACAAAGAAGATGCTCATTGAATATTTAATTTTTCGTTCGACACTTATATTAAGACGTACTGTATAATATATTTCTCATGTTTGATATTTGGCTCGTTGAATTATCTAGAGACGCGATCTTCCAATTAGTGGGATAACGTTACGATGATAATTTTTACGGTGTAACAGGTATTCGGTTTACCTTGATGGTGTTTCGAAACGGAGCTAAGTATCGCGCGGGACTTTTCAAATGCTTCATGAAGACGACCGGGGCAAGACTATACGCCGAACGCAATAGATTTACAACTTGAGGCCGTTCGCTGGCCATTACGTAAAAGCATGTCGTGCCCATCGAATATCCAATATACGCGGTTAAAGTATCATTCTTCAAATCGGCGATGTAGGTGATTATGGCTGGTAAGTCGTAAACGCCTGATTCGTGCCAGCTAAAGATACAATTACAATACATTATCGTTGGTCGTACAGTAGTTATCACGAAAGTAAATCGTTTGTACACAAAATGGGAATCGTCCGTTTCCTAGAAACGTAATTAAAGATACACGAATCAAAAGAGATATACGCGTTACGCGTCGCTACTTTTTCGTACCGCTGTTGCATGCATCGTACACACTTTTTCCAAATACCTGAAATCCCAAAATTTACGGTCACTGTTGGACAAGGAAATATGTGCCCTCGAGTAGGTATTGCCACGCAAATTTCCAAGCCATACATCGTAACCCTGGTCAGCTAATAGGTAAGCTACAATAGCAAAACGCGCTAATAGTACATGATACTGATTAATCTAAGCATGCAAGTGTCAAAGACGCGTTTTATACGAACAAATTTCGTCTTGCAGTGCACTTTAACAGGTAAACGACGTTGGAAAGAAAATTAGTAAGTGGACGAAGAGTTAATCTTACAGTAATCGAGAAGAAGAAAAGCCTGCTCCATTAAACAAATCTATCAAGGCTTGTTTGAGTTTTCCAAGAAATATATATATATACATATAATACAAGCTGGAAAATCGAGGAATGAGAAAAGTAATATTTTTTTATGAATCTAAAATTAATCAAAAATTTAATCTTTAATAATGGACGATCTTGATATTGAAAGGAGAAAGACGAGTCTCTGTTAAGAAGAGTTAATTTTACAGTAATCGAGAAGAAAAGCCTGCTCCATTAAACAAATCTATCAAGGCTTGTTTGAGTTTTCCAAGAAATATATATGTACATATAATACAAGCTGGAAAATCGAGGAATGAAAAAAGTAATATTTTTTTTATGAATTTAAAATTAATCAATTTAATCGGATGGACGATCTTGATGTTTCTTCAATGGCCGCACGTTTCACGCGAGAACTGTTCTCCCCTAAACTGAATAATTACCAAAGCTGTAATAACGCTTCAATGGCCGCACGTTTCGCGCGAAAACTGTTTCTCCCCTAAACCGACTAATTACCAAAGCTGTGATACTTTAACTCGTAAGGATAGTTCACAGGATTTCTGTACCGAGAGCTTTGCCTTTTCCAAGCACAACCCATTCCGCCGAGGTGCCGAATATACCATGCTGCACGTAGATCGCAGGTGCACCGGACTTGCCTGGAATTCGGTGCACCGTCAGGAGATATCCATCTTCCGTTTGTACAACATGAGCTTCGGCCGGATAACCATTCTTTCTTATCAGTTGCAACTACAACAATAAACAGACGTTAATCATTCATCGGGCGAATATAAAATACGCTGGTGTAATTTATTTGCGCTTGACAGTTTATAGATGTGCTGTATGTGCCAAAATTACTAAAAATTATACTAACGCGTAGTCTTCTTTGGTAGCGTCTTATTCACGTTATAAAAATTTACTTTATTTAACACGAAGATGTTAAAACTTATACTTGTGCTACGTAATGTAATATTGATTAATAATATTAATAATTGATAATTAATACTGATTAAATTTATACTATTTATACGCTTTATACTATTATTATACACTTTAGATAAGTGTGGAATGTAGGCTGACAGATAGCATTTGTTTCTATTCTTACGAGGACTTCTGAAAATTCTAATAACCATGTCGTGAAAGAAACAATCGAAGTGTTCACATGGATAGCCTTGCTTGTTTATTCCCGCTCATTTAACGGTTATCCGCAAGCGAGTGTAAACGCATCGTTTGAAAATAGTTCTAAAATAAAACGAAAATCTAGAATTTAAAACATCGATGAACATTAGGAAATGTATAAAAACAAACGAAACAAAACTTTTTCCTATCGAGTAAGCATTTATTCAAAATAATTCGACATTTATCACGTCGATACAGCTTATGATAGTTTATATAGTTGTAAATAAATTATCAAAGTTTTATAAAAAAAACAAAAAAATAAATGCAAATAATAACGAAGTTTTATTTTGTCCTGTACAGACCTATCTTTTTAAATTGTAAATATTTATATAACTTTCGTATAAAATAATAATACTTATGATAATGACTGAATTTCTTTTTCCAACGTGTTATACATTACTCTTTAGCATGCTAAGTAACGCTTTGTAAACCAATTTAGGCGCATCTACGGCCCACAGAAAGTCTACGTGATTGAATTTCTTAAATGGTACACTATAAATAATTGGTTTGTATGGCAATTCATTTTTTAATCTTATCACATCCTGAAAAAGGTTTTTGCATCAGTACCATAAAGTGCAAACGATTACATAAAAGTATAGACGGCAGAAGGGATGTAACGAACACCTAACCTAAATCAGGCTCAAACGCAGAAGCATAACCTATAGTTGGGCCGAAGAATGAATAAACTTTGGAAACCTTTCATCGCTTTGTTAAGCCGCGAATAGCAATTATATCTACAATTATAACTATTACTCGCTATACCAGCAATGAGTTAAATGTCTCTTCCGTTCTTGTTTCTTTTAATTCCCAATAACTTGAACTTTTACCCAGCTTTGAATGTATTCCCTCCACCGACTATACTTGATACAATTCTGTGCTATACGTACAATGGAACTAGACAACCAATCGTTAGGGCCACAAAATAACACGAGTGGCGTCGTAATATTTGAAATATTATAGTTGGGTGGCACGGTGCTATTGTAAATCTGTACATTTTTTTCTGCACCATGGTCAAACTGCCTAAAGTATCCCGATTCAATTTCTTGAGCATAATGAACCAACGTTCTGGAAGACGTACCAGCCGGCGTGTGATTCAAAATCAGAGGCAATAACGTCTGCAATAGATGGGATTTAAACAAAAAATTGATACACGCGACCAGTAACGGATACAAACGTTATACATACACCATTAAATTGTGCTTTGTCAAACCCAACGATGACGAACATCGAATTAGAGCATATTTCTTCTTCCAAATAGTTTACGTAACATAAATATTTTGCTAAATGCTTTATAACGTAATTCTGTGGCAAAAATTCACCTTCACCGAGCAGATAGAAAATTGTCTGAAGTTCGAAACGAAAAAATTGTTTGTCGAGAATGTTTTTATTCGTAAAAAATAGACTTCGGTATGATGTACTTTGAATTTGGAATTGCTTGCTTTACCTTAAAATGGGTTGCAATCGGAGCTAAATACCGTAAGGGACTTCGTACGTGTTTCATGTATACTACAGGAGCAAGACTGTACACCGAATGCAACAGTCTTGTTATTTCCGGCCGTTCGCTAGCCATTACATAGAAGCATGTTGTACCCATCGAGAATCCAATATATGCTTTCAAATCGTGTTCTTTCAATTCTACGATATAAGTGATCATCGCTGGTAGATCATATATGCCTGACTCGTGCCAACTAAATAAATAATTATAACACAGTGTCAATGCTAATCGAATAAATGTAATCCTTTCGATGTTAAGAACCGAAGGTTATTGAATCTTGTGGAAATGAACCGTGCAAACACTGCTTTGGTAAAGTGATCGACTCGGTCGAAAAACCGTATCGTGTGAATGTTAAGCATGTTCACCGTAGGCGTTTACCGCCTGCAGTGCACTGATCGTCAGAAGGCTTGCAAGGTTCATTTAAGCGAGCGTATTTTACGTAAGCGTGCATATTTGCGCGGCGTAAAAAACGCTCGTCTAACTCGGACTTGAACGTCTACAGCACCCGAAGAATTAACGCGTGATAGCAAAGAAAGCAAAAAATTGTATTGTCCACTGTACCGACACGTGATAGCTATTACATAATTCCAAATAACATTGTTAAAGAATCTTCGTCGGTTGTTGAAACTGTACTTGCTTATTGCAAATATTTTTCATCGATGTAATAGTTTGTTACAAATACCTGAAGTCCCAAAATTTTGGGTCCCCATCGGACAAAGAAACGTGTGCTCTTGAATATGTGTTGCCACGAAAATTCCCAAACCATACATCGTAACCCTGGTCAGCTAATAGATATGCTATAATAGCGAAACGAAGTAATAGTATATAAATACTACTGAATTTAAACACGTTAAGATCGTGATATACTGTACAAAAAATTGATGTTTTAATGTATACTATGTTTTCACTTCCCCCTTCTAGAAATCTTTCACAGTAACTACCAAATTTGAAACATCTTTCAAGGACATCGCTGTAGTCGAAACAAAATCGATTAATCTCTGAAGGCTACCGAGGACTGAGGGGTCATACATAGACATCGGGGTGGTGCCCTTGAGCGATTAATAGTTTCATTTCAACCATATTAAAAGACAGATACAACAAAAATGTCTAATAAAATGGTTACTTGGTAATAACTTTGACAATTTTGATTTCCTCTCCTATAAATACATAAAATTGTGACAGTACAAAATCTAAGAATTGTTTTTTATATATGTATTCCTGTACCAAGAGCTTTGCCTCTTCCAAGCATAACCCAATCCGCCGAACTACCTAATACACCGTGTTGCAAAAAGATTGCAGGGGCTTTGAGTATTCCTGGAATTCGATGCATTGTCAGGAGGTAACCATCTTCTGTTTGTACAACATGAGCTTCCGCGGGATAGCCATCCTTTCTTATCATTTGCAACTACAATGAACAACTTATCTTAAGTACTGATTGAATGTAATTATCTACTGAGAATCATACAGGCATTCCATACAACTAGGAAAAGCTATATCTCTAAAACGATTAGAAATACAAACAAATGTACAGCAAAATTAAACAGCATCGAATAATAAAACTGCATACTTTTTTTAAACGAAACTCTATAATTTCGATGATACCTATCCAATGCAGTATTTTAATTTCTACAAAAATGGATTAAGGTACCTAAAAGTTATATTAAATGTAGTAAATACTTAATGCAATGACAGCAACTCAAGAACAGTATTAAATAAAGCAGAAAGTTTATACAAATGTTATATCAATTTCTTTTCATTTTAATATCCTAAATTAACTTATACAGCAATGTCTATATATTACGATATATTTTGTACATACATCAAAGGATACAATTCTACTTACTGTATCGAGCCCGTTGTTTGGATCATGCTCCCCATTAAAACTGTACGATTTTATATTTAACAATGAAACTGCAGGAGAAAGGATGCACAGCAACAAAAATACGAGAATGAAATCCTTCATTCTGAAAATTTTGCACAAACTAGACCACTGAAAAAGCAATGAACTAATTAATAATACAGCTCGAACAGAAAATATATTAACAATTTGTTTTCCTATGAACAGAAATATTATTAATCACTTGTCGTTCCTGTCAACACTGATTTCATATTCATGTTTCGTATGTTACAGATTAATAATCATACGTATGAGTCATGTTACGTTTTCTGCTGCACTATCTTTCTTTTTGGAATAAACATAAATATTATCTGTCGATATTTCATCATATAGCATTGACCTAACGGAACTCTCCTTTTATAAAAAAACTGAGATTTCTAATTTAGATACAATTCGCGTATTAGGAGTTTCAATATCGTAAAATAATTGCCAAATTTTTGATTACTCATTTTGTACATTTATTTTGCAATGTGCAACTTAACAGTGCAAATCTAACGATGAGGCGTAAAACTCGATGCAACGATTTTATCTAGACACAATGCGTGTTAAACTTTGTTTTTAAGAATATCGAACTCTTATTTCTATAACGATACCATCATTTTCCCACTATAAGTTTATGTTATAAAGAATTCCGAGTACACTTTTACGAATACCTTTTAAGAAAATTATAAAGGAAGTAAAAGTAAATGTTTCGGTTAAATACTTGTGTACCTACGTCAAGGACCTTTCTTCTTTCTTCTACCGCGCACGTGATAATTTGATTGGGGTTGAATGGTTGAATCCGTTGAATCCTGTTGACTGTTAGATAGTCGAATAACCGGCAATCGACAACTGTCGACAACGTTGTAAGTTCTCTACCACGTGTCTCGCATATATTGTTTAGTAAGTCAGATAATGAATGTTTTAAATATTACAGTTTGTAATATTTATTTTTCATATATGATCGTGATGCTAATGTAAACCGAATGTCGGTTAACCTTAAAACACGATTAACATACGACCGCTTTTGTTTATGAAACGAGTAGGTTCTAATTTTAAAATGAGCTTTATGTACATTTCAGCACACAAATATGAACGAAGCTACTTTACCACCCTCGCCAAATTGGTATTTAAGTAATATTCTTGCTTGTTCTTTCGATGGAACTGTTGCATGGGGTAGTAGAAATGTAATTGTTATCCTTAAAACTGAGAAAAACGAGAAGTCGTTACAATATTCCATCATTAAACAAGCACACAAAAATAAGGTGGCTTGCCTTGCCTTTACTCCTCCGTTCGAAGAAGTAACCGATAATTTGATAGCTTCGGTAGGAGACGAAAATATAATTAAAATATGGAGTTTGAAAACGTTATCTACAGTTTACAGCCATTCCCTTGGAGCTGTAAGTATATACATAAATATATTTTGTATGCGTTTATAAAAATTTCTGTTTAAAAATTTTTCTTTCAGTATAAACAACCGATAGGCGTAGATTGGTCGTATAAAGAACCTTTTGTTGTATACTCTGCAATTTCTGATGGTTGTGTGATATCATGGAATGCTCACTTTAACAGTATCTCTTCCATTTCGTTAGGAAAAGTAGCGCCTACGTGTCTTTCCTCTTGTCCCCATGATCCACATCTTGTGGCCGTAGGTACTAAGAACGGTTTAGTCTATATTTTGAGTTTTCAAGGACAAGGAACAATAGTTTATAAATTAAGAGGACACGATACTGAAATAGTTAGTTTATCATGGTGCCCTTCGGAATATAATGTTATAAGCAAAAATCAAAAAAGAGAATTACTTTTAGCTTCGGGAGGGAAAGACAGGTAATTTGAAAAGTTTTCACAAGTCTTGCATAAACTTTAAGAACATTATCCCAAACGCTAACCAGTATTTTAGTTTACGATTGTAATTTTCATATTTTTTTAAATACTCATCCGCATCAAATTTTAACAATAGATCAATTTTTATTTGGAAAGCTGGTGGAGATGGACGTTACGAATTGACAATTTCATTGCCTACCACACCTCTCGATTCTAAACAACATAGAAGCAAATTAAATGCATCGGTAGGTACTTGGATCGCGCTTTGTTGGGTAGAGCCCAACCTATTGCTTACAAGTGCCTATTGGGGTGAATTATTATCTTGGAATTTATCAACAATGCCAAAGGGCAAACCTACTTCTAAGATGATACATGCGCATCATAATAGAGGTTTATTTTGTATTGCACACGTACCGACTATCCAAACAAATGCGGTAGAAAATTGGAGAACGAAACAAAGGTTTCTGATTAAAAGTTACTTATGAAATTCAATTTATAAAGCTGTCGTAAATTTGAATATTTTTTATAAATTACAGACTTCAAATTTGGACTTTGGCGCAAGATCGTAAAGTTATTTGTTGTAATATACAAGAAGACAACGTTGAAATAGAATATAATATTTTTACACAAAATGGATACGTTTATTGCATGGCTTCCTGTCCGTTAGATACTTCGCACATTGCATTTGGAGTTGGCGATGCAATGTTACGATTATGGAAATTGTCAGAACCACATGATACTTCATTTGATATAACTGTCTTATGGCAAAAGATAATGGGAAAAATTCGTACGGTAAGAATTTATTTATCCGAACTACCTGAGCTGACTTCAATTTCGGGTCCTGACTTGACTCCTTGTTTCCAGTCACCTAACAATTATATTGTATACAGATATCATGGCATCCTGAAAAGGAAAATTTGTTAGCATATGCGACCGAAGAAGGTCGAGTCGGTGTGTTCAATACAAATGGAAACAAACCACCCACTTTGTATAGACAATATCACAGAAATATAGTGTATTCTATTCATTGGGGTCCTCATCCAAACAATAAGATGCAGCATGTTTTATACTCTTGTGCAGAAGGAGAGCTTGTATTCTACAATCCATCAAAACACAATGAAGGTAGTACTTGGCATTTAATAGTTAATAAATGGCGGTATTATTACATCACATTCAACTTAAAATTATACTTAATTTCATTAGAACCAACACCTATATTTAGCAAGGAAGTTACAGAATTCTCCTGGAAACCAGACTTTTCTTGTTTAGCAATAGGATTTGAGAATGGGTAAGGTCCCAAATATGTCAGACTCCGCAGAAAGTACTCCAATGTTTATTTTCCAGTACCTTAAAACGGTGTATTTAAATATATGTTGGAAAATAATCGTTGAATTTGTTTTAATGCATAAAATTACATGGATCGAAAAACGTAATACTTTTTGCGGGTTCGTTAAATTCATTTAAGCAAAGATACTATTTTCCAGAACAACTTCATTTCTTAATCGCAAGATTGATCTGTGCGGATATGGTAGATTTTCAATGGCAATGGTGCATTGCTTGGTATGGCATCCTGAAAGTACAGCAACAGATTCAACGTATTCTCCGTTTAAAAATTATTTAGCCGTTGCCTTTAAATCGAATACGATAACTATCTTGGATCTATCCAATTTTGTGAATCAGTTACCAAAATATGAAAATTACACAGAAACTGATATGGAGAAAAAAGTGGATGATATGTATAAGGTGCACGAAGTTGTAGCCACCCTAGTTGGTCATAGTCACAGTGTTGTTTGTTTAGCATGGAGCCCGTATATTAGTGGCCAATTGGTATCGGGTAGTTATGACCATATTACGCAGGTATGATCAGTTTTATGTTAAAATATAGTAGTTATAAAATTTATAGAAATTTTGATAATTCGAGACCCTCGTTATATTATTTCTTTTCTCGAATTATTGTTTCTTAGGTATGGAATGTTGAATCACAAGAATTAATAGCTACTTATACAGGACATAGTGGCCCAGTACTATGTTGTATGTGGAGCCCACTAAATCCTAATTATATTATAACAGGCTCTGCAGATTTTACAGTACGGATATGGAAAATCGCTTCTAATAATGCCATTTCGATACAAGAAGAAATACATAAAAAATCAACAAAGAAAAATAAAAAGGAGAAAATCAAAACAAACATGATCACCGACATTTTGACTGAAAATATGTCAGGATGTTCGATATCAAATGTTTCTCAAACAGTACAAAGTATAAAAATGATATTTGCATATATATTGCTCAAATATTATTATTATAAAATTACAAACAATAAACTTTTATTAATTTTAGATTTAAAAACAGTGTCAGAGACGAAAGTAGAAAAGAAAAAGGGTGACCGAATGCCATATTTTACAAAAGGTCCTAAAACACAGAATGATAAAACACATTTGCTTAAATCTATCATGAATATTGTAAGAAACGAACAAAATGAAAATGTAGATATCGAAGAAAATCAGAAAGACATTTTCCATTATATAACACCGTTATTCTCGGAAAAAGATTTTATGTCATTTTTTACCAACGAGAGTAAGTTAATTATTAATTAGACGTATGTTACGGCGAGCTACATCGTGTCTCCTTTATTATTTCTTATCAATACACAGAATGCAATCATGCAGAGAAAAATAGGCATAACGTAGCAACAGAAATGGACATATGGTGTGACAATCTTAAACAAAATTTAGAAGAAGCCGCCAAAGAGAAACGCCTGAATGACTTTCTTATTTCGCTTTCAGCTAGTCTTTCTATGAAGTATGCAACTCTGTTTATTCATCCTATAAAATCTAACTAGAAGCATTGCGAAATAAATATGACAATTGCATTACATTTTAGAACGTGGAAAGATATGTGCGAGCTGTACGCGTATCAATTAATAAACGAAGGCAATCCTCATAAAGCAGTATCGTATTTACTTTGTACACACAAAACTTACAAAGCTATAGAAGTGCTCCAAGATGCGAATTTGCACAAAGAAGCTTATGTTCTCGCGAGATGTAAACTTGAATCGGATGATCCGGTCCTAACGGACGTGTTAAAAAATTGGGCGACCTACGATGTACGCGTAGGTCACTTCGAGGAAGCAGCATACATGTACGTTATTAAGTTACCAAACATTACGAATCATAAATGATTTTTTAAATTTTATTTTCAGTTATGCTCAATTACGAGACTTTTCTAATACAGTGAAATATCTTGCACGTATCAGAGATTCGAATAGTTCACTAACTGCAGCCGAGATTGCACGTTTATCTGGCGACGAAATTCTTAGTAAGTCTTTAGCCGAGGAAGTAATAAATGCAGCTATGAAAAATTCAGAACATAATTTAGTTCGAAGTATAATCACAAAATTTCCATACCTTAAAGTATGTTTATAATATATTCTCCTTCTTATATTTTACGTATTCAATATCTGACGAAACAATTATGTTCTAGTACCGAGAAGTACATTTATTAACCCATCAAGAACTTGAAAAAATTATTAAAAAAGACGTAAAGCTCGACACGATTCGAATGTGGTTGAACGGAGAATTAAAGTATGGATTATTCAAAGAATTGAAAACAATATGTGGAGATAGTAGTTCTTATTACAATGAGTTACATCAAAGTAATTTTTGTAATACCTTGGAAAATGAACAGATGGTAAAATTAATACAGTAAAACCTCGGTTTAACGAATTTTGAATTTAATTAGCAAAATTGTATAGCATTACGTTAGTATATGACCTACATTATTTATTTTAAAAATGCCCCCCTTCCGCTACAATCCGCTAAATTGAGATTTTACTGTAGTCTCAATCGGATAATTTCTAATTTCAGTTATGGTTGACAGTCAGCTATGAAATTGCAATGGCAATAAGTTCTACTGAAAAACAACAGCAGTTGAAACATATCGTTACTGCATTAGGTGCCATTACACAGTTTGAAAAATTGGATCGAAAAAATGTTGAAGATCGGTGTAACTTCTTGATTGAAATTATTATTAAATTAGATGCTAAAAGCCCACTGGATGAAGAAAGCATTTATACAAAAATTGATTGTCCTGTGTCAGTTAGCTTACGAGCTTATTTATGTTATGCTGTTTTAAATTGGCTCGCAGATAATGTACACGAAGAAAATACGAATAACATCAACGTACAGATTTGCATTGTTTTAATAGAACATTTGATCGAGGATGTTTTAAATAAACGTGCCGTAAAATATTGGTCGATCACAAACAACATTAACAAACTGGAAAAACAAGTAGTTTCCGATCTGTGTAAGTAATAGAAACATTACTTGATTGATTTTGAAAAGACTAATATTAATTTTCCCATTAGGTAAAATTCAAGAAAATAAAGATGAACAACAAGATATGGAATCTCTTGTACAAGAATTGAATATATTGAAAACTGAAAAGAAACAACTTCTTGATGAACTAGTTTGCGTTCCTAATCCTATTATGGTTTATAGCAAGGCGAATGAATTAGCTAGCAAGCTGTCGGATGAAACTATTCAAACTAAGTTTGAAGACATTGTTTCCAAAGCATGGATAAACGCTACCTCGTAAATAGAATTATATATTTATTTAATTTTATTAGTTTAGTATCTGCTGATCATAATAGATAGCCGTAATTTTTTGCTTCAATTATAGTTTGTGATCGAATGATTATTAAATGCTCAATATTCATTATTATTTTTTTCATAATTGAGCAATTTAATTTATTTTTTTTTTATGAATGAAAACTATTTATTTAAAGGATCTATTCAACATTAAATAAATATAAATCACGTTTATATGTAATAAATTAGAAAAATACGATTTTTATTTATAAAAAATTTAACTGTAAGTATTACAAACCATCTGTCATGTTATTTGTAAAGAAATAATGATATTATTTATAACAAAACATTACCATTGTTGTTAGTTCAAAGTCACCTTCCAAAAACAGATTTCTCTGTCACTCGCAGCACAAATATACGGTAGTTTATAGTGCCACGATATTCCACCTATTAACTTTACTTGTCCACAAATTATCTTTTCTTCGGTTTTTATATTTGTAACTTTTAAAAAATTATCAGGCCTGCCAATGCTCGCTACAAAATATTCGTAAGCGGGAGAAAATTTTACCATTAATCCGCCTTCGATATGAAAAGGGCTCCCCCCCTGTACAAGCGGACTAGAAGAAAAAAAAATATTTTCACCAAACATACAATACTTATCGATTTATTTCACGGTTAATTTTCTAATTTATGCAACACGAATTACCTAGGTTTAGACGTATCCCAAAGGATTAATTTTCCAGCAGCCATACCAGCTACTTTTAACGGATTGGGTCCCCAATCGATCGACATTAAGGGAACAACATCTGTATCTAAAGACATGATCGCTTGTTGACTTCGTACGTCGTACATGTGAATCAATCCATTTTTTTCTCCTACAAGAAACTTGCCAGATTTTTCAGGGTGAAAACATACGCTCATTCCAGGAGATGTTAAATAAAATGTAAAAATACACTCGTCCTCCTCTTTTATGGCCCAAAGTTTACACATGTGATCATCGGATACCGAGGCCAATATCTCTCCTTCAGTTTCGTAACAAATTGAGTTTATATAGTCTTTATGTCCTTCCATCTTATATTAAATCAGAAAATTATTATCATCATCGATATACAATAGTAATCCATACGCATATTAATTCTTTATGTCATGAATTATATTTCATACTTTTTCAGTCTTACCTCGTGTACTGTATTGTTGTTCATATCGCTACTATATAATCTTATTTTAAAATCTGCCCCAGCGACGCAAAACATAAGAACTTTTGGTACAACGCTCAAGGAGGTTTCTGGACTCCAAGCAACAGCATGAGGTCTAGTATCATGACGAAATGTTCTAAAATGATTATAAGCGATATCTTCTACCGTCTCATCCTCATCCTGTATACGTACGGATAACGATTATTATTTTATTGGATAATAAAATTACATTTCTGAAATGTCTGTCGAGAATGTCTACGATCTATTCTACAAAGGACATTCGTTTTACGATTTGCTTTTTTTTAATCGCACAAGAAGAAAATCTTTCTTAAATCGTGTTTTAATTTTCGTTTTCTTTCTATTAACGTTGTTCGATGCTTTTATTTCAAACGTTACTCGACTCAAAGTGACGTTATCTTTTATTTAGGCATTCAGCATGCACGCATAAATACACGTTGAAATCAAAAGCTTTACCTGAAATTTAATAGTACCGATTACAATTTCTTCGGCGAGAGCGATACAAATTAAATGTTGAGACCATTCGTACGGAGATAATTCGACGCAATATATCTGTTTGGAAAAATGTAGTTGAAACGTAGGCGATGTAGTCAGTGCCTCATCCATTACGTATTTGTAATACCGTGATTATCACTTTTAAACGAGAGGCGTCCTTGTGTATGATCGACAAGAGATCGCCGGCATAACCTCCAAAGTTTCACTGAGCAAGTTCACTCGAAAGTCTCGTCGAAAGAAGTGTCGATATATAGTGTACGAACGGTAAGCGACAGTTAAAGATTTCTTCTATAACTTAACGGTATCTACGTAGGATAATTGTCCCGTATAACGTTACATTACAATTGCAATTGCGATTTGTATAAACATAAAAACATGCACACGCTGTAAGACGAGGTTAGATCGAATTCAAAGCATCTAGAGGGCAGTACGTATTTTACGTGTGGTATATGTAATCGTTCAACGTGCCGCGTATCTCTCGGTAGCAAACTTCTTTGACTAAATATAAGATCGCCGCTTCTGCACGCCGCGAGCTCTTAACTTTTTAAGTGACGATCAAATATGAATTGACAGGCTATATTGGCAGTAATTTTGCCATACGTGTATCTTCGATCCGCCTCTATCCACGATCGCGTTACGAGGTGGGTACCTTCTGTCAAGGCATGCTCACCAGGACATGCCGTACACAATTCGCAAGCTGCTTCGCTTCGTGTTTTTCTTCTGTTATAATTACTCAACCGCATCATCGAATTTTTCTGCAAACGTTTTATCAATTCACGCGAATTCTACCAAAAGATGCAAAAGTTTTATACCCCATAAATCATATTTATCTTTGTCCATTTATCACCGATTTTGAATTTTTAAAAGAGTATCATTTTGTGAATTTTTGAAACTTTTCTTTTTATCTTATTTTTTTTGCAATTTCAATCACTTCACAAAATTTTCTATATGTAATTTGTGGGTATTGTATAAAAGAAAACTTTGCTTGGTATTAATGTGTTATGTTTATAAAAATACTGTTCCAAATGATGAAAGAAAGTATTAATGGGTTTTATCATTTGGAGTCGAAATAGATAAATCGGTTTGTGTCTCTTAAACATATGTTTCAGAGATTAAATATTAAATAGTACCAATTGTAGAATCTTTACATGTAAGTTTATATGAAACTTATAATAAATGAAAATGGTCATCGCTTGTACATACTGCAATGAAACATTAATTCTTTTGGTTATTCTGTTATTTTAATCAAATTATGAATTGTTTTAATGTATAATGTTATGTATCTTTTATGTTTAAGATGTACGAAGAAACATTTGGATGTTAAAAAGAAAAGTTATATTTTAGTTTAAAACTAAGAAACTAAAATAAAAAAATATGAAAATTTAAGAAAATTTAATTATTCTTTTTGATCTGTTACCATAGATCTGGTATATCAAAAGTTTAAAAAGAAATAACAAGAATTGCAAATTATTTTTAATTTATCATTCATAATTATTATTTATCAGAAAGTAATGTAATAAAACATACTTAATTATTATGTTTTTATTACAGTGCAATAGGTAGGGATGGAGTTTGGAGTGGGCGATGTTGCCCAAATATCAGCAGAACTTGCCCAAGTGGTCGAGGTGATGATGTCACCGAATGTACCGCAACAGCAGCGTTTGGAAGTATACAATGCTTGCGAACGATTTAAGGAATCCTCCCCTCTATGCGCACAATGTGGTTTATATCTGGCGCAGAGGTCGCCGAATAGAAGTTCGGTGGTTCGTCATTTTGGATTACAGCTGATGGAGCATTGTATCAAATATCGATGGACACAAATATCACAATCGGAAAAGATATTTATAAAAGAAAATGCAATGAAGTTGCTTCAAGAAGGTACAGAACCGTTGCTGCAAGAAGAAGCTCATATCAAGGATGCTCTGTCTCGCGTTGTGGTGGAAATGATAAAACGAGAATGGCCGCAACAGTGGCCTACATTACTTGCCGAACTTAGCCAGACGTGTACAAGAGGCGAAAGTCAAACCGAATTGGTACTTCTAGTGTTTCTGAGGCTAGTAGAAGATGTCGCGTTATTGCAAACGTTAGAATCTAATCAAAGAAGAAAGGATATATACCAAGCACTTAACACGAATATGGCCGAGATTTTTAGCTTCTTTTTAAGATTAATGGAGCAACATTTTTCGGAGTTTCAAAAGAAGAGTAGCTTAGGTTGCGCTTCCGAGGCAGCAGCGCATAGTAAAGTTGTACAGGTACATTTGGCACAGAAGTTTTTAAGGGATAAAGATTATGATTTAGATTTATAAAATTATACTGAATCGTTCTTATTTGGTAGGTAGTATTGTCTACGTTGACTGGATTTGTGGAGTGGATTTCGATTACTCATGTCATGGCAGAGGATGGCAGATTGCTACAAATATTATGTCTTTTGTTGAGAGATTCGATATTTCAATGTTCGGCAGCCGAGTGTTTGTTACAAATTGTAAATCGCAAAGGAAAAGCTGAAGATAGGAAACAACTGATGATTTTATTTTCCGAAGATGCGCTGAGATATATTTATGCAGCGGCGACTGCAGCAGCGCCTGTTACCGGCTCAAACGAATTTCATGAAAACCATTACTTGTTTTTAAAGAAACTCACGCAGGTAATTCTTAACTTACTTCTTTTCGCGGAGTAAGAAATTTATTGCAACTTGATAATTTCTCGACAATGTCTCTCGTACAGTTAACTGAAAAAAAGTATCAAAGTTGTACGATATGTTTATTTTTTCATTTTATAAAGTTTCATAGAACACACATACATGACATAGGTATATTTTCTTTTGAATGTGTGCATTATCTCTTGCAAAAAGCATTTACTTAATTTGCGCTACATTTTAATTGAATATTAGTAATAAATGGCTAATATTAGTTGTGAATTTAGGTATTAACTGGAATGGCAACTCAACTGTGTACACTTTGGGGCAAAGATGATGGTTCCAGCATTCGACCAACACATTTCAACATATTTTTAGATACCGTGTTAACTTTCACTATGTCCTCAAGTTTAACGTTAATACATATGGCGAACGCAATCTGGATAATGCTGTTTAAACACGAACAAATAAAACAAGATCCGTTATTATTAACTTACATACCTAAATATGTAGAAAGCACAGCACCAAAGTTAATAAAAATAGCATATCCACATGGTAGACAAAGTAACGGAATGAGTACCTATTGCCTTGCAGACTACGATTCGGAAGAAGAGTTCAATGTGTTTCTTCATCGATTCAGGACTGATTTATTAGAAGGATTTCGACAAGCAACAATGGTAGCGCCATTAGTAACATTTACGTATGTACAACAATGGTTGACGGCTAAAATAACAAAGGGTATGACAGATCTTCGATACAAAAGCGATCAGAATGATCCACAATATCTTGAATGGGAAGCTCTTGCTCAAGCTTTAGATTCTGTCGTATCAAGAATTTTATTAATTAACGAACGTCCAAGCGTACAAACTGGCCTGCAATTATTAGAATTATGCCTCGGTTATTCTCCACTCGATCCATGGTTATTGTCGGCTCTACTTTCTTGCATCAGTGCTCTTTTTGTATTCTTGTCGATGTCAACCGGTTCAATGACTATGCCAGGTGTAGCCATCCTGCCAAGAGTTCTTGATAAAATCTTTGCCGCTCTGGTGTTCGAAGCACCAGGTGAAACGAAGGGTACTCGATCCAAAGCAGCAAAGAACGTAAGACGTCATGCAGCCAGTCTCATGGTCAAGATCAGTTTGAAATATCCACTGTTACTTCTTCCGGTTTTCGATCAAATACACACAATGGTTCGCAGTTTAGCGAGAGAGCCCAGTTCGTTATCTAAAATGGAGACAATCATGCTCTACGAAGCACTTCTGTTGATATCGAATCATTTCTGTGATTACGAAAGACAAACCAGATTTGTCGCTGAAGTGATCAGCGTAGGATCTGCAAAATTTATTGCTCTTGGACACGAGGCATTTAAAGGTCCACTTGAATTGATGAGGTTCATTGGATTGAGCAGATCACCGGTCGAAAGTATAACCGAAGATCCGGCTGGTCAAAATCGAAGCGACTTGATGATTTGTGTTTGCACGATATTGAGTGTCGTGAAGCGTTGTTCCATTCCGGATGATCCGGACCGGGCTGCAAGAGGCAGTTTCGTAGCTGCGCTCAGCGAAAGCGGAAATCCGGTGTATAGAAATCCCGCTACGCCACATGTGATTCCAGTGCTACCAACACTTTTTGCACTGCTCAGGGCAATGAATGCACTCTTCACTCCTCCGGCGTTAGCAGCTTTATCAGAGGTAATAACCATGAATGTTCACCAACATGGTGTAATACTCTTAATTGGACAGAAGCAAATTATAACGGTGTTTACTTCCTTTTATTAGGGATATAAAAACGCTCACGAGCTGTTGGAGTCTGAGAAAGCAAACCTTTTAGGTTTAAATGTAACAAATGATAACACTTCTGAACCTGATCAATCTTCCAGTACGGCTTTGGTTCGTATGCAATCATTTCTGAGTACTATCCACGATCAGTGTTATCACATGTTAGGTAGCGGATGTCACATGATTGGAAGAGACTTTTATCAGTTACCTGGTTTGGCACCAGCACTCATTAATTCAGTTTTCTCCAACATGGAGGTAATTATTTATTTTTCAAACAGTTAACAGTTAACAAGATATTTGTATCGTAAAACTAGAAATGATTTTAAATGCTGCTTACGCCTTAGCAAAGACTGATGTTTTCCTTTCAGTTGATTTCAGATTATAGATTACGGCCAATCATACGTGTCTTTATGAAACCATTTATATACTCCTGTCCACCTGCATTTTACGAAAGCGTTCTCGTACCCGTATTGGCTCACGTTTCTACGCATAGTAAGATGTTTCTTACCTTTTACTTCCGGCGTTCCTGTTTATTTCTCTTTTCGCTTTTACTTACGCATTAATTATTATTTTAACAGTGTGTCAAAGATTGAGTGCCAAATGGCAATACATTGCACATCTCTACGAGTCTGGCGGTTTGGACGAGGAAAATACCGATACGCAAGAAGTTATCGCCGACATGTTGAATCGAAATTTAACGAGGGATTTCGTAGACGTGCTGAAAGTAGCTCTCGTTGGAGGTGCAGCCAGCGATGCGACTCCCCCCGATATTATGGAACAAGACATGGGAGGTATGGCTATAGATCCTCCGTCATCGCGAGGGAACAGTATAGTCGCCGAAGTTGTCAGCGAATTGGGAACGTTTGTTCTCCGACACCCAACTACGTGCCATAGTGTTGTTTTATGCGTTTTAGGGTAAATTTTACTTTGAATTAAGTATTCATTGGTAGTCTGGTGTATACGAGTAGAACAAATGTTAAATAAATGATTCTTATTGCGTTCAGAGCTTTAGCTTGGAATGACTCAAATGCCAGTTTGAAAGCTACAATGTTAACCGGACCGGTTGTACGAGCATTAGCAGCCGATGGTAGTCTAACACCAGCTATGGCCGCTCATATTATGGTAGCTATTCTTCAAGGATTACAACTTCACGGACAACACGAAGCCAATCAAGGTTCCCTTGTAACTCTGGGCGCACAAGTTTACGAATGTTTGCGACCCAAATTCCCGAACATTATCGAAGTAATGCAGCAAATTCCTGGCATTAATCCTACCGATCTGCAGCGTTTCGACGAAAAGATGGCCGTAGTTAGTACTAAAGGAAATAAAGTGGAGAAAGGAAAGAAAGATCTTTTCAAAAAAATCACGAATCAGGTAAAACATTTGGTTGGATCAGTTTCGTGATCATGGAGCAAGAGAATATTATCTTTTATATATACCTGTTGCAGCTCATTGGTCGAAGCGTTGGTCAGTTATTCCGTAAAGAAGTTAAAATAGATAATTTACCACGGATAGAAGTTTTTGGGAAACCGCAATCGATACGGGTGGATGAGATTTCGAAGAACGCGACTGATAGTGGAATCGCAGCTTTGTTCGCAGGACCCACGTAGCAGAAACTGTGTTTAGATGACCATATCGCGAACACGTGGTCTAAATTGATTAATAATAATAAATCATCGTGAAAACGATTGTCCTACAGAGAGAAGATTGAACTATAAATAAAAGAAATCCTGATACCTAAAATAAGAGGATTTCATAGGATAAGTTTGTTACGAACAGCATTTTTCTGTTAAATTATCTGTGAGGTTATACGCGTGTATATAGTATGGGTAGCGTAAACGACACACATTGTACTCAACCGTAGGTATAGGAAGGAGAGAATAAAAAGATATTACGCTTATACACGCATTCAACATCAATTGTGAATAGTTTGTAAAAAAAAAGATCCGATGTTACGTGTGAAAACCATCTTATTTTTGGTGCGGGATTTTATCGTATACAGCAAAAATATTTAGTTCAATGAGTATCCAAGGTGCGAGCGAGAGTGTATGTATGGTGTCGTGTGCGTGATGCGTATAAATATGCAGTTGTAACATAAAGGACATTCATCGCTAAAGAACAGCATGCAGTAATTCTGATACAACGGATCGAAAGAAATGTCTAAATATGTTATCAAGTAATTGTATATTAAATTGCACGCATTTATTCCTATTTTTTTGAATTTACATAAAATCTCTTGTAACAATGTAAGAACGGCATGATTTTGAAAAAAATCGCGCCGACGTGTAGTACAGTTTTTGTAAACAATACTTCGCTATAATATACAATACAGAGGTTGTTGATTTATATAAAATAATTTTACAATTTCGTGTAAAAATTTATATTCGGATCACATGTAATATGTTTTTGAATAAGTAAAACGTTTATATTTCTCAACACTTTTGAAAAGTACTGTAAATTATATAAGTTTATATTCGATAATTTTGTTTTAAACATTTTATCTGAGAGTTTCTGGTACTTTAGGAAATGCAAAGTGGCCACTAAAAACCAAATCATTTAATGTAAAATGATTTTTTTTTTTGTTATAGGCGGGGTTACGACGATTAAATGCAAGTTTTACTTAATATTTAAAATTGACAAGAATGCAGCATTCCACTTGTTTACACATAAATATTTTTAAATGTTAAATATCGTTTAAAAATGTAATACTTCCATGATTTGTTGTTACAATTCTTTCTTTTTTTTGTAATTACTTTAATTAATTTTATTCTATTATTGTGAGAAATGTAACGCTATGACTATCGCACGAAACTCAGATTAGTACTTTGTATAATCGCCATTATGCATCAAATAGTAACAGTACTTTACAACAAGATCGTAGATAAAACTGATCAGTTATTTAACACGCAACGATCGTCACATGTGAAATTTAGATATCATAAAACAAATTGTATAAGAAACGAAGCACTCTCGCGATAGAGATCGTGTTACCTAAAAAACATTTAAAGTAATGAGCACATTGCAATTTAAAATAATATCAACGCTAAATTTTTGTTATCTTAAAAAATGTTTCAAACACTAGCACGCAATATTAAATTACGAGCCGTTAAATACGATCAATTTGTCTATAGTATCGAAGTTACATATGTTATCAAAATTCATAAAGATCTATATTTTGCCATAAAATATTATTAAGATTATTGTAACAGAGTACAAGTTTTGAATCAGCTTCAAATTTTATTACCCGTTGAACAAACTATCGCGATAGATCATCCGATGAAATCGAAACACTTTTGCCTAGTACATTCATAAAAATCATAAAACAATGTTAACTCGTTTCTAAATAAGTACAAATAAAGTCAAAAAACACGTTTTGTATTTTTTGTACATATGTATGTATGCTCACACAAAATGGGACATTAAAGGGGCTTCATGTTCCGAATCTCTAAAAAAAAAATAGCCTTTGGAATACGATTGCAGTAAAATCCTAAAAGATATTTTCCTGTTTCTTTTCTTTTTATATACATATATCTCTTTACCGATATTTAAAAACAAAAAAAAAAAAATGATAAATATTAGGTACAAAATGGCGGAATGATAATTCGTGAAAAGAGACTTTATTATTCAAACGGTAATCATTGACGTGACCCTGAAGCAATATTACAATAAAATTCCGATAATTGTTTTCTACCGTACGTTCAACTAGAACAGAATGTAAACTTTATATGGAATTATCGAGTACCACGTTTTTCGAGAATTATAAAAACCTTAAAACAGGTTCTTCACAGTGTAATCTTGACCGTGCGATAAGTCAATAGAAAATAATCCGGAGTCGTATTTACTTAATTAGTGTTTCTTTAATTGTAACAGAGTTAGACGAGAGTTTCGATTATAATTTACTGGTCAATTAACTCTTAAAGAGCGTTCTACCAAGAGCACCTTAATGGTATGAATCTATCGAGGATTTTACTGATATTTCCGAGACGTAAATCTAAGATCAAATGCCGATACTCTGTAAATATTTCATTCTGCTGCGTATTTTTATCATACATTTCAACTAGGATTACAGGAAGCTTGAAATCTCTTGTAAGGATTGGCGATGAAAACGTTCAAATTTCAATGCTGTGATTAATCGATTTTTCGAATTTTATTATAAACGATTAGATCTCGTATACCTTTATTTATAATAAGTATAAAATAAAAAAGAAGTATGCAATCAGCAAAAATTAAAATCGTTATTATTGTTTCCAAATTTCAACCGAATACTACGCCGTTCCAACGATGAAAACAGCAATAAATGTAATTTTATGTAATTGTAAAAATGTTTTGCTTCTGTTGTTGGCATGTACGATTTGTTTTTTAACCATAAAAAATCATTGTAAGATACAAATGTAAATGATTACGTGAACTCACGTTCCCGAAGTAATAATTTATTCCACAGCAATTATCATTGATTCTTCTACGAAATTTAAAACTTCTTATTAATTGTTTATAAAAAAAAAAACTATATGTATATCTAAAAATGTAACATTCTACCAGGATATCATCGTTTGATCTTTAAATTCATCCTTGGAAATTTCGATAGAAATCCTCGATTCACCGACCGCGTGAATCGCTATGAAATTCAAAGCGATTCGACACGTTTCCAAATCCGGTTTACTATACAAATAATTCTGATCGCTTATCAGCATTAGAACAGAGAAGAAACAACGTGGACCGGAAGAATCAATGAAAGAAAATATCAGAAAGCTTTTTCATGCACCGGATAACTAACAGTTATCGAATAAGTCACATGTTTACTAGGAACTTGTCGACGATGACCAGGGTTGGTCACGTATTCGTTCATTCGCATCGTTCATTCATACAGAAAGTACACAAACACTAGATGTTTCGCCTAGATTCTTCGTAATAATATTTAAGGGAAATTTCTTGATCTCAAATCAATCTAATTTTCGTAACCTTAAACTTTGTACTTTGTAAAGGTAGGTTTTGGTAGGTTTCGGCATCCGATGCTCTTAAATTACGTAAAAAAATACAGTGAACAATTTCATTAAGAATAAATATCTTTAATGAGCGAGCAATCGAAGAATAAGGTACTTTTGGTTTTTACTTTGCAACATCGACGGGATACGTTCACCGCAAAAATTCATACAATTCGTTACGAGAATCGAAATATATCGCTAGAAGCCTAATCCAGAAAAGATCGTAACGTGCAATCGAATAAATTCGTAGGCAAATATCGGTGTTGGGTTGATCGTTAGGCGCTTCGAAACGTTTTTAAGTGCATGTCGTTGTATCGATATCGTCCTTTTTCCCTACTAATAAAAACACGTCCATATTATCTTTTCCTTTCACGTAGACCTGACCGCGTGGCTCGAATTCGTATCGTTCCGAGAGAACGTCCAAAACATTGTTGGCCACCTGTATTCTTCCAGCCACTCCGGTAGAGTCCATTCTAGACGCTATATTAACAGCATCGCCCCAAATATCGTAGTATAATTTCGTAGCACCGATCACACCGGCGGTGACATCGCCGTAATTGAAACCGATCCTTAAGATCAGCTTAAAACCTAACAAATCTCTGTTGAAGTCGTATATCACTTTATGCATGGCCATAGCAAAATCTATCAATTGAAAAAGATGCGCTTCTTTATGATCACTTTGTTGCCTGACCTGGGGATTTAGGCCGCTCGCCGCCATGAACGTGCTACCGATAGTTTTGATCTTCTCCACGTTCGAGAATTCCGACTTCTCCAACAGCTCGTCGAAATCTCCGATAAGTTCGTTGAGCACACGCAGATACTCTTTACCGCCCAAGTAAGACTCGTCGTAGAGCTCATTGAAATTCACTATACTCGCAAATATTATTCCTACGGCCTTGTGATTTTGCGAATATTTCGCGGTCGTTTTCAACTGATCGGCAACATATTTCGGTATGATGTTGTGTAAAAGCCAGTCGGCTTGATTCTTCATCGATTGCACGCGACTTTTATCACGCGCCGCTACAGCGTTCCCGTGGAAGCTTAACCGATAACTGATCTCGAACTCGCGATTCAAAAACCAAACCAGCAACAGCAAAAGTATCATATCTAAAAAAATCTCCGAACTGTACAATCTTTCGTTGTATCTGATCTCCGCTTCTCGTTGTCGCGTGAGAATAGCTTTCGACGCGGTGGTTAATTCGTAAGCGGTAATAGTATCGTTCAACATTTGTTTCGTAATTAAATCGCCGCCGCGTTGATTCATCGAGGATCGTGGATAATGTATCGAGTTGTTGGCGAGTTGGTTACCGAGATGTTCTTGATTATACGATATATGATTCATTACAAGACACAGAAATAGTACACCCATGAACGTCACCAAGAAATTCTTCATCCAGCAATTCAGTTGCGTGAAATTACAAAAATGGACCAGACCAACCAAGATCAAGTAACCGTAATAGTATTCGAAGTTTTTCAAGTTATGCAAGTTGCTGCAGGAATAATTGAAAAGAATAGACGTGATCGGTAAACCGACGAGGATCGCGCCGCAAGTGTGCCAAGGATACCATTGCGAGAAGAATTTAAATACTTGTTGTATAAACGTCGCGTGGACCATGTTCGGATATAAAAGTTGACGAACGCAAAGCGACACGGCTATAATTTGGATCGTAATAGCACACACGGAGAATATTATATAATATAACGTAGGCTCGCAAAGTAAAAAAAGTGAAACCGTGACGGCAGTGTATACCAGCGCCGATATCAAAATATCAAAATACGTATTGAACCTCGACGTAGCTAAAGTAGGCGGATTACCGCTGATACACTCGCTGACCTTATGAGCATTCTCTCTGTATTCCTTTTCCATCTCTTTGTTCTTGAAGAAAAGAGTCACGCTTGATAGCGGCGGTTTCACGAAGTACGAGCGTTGAGAACTTACGTTATCTTGAACACACCTTCGAGGAAAATGAAAATCGTATGAAATTATGCGACACTCCTTAAAACGTAGTTACTTTGACTTATTCACCTGATCAATTGCAGATCGGATTGTTTTCTTAACTTATGAAAACATGCACCAAAAGTATCCGTGACTGTTGGGGGAAACGGATAGGGAGGTATCGAAGACGACGGCTCTTGAATAGAGTTCAACGTCGAACTAGAAGTATAATAGCCGCTCACTCTGTGCGCTAATAAGTCTCCTTGAGCCATACCGTTCATCAAAAATAACTAAAACGTGAAAATGAACTGCAGGAGGAAAAGACGACGTGTGTCGACATTGGTAGACGAATGAAATTTTAATGTTAAGATGGAGCCTTGTAACGTGATCGTATCATAACGTTTCTTGCAATACCTGCTGCTGTATACTGCTACGTCTGCTGTTACTTCTGATCCCAGAATCTTTTCTGCTACACATAGAAGAGGCACGACTGAGTGGCTCTTGACCAGACAATAAAGGACTAGAAGGTACAGGGTTTGGATCCATTTCTATGTCGTTTTGGGACGTATTCTACAATTAAATACAACTTATATACAAATTAGACAATACGGTCGAATAGTTGAAACGTGAATTTTCTATCGACGTGATTGACCTGCCTAAATCCATTGCGATCTTCGAACGATTGAAATTCAATTTTCGATCGTTCGGTAATAATTGCTTTGGCTTGTTCCATTTCAAGCGGGGTCATTTCTTCGGTGGTACGTTGTCGTTGTAAGTATTTCCACGGCTTGTTCCTCAATTTTTTCTTTCCATAACTAGCAACAGATATCGGACTTTTATTCACATTTTCTTTCCCATCTGCGGTGTCGGTATCTCCATTTTCTGAGTCTAAAATACTCGGCAGAGAGTTTGCTTTCATTCTATAATTACTTGCATTAGTGACCATATGAAGATAATGATATTTCGACTTAGATTGACTATTGCAAGAGGCCAAGCGGTGACGCGACTGCATCAGAGGCGATATACTTTTTGGAGATGTCATATTTGCTATGAATTGGTTGGCGAAATCCGATTTTCGACCTTTGATAAAATAAGTCTTAATACCTGAAATAGAAAAATTTTTATTATTGTATTTCATTATAATTGAACGTGCGCAATTTACATACCATTTATCAGATCCCCTTCTTCCGTAATATATTGATCATTGAGAAAACTCAACGTGTTTTCGCTTAAATGAACTCTTCCTGGTTTCCCTGTACTTTCTAATTTATTTGCCAGTGTCACGTCATTGGACCATACATCAAATTTAAATCTTTTAGTACCTACAATTCCACAGAGAACAGTTCCAGTGTGTACTCCGACTCGCATATTAACACCCTCTCTTCTTTCAATATCAAACTGTTTTATAGCTTCTATCATAGCTGAACACATATAGATTACTTTTTATTTGTATGCCACCTTTTTACAACGTAACGATAAAAAAAAAAATAAAGGATAAATTACCTAATCCCATTTCGATACAACATTTTGCATGATCAGATCTTGGCTCCGGACATCCACTTACACAATAATAACAATCTCCCAATGTGGAGATTTTCTCACATCCATGATGTTCACACAAATCATCGAATCTTTCGAAAAGATCATTTAGAATGCCTACCAATTCTTCCGCAGTCTTATTCGAACTCATTCGCGTAAACCCAACAATATCGGCAAATAGAATACTAACATTATCCATCGAATGCATATTGAATGGCCGAAACAGCGAACGTATATCTGTATTATTGGATGGTATCGATCCTTTTTTTAAAGAATCCTCACGCTCCCTTTCACGCTCACTTTCTTCCATCAACCAGTCGGCAACTTTTGGTGGCATTACCGAATGAATCATTTTTTCTTTAAGCTGCTTCTCCATTTCTAGTTGACGCCGCACCAGCAACGACTGTCCAACTTTCATAAATGTACCACGCATTCTTACAAAAGTCATTATTAAAATATGTATACCTATCAGATGAATGCAGATTTGCATTAAAATCCTTATCCCAAGACTCGTAGAAAAATAATTATCATCCGAAAACGATCGGTTGGATATGTTACTACTTAAGAAATAGTTTGACGTTTCGTCATTTTTATGGATCAACACACTTTCCCCCAATACCGAGGTTGTATTGTTTATACCTTTGGAAATTAAGTCGTTCGATGAAGCATTTATAGCGGAATTAACATTAGCTATAGTTGATATTATACTAGAATTCAAGTTTTTGAAAACATTTGCATCGTTCAAAGCTCCGGATAATCTGTCCATCATAGTCTCATAGTTGGACGACCTCGGTCCAAATGCGGATAACAGTTTTGATTCCTGAGAATATGGTACGGGTTTCACACTTTCTGTTGTATATTCGTTGTCGTTGCGCATCGTGTTTAAAAGTTGACTGCCATTTAAATATCTCAACGAAGAGTACGCAGCTGCTGATATTTTGGTATAATCTAGTACTGTATCGTTTCCTGTAGAATTATTTGATAAACTATGTTCACTAAAAAACTTTTCTCTCGCAGTTTTTGTACCGTATAGGTAGGCAGTCAAAAATTCAAATAGAAAGGAATAGACTGTCGATATCCCCACGCAAACATACAGTGGCATTGGCAACACGGTGTAAATCAATAATAAAATCTCAGAACATAGTGCAAAATGTCCAACTAGAGTTAAGCCGTCTATGTAGGGTGGTACTATTGCGAGAAAAAGTAAGGACAGGATGCAAAGCATAGATGCGACTGCTAATGAAATTGGTAGTAGATAGGTTTTGTAATAATCTGTATGCGTTAAATACAAAACCATTGATACCATTGCTCCGACAGTTATGAAAACTGCTGCTATAGCTGGCCATGTCGTGGTATTATTTTCTGTTCCAATTATAACGAAATATGCCAACCATGATAAAGAAATCAATAATATATACGTTAGGGCATATCTAAAATAAGAAAAATTAATATAATATCTCAAATATAAACTAAATAAATATTTATTTTTTATTATTACCGGAATCTTAATCTAATTTGTGGAAAGGCACTTCTTTTAAATTGTTCTTCAAGTATTTCTGAATCGAATTTAGGATTCCACCAAGATCTTGGTGCTGCACGTTCAAACGGCACTGGAAGGCTAATTCCACAACATCCGAGCCCTTGACCGCTATGTGCCAAATAGGTTTGTATATATGGTGCTAAAGATATATGAATTTCGTCTGCACCATCTTCACTGTTATCCTTAGCTCTTGTAAAACTAACAGACGAGCTTCGCTTTCGATTCGAAGGAGGAGTCATACTTAATTTTCAAACAATACTAAAATTAAAAATTACTTAAGTTTATATAGTTTCTACAGCGAAGCAAGAGTAGATATAAATGTAAAAATAAAATAAAAATAAATTATACAAAGGTATATTCTACAAAAATTATTTTAATCATTTCAAATAACGATACTATTAATAAGTGTTACGATCACTTTGAAATTATTATTTCCCATTTATATTTTACAGAAAAAGTAAAAATTATAATCGATACAAAACTTATCCAATTATTAAGAGAGTGGTTATTGAACACTTATTTAAAAATGACAGCAAGTTTCTTAGCTTAATCTACAAAGCATAATACTGCGATAAAAACAAAATATGTAGTTGGACGCTATAATTTATTAGTAAAAGAAACTTCTAATTAATTAATTCACCTCGATCACTGGCGAAATCGCCACAAAACTAAGAAAATCATCCTCCCTGCTGACATCGGAGATTCTACATGCAATCAGCTTGCTCCGAAAAATGTCATTTTGATTTCTGTCCTGTTTGCGTAGCGTTTCCAAAGTTTGCGAGGAAAATATACCGTCTCATACACGAAAACTTAAACCGAGCTCGTTGCGATGCGTTTACAATTATATATTATTAAAAATGATCATTCGGACGTTTCGAATATTCTTTCCTATAATGCACCATGACCATAGCCATCTTGCATCTGTCGATGACAGCGCCCAGGAATAGAAAGTTCATGCGTTAAAATTAGAGGGCCACGATCAGAGGGGCGCGAACTTCGTTCTTAACACTAGATTGCCCAAGGAAGTCATTTTGACTGCTTTTTAATTTCAATTAGAAAAACAATTATGTATATAATGACACAATTTCTTAGAATTTTGTGACTTTTTGCACAACATATAAATGCGTTTATTAATAATTGTAGTTACCTCCCCCCTCCTTCATTTCCGGTATATATATGTGTGTTATACCTATATCGCCCAAAAGCAGTCATTTTGACTGCTTGGGAAATTTTAAATAATCAAATGACTCTTATTATTGAATTGAGTAAATTTCTTATATGAACAGTTCGACTCTGTATTGAAATAACAGTTTTCATTTTTTTTCGCATACGATTTGGATTCTCGAGCCGAGATTCTCGACTGCCCAGGCATTTTTACTTTCCGACCTATGTAGGCGCACATAAGCAAAGTACCCATAATGAAAAAAAAATTTTGTAAAATTTATTTTACGGAAATACACGTTTTAAGACCTCCTGATCATATTTTAATTATTGAAAAAAAAGAAATTTTTTTTTATTCCCATGTATGAGCACACATATGTATATTATTAATACGATTTTTGAAAATAAATAAAGTAAAACTTATCTGATTGAAATTTTTTGTAGAAGTTGAGCTGATGAATACCTAGAAAAAAGTATTAGACAACATATGATTTTGATTTCGATTAAAAATCAAATTTATATTGTTTTAAATTCGCAGCCATTAGCTCGGTGTTACCCATAATGAAGAAGTTCTTCTTCAAAGGTAACACCGATTACCAGGTCTCACCACGAGGAGGTTGCTGCGAGTGGAGACCCAAAGTGAGATCGATGGAACAAAGTTCGATCGACCTTCCTTTTTACACACTAGATTACGCAAAAAAAAAAGATGCCAAGTAATTACTGTTCTAAAACAAAGGAGGAAGCTAAATTGTGGGAGACGCGACACGACGAAACGCGACACAATACTGCACAGTGCAGTAGGAATATGAGGTGCGACACGTACCGAATAGCGGGTCAAAAGGGGCAGCTCGTTGCCTCTCAGCGAGTCCAATTGAAGGGGAGGAGAATCGACGCACCAGACACGGGTTCTCCATTTCTCCCACGCATCCTGCTGGGAGCCCACGGGACCCAACTCGGGATGGCTGACAAAGGAGAGAGATCCTGAATCCGGGCTACCGCAGACAGGAACAGGTCCCCTCTACGGCCGATGACTCTTTCCCTAGAATTGTCTCACCAGAGGACGGCAACCGACCCTTCGAACCATCTAAACGGCCGATCACTTGCTTTTTACATTAAAGCAGCGGTGACCGGAGAAACGAGACTGGAAAAGAAGCTATTAATGAATTCATTACTTGGCAATCTACGCAGTAAATAAAATAATATACAATGTAAATTGAAAATTAACGTCGTAGGTGGAATTAATGAGATTAAGGAATTGAAATAAACATAGGAATGAGAAAGAAAGGAAAAAGAAATATTCGACGTTAATTTTTACACTCGCGCCGCGCCTTAAATTTAATGCCCTTACGTGCAGATGAATCCGAAGTCCTCCCTCTAAAAATTGATCTGAATAAAAACTAAAATAAAAATTAGTAGTTAAACAAACAAATTAGAATTAATTATATCAACAAATATAGGGACAAATAAATACAAATATACAACCAAGAGCAGGATAATTAAAAAAATAACAACCCCACGATGAAAGACAGTGAGGAACAAAATAATTTGAAAAATCACAACCCAACGAAGTAAAGAATGGAGAACAAGATAATTCGAAAAATAACAACCCATCGATGTCGAAAATAAAGAACAGAATAATTGGAAAAATTTCTACCCAACGATGTAATATATGTAGATAAAAGCTGAAAAAAAAACAATTGAATGAATTATTAGAGAGAGGAACAGAAACAACGAAATAATACATCCCTATATATAAATAAAAAACACAATAATGGTATTAGTTATATGGATATAAATATATGTATGTATTATACCAATCGGCGACACCAGTCATCATCGCAGAATCAGAGAATCTGAAACAGAAAATACGCGTGACAGTACCCCTGGCGGTTCCAGGAGTACTGAAAAAAGTCGATCAGCTGTGCCCGTTTTTATGCAGTCGGAGAAAAGTAATCCCTAGCCAATCAGCAGCCAGTCCGCTGGGGGCGACACTCCGATAGGGCGACACTTGCTTCACCTAAGTTTATAAGAGACCCCCCTGAGGCCCGCGCGGGGGAGTTATCTCCCAACCACCAAGCAAGACGGACCGTATCGAGATGAAGAATTTAATTGAAGACTTACATTCGATCAAAATCGAAGATGGCGGCCAAGAAGATGTTTCACGAGCAGCGGCCAAGGGACAAAACCGGTCTTTTTAAAGACCAAGAAAACCTCATTTGTGGGAACAACTTATGCAATGAACTGAACAACTTTTAAATTTAACAACTCAGAGACACTTTACATCTCTGTTTTGTAACAACTTTTATATTTAACAATTCAGAGACACTTTACATCACTGTTTTGTAACAACTTTTATATTTAACAACTCAGAGACACTTTACATCTCTGTTTTGTAACAACTTTTATATTTAACAACTCAGAGACACTTTACATCTCTGTTTTGTAACTACTTTTATATTTAACAACTCAGAGACACTTTACATCTTTTTTTTGTAACAACTTTTATATTTAACAATTCACAGACACTTTACATCTCTGTTTTGTAACCACTTTTATATTTAACAACTCAGAGACACTTTACATCTCTGTTATGGAACAAGTTATGCAATAAAACTGAACATGGTATATTTGCCTATACATATAGGAAGGAAATTCGTCGTTAGTATTGTCGCCCGTCAATGCACTTAATTATGCATGATCAGTATACTATCTAATTTTATTTTTTATTATACCGGTTTGTAATATCGTAAAGATCAATGCAAAAACATTATGCACAGCTCTTGTATTTCTTTGATTTATCCAAGTAGTCAAAGTATAATATTTAACAAACTTTTGATTCAAATAAAACAACGAAAGACACAAAATTTGTGTAAGTACCTGTTACATGCAACCTATGTATAAATGCATAATAACTAATATTGATATGCGCATAACGAATTTAGTTTGTGATATGAAACATTAAGAAAAGTGTAAATTAATAAATAGGTTTCAAAATGGGTATTCCGGGTTTAACAACTTTCATAAACAATCGTTCAGATCGTTATTTGGAATAGTTCGAGCTACGTGATATGTATTTAGTTATTTAGCTGTCAAATATATAATTCGTACAAGTGCAATTGTGTTTTTGTCGGTGATTACGATAATTACGCTCAACGAGTATCGGATTTTTTTGACGATTTGATAAAGTGCAATGCAGTACCATTAGTTTTGATCGATTGTGGTTGCGAGGATAAGAAACTGCAAACAGTTATATCTAGAACTAGAGAAAAGGTTCGTACAGCATCATCTTATTCTCCGATCTGTCAACAGAAAATGAAATTTTTTCCTTTATATATTTAGGAAGTTTTCAAAGATGTTATGTGAAAGAAGAATATTCGTCATGTGCAATGCTTATTCGAAGCTGATAATGCTATAGCTACTGTAGCAAGGATATTGAATTGTCCTGTATCGAGTTATGATTCAGATTTTTATGTGTTTGGGACATTGTACATACCATTTGATACATTGGACAATTACACGGTGAAAAGTTCAACTGGAAATGGTTACACGAAACGTTGTAAAATTTATAAAGTTGAACACTTATTAAATTCTTATAGAGGTTTAAGTCAATCTACACTGCCATTAGCTGCAATATTACTAGGCAATGATTATGTAAAACGTGGTACATTTAGAAACTTCTTTCGTTAACAAGAAAAAGGTAAAGTAATCGACAGTATTGTATAGAAGCAACTTTACAATGGTTGAGCGGATTTTACATCTTGGACAAAGCAGTCATTGGAATACTATGTAGATCACCTAAAACCGTAAGACAAAAAATGGCTATACAAATGCATCTACAGAAATACTTGCTTACTTCCATTGGGGTTTTCACAGGAATATGCAGCTCGTACCACAACACGTTCCATAAACAGAATTTTTAAATTTGATGGAGATGTTAATAGTCTAATGTACATGGAAGAAACTGATAAAAATGGAGACTTTGAATCATCCGAAGAAGAAGAAGAAGAGGAAGAAAACGAAGTTGAAATATTAGACATGCTTAAAGGGGTCAGAATCTGCTACCAATAATGCACTAGCTAATGTACCTAATTTGTTTGTAGATGAATATCTTATGGGCAATTATCCTGCATATTTTATGGACTTGTTGGTTCGACGTTTATATATTTGTCCTGTACAAATAGAGGATTATTCCTATCCATTGAGCAATGTAATAAGTTTAAAAATTATTAGAGTTATATATGCATTTCTGCAATCAGGAATGAATAGAAGGAGAGGTTTTATGAAATACATGATGAGAGACTGTAATAAAAAGCTTAAATGTTACGAAGCAGAAGGCACTGACACTAAATTTTCTTCCCCATTACTGTCCTTATCTAATCTTAGAGAAGTACCATTAACGAGTCCAGGATTAAAAAATAATGTACAAACATGCGTCATTGATTTTTCATTACCATTTGAATTCAAGTTATATAGACACAAATATACAACCAAAGCCCATAATGAATGAAAAATTGACACGTAAATACACGTTTCAAGATCCCCTGATCATGTTTGACATAAAACAATACTTTGGAAATAAATCGTTTGAATATAGTTTATCAAGTAAGACTTTCGAAATTATTTTTAAACGATTTATTTTCTAATTGTTCTACTATTTCAAATAATAATTTATGATCTTATAGCAAAGAATGTTTACTTAATATCAATTCAATAAATTCAATTTGTATTTGTATATTTTTCGCCTATATAGGCAAATATACCATGTTCAGTTTTATTACATAAGTTGTTCCAAAACAGAGATGTAAAAAGTCTCTGAGTTGGTAAATATAAAAGTTGTTCCAAAACAGAGATGTAAAAAGTCTCTGAGTTGTTAAATATAAAAGTTGTTCAGTTTAGTGGTTCCCACAAATGAGATTTTCTTGGTCTTTAAAAAGACCGGTTTGCCCTTTGGCCGCTGCTCGTGAACCATCTTCTTTGGCCATCTTCGATTTTGATCGAATGGAAATCTTCAATTAAATTCTTCATCTCGATACGGTCAGTCTTGCTTGGTGGTTGGGAGATAACTCCCCGATGAACGCCTCAGGGGGCTCTTATATCCAAGGAGTTTTACATAATCATTGCCTAGTAATATTGCAGCTAATGGCAGTGTAGATTGACTTAAACCTCTATAAGAATTTAATAAGTGTTCAACTTTATAAATTTTACAACGTTTCGTGTAACCATTTCCAGTTGAACTTTTCACCGTGTAATTGTCCAATGTATCAAATGGTATGTACAATGTCCCAAACACATAAAAATCTGAATCATAACTCGATACAGGACAATTCAATATCCTTGCTACAGTAGCTATAGCATTATCAGCTTCGAATAAGCATTGCACATGACGAATATTCTTCTTTCACATAACATCTTTGAAAACTTCCTAAATATATAAAGGAAAAAATTTCATTTTCTGTTGACAGATCGGAGAATAAGATGATGCTGTACGAACCTTTTCTCTAGTTCTAGATATAACTGTTTGCAGTTTCTTATCCTCGCAACCACAATCGATCAAAACTAATGGTACTGCATTGCACTTTATCAAATCGTCAAAAAAATCCGATACTCGTTGAGCGTAATTATCGTAATCACCGACAAAAACACAATTGCACTTGTACGAATTATATATTTGACAGCTAAATAACTAAATACATATCACGTAGCTCGAACTATTCCAAATAACGATCTGAACGATTGTTTATGAAAGTTGTTAAACCCGGAATACCCATTTTGAAACCTATTTATTAATTTACACTTTTCTTAATGTTTCATATCACAAACTAAGTTCGTTATGCGTATATCAATATTAGTTATGCATTTATACATAGGTTGCATGTAACAGGTACTCAAATTTTGTGTCATTCATTATTTTATTTGAATCAAAAGTTTGTTAAATATTATACTTTGACTACTTGGATAAATCAAAGAAATACAAGAGCTGTGCATAATGTTTTTGCATTGATCTTTACGATATTACAAACCGGTATAATAAAAAATAAAATTAGATAGTATACTGATCATGCATAATTAAGTGCATTGACGGGCGACAATACTAACGACGAATTTCCTTCCTATATGTATAGGCAAATATACCATGTTCAGTTTTATTGCATAACTTGTTCCATAACAGAGATGTAAAGTGTCTCTGAGTTGTTAAATATAAAAGTGGTTACAAAACAGAGATGTAAAGTGTCTGTGAATTGTTAAATATAAAAGTTGTTACAAAAAAGAGATGTAAAGTGTCTCTGAGTTGTTAAATATAAAAGTTGTTACAAAACAGAGATGTAAAGTGTCTCTGAGTTGTTAAATATAAAAGTTGTTACAAAACAGAGATGTAAAGTGTCTCTGAGTTGTTAAATATAAAAGTTGTTACAAAACAGTGATGTAAAGTGTCTCTGAATTGTTAAATATAAAAGTTGTTACAAAACAGAGATGTAAAGTGTCTCTGAGTTGTTAAATATAAAAGTTGTTCAGTTCATTGCATAAGTTGTTCCCACAAATGAGGTTTTCTTGGTCTTTAAAAAGACCGGTTTTGTCCCTTGGCCGCCATCTTCGATTTTGATCGAATGTAAGTCTTCAATTAAATTCTTCATCTCGATACGGTCCGTCTTGCTTGGTGGTTGGGAGATAACTCCCCCGCGCGGGCCTCAGGGGGGTCTCTTATAAACTTAGGTGAAGCAAGTGTCGCCCTATCGGAGTGTCGCCCCCAGCGGACTGGCTGCTGATTGGCTAGGGATTACTTTTCTCCGACTGCATAAAAACGGGCACAGCTGATCGGCTCTTTTCAGTACTCCTGGAACCGCCAGGGGTACTGTCACGCGTATTTTCTGTTTCAGATTCTCTGATTCTGCGATGATGACTGGTGTCGCCGATTGGTATAATACATACATATATTTATATCCATATAACTAATACCATTATTGTGTTTTTTATTTATATATAGGGATGTATTATTTCGTTGTTTCTGTTCCTCTCTCTAATAATTCATTCAATTGTTTTTTTTTCAGCTTTTATCTACATATATTACATCGTTGGGTAGAAATTTTTCCAATTATTCTGTTCTTTATTTTCGACATCGATGGGTTGTTATTTTTCGAATTATCTTGTTCTCCATTCTTTACTTCGTTGGGTTGTGATTTTTCAAATTATTTTGTTCCTCACTGTCTTTCATCGTGGGGTTGTTATTTTTTTAATTATCCTGCTCTTGGTTGTATATTTGTATTTATTTGTCCCTATATTTGTTGATATAATTAATTCTAATTTGTTTGTTTAACTACTAATTTTTATTTTAGTTTTTATTCAGATCAATTTTTAGAGGGAGGACTTCGGATTCATCTGCACGTAAGGGCATTAAATTTAAGGCGCGGCGCGAGTGTAAAAATTAACGTCGAATATTTCTTTTTCCTTTCTTTCTCATTCCTATGTTTATTTCAATTCCTTAATCTCATTAATTCCACCTACGACGTTAATTTTCAATTTACATTGTATATTATTTTATTTACTGCGTAGATTGCCAAGTAATGAATTCATTAATAGCTTCTTTTCCAGTCTCGTTTCTCCGGTCACCGCTGCTTTAATGTAAAAAGCAAGTGATCGGCCGTTTAGATGGTTCGAAGGGTCGGTTGCCGTCCTCTGGTGAGACAATTCTAGGGAAAGAGTCATCGGCCGTAGAGGGGACCTGTTCCTGTCTGCGGTAGCCCGGATTCAGGATCTCTCTCCTTTGTCAGCCATCCCGAGTTGGGTCCCGTGGGCTCCCAGCAGGATGCGTGGGAGAAATGGAGAACCCGTGTCTGGTGCGTCGATTCTCCTCCCCTTCAATTGGACTCGCTGAGAGGCAACGAGCTGCCCCTTTTGACCCGCTATTCGGTACGTGTCGCACCTCATATTCCTACTGCACTGTGCAGTATTGTGTCGCGTTTCGTCGTGTCGCGTCTCCCACAATTTAGCTTCCTCCTTTGTTTTAGAACAGTAATTACTTGGCATCTTTTTTTTTTGCGTAATCTAGTGTGTAAAAAGGAAGGTCGATCGAACTTTGTTCCATCGATCTCACTTTGGGTCTCCACTCGCAGCAACCTCCTCGTGGTGAGACCTGGTAATCGGTGTTACCTTTGAAGAAGAACTTCTTCATTATGGGTAACACCGAGCTAATGGCTGCGAATTTAAAACAATATAAATTTGATTTTTAATCGAAATCAAAATCAAATGTTGTCTAATACTTTTTTCTAGGTATTCATCAGCTCAACTTCTAGAAAAAATTTCAATCAGATAAGTTTTACTTTATTTATTTTCAAAAATCGTATTAATAATATACATATGTGTGCCCATACATGGGAATAAAAAAAAATTTCTTTTTTTTCAATAATTAAAATATGATCAGGAGGTCTTAAAACGTGTATTTCCGTAAAATAAATTTTACAAAATTTTTTTTTCATTATGGGTACTTTGCTTATGTGCGCCTACATAGGTCGGAAAGTAAAAATGCCTGGGCAGTCGAGAATCCAAATCGTATGCCGTTGACCGGAGATCGGATTTCAGTTGTGTGGGAGCGAGAAGGCAAATGTGAGCCTTTCTCTCTCGACTCCCACGAAGCGGTCCGAAATTACTTCGGGCAGCTTCGGAGAATCGAGAAAGAGGGCATGCGTCAGTTTGCCTTTGTCGTCTTTCCGAAACTCCACGAGCTCACGTACGCGTATCTAGCATGTGTGAGTGTGCACCCGACGGTGCTTTTCTGGCATCACTGTTCGAATCTTTATGCAGTGATACTTGTTCTAACAAGTTGTTTATTTTATTTCCTCGCCCTAAATTCATAATATTATAACATAATATTAAAAATTAATTTTAAACAAATTTCTTTACACATTAGTTAGTCTTTCACAATGCAGTCATTTTGACTGCTTTTGGCCAATATAGGTATATACTAAGTTTCAGTCTTTCTAGTGTTAACTGCGATTGGATAACAATTGTCGAGTGAAGTGAGTCAAGAGTTTACTGTAGTACCAATATAAGGTACTAAAAAATTAGATTCTTTTTTTACAAATTTAGCTTACTTGTGGTAGAGCTGTAATCTGAAGTAATATAAATAAATAAGTAAACAAAGTATGGGACTATGAATTTGGAAATCATTTTCTCGTATCTACGGTATACTTAATAAATGTTGAAAACGTAACCATGCAGATTTACATTATATATCCCTAATATTTTGTTGAAACGGCTAAAACGAATAATATAAATGATATTACAGCATTTGTTGCACTTCGAGTCAAAGTCTCGAACTATTTTAACCTTCCATTAGTCGTGCAAATGAGTTCACTAAAACATATTACGTTATGAGTAACGTGTCATGCGGCACGTGTCGTTGAATGGCACAATACTGAATTACAAGTGCCTCTGGATGTCCAGCCGTCTTAAACATGAGAAAGAGTTTCTTATTTATTTAAGTTGATAGAAATTCGTTAGAATATGGAGACTGAAAAGGCAAATAATATCGAGACATCGGAGAACGATACACAACATATAAACATATGTAATCAAAAAACTTTTTATAATTCCAATAAAAAATTACTACAATTAAATCCAAATATAAGTAAACGTCAATTAAAAAAAGTGAGAAAAAGGGAAAAATGGTTGGAACGAAAGGATGAGAAAAGGTTTTTTATCTGTTAATTTTTTAATAAATATTCAGAAATTGACAGTGACTACGGTTTATGTTTAACAATGAAAATGTTTAAATAGAATAAAGGAACGAGAGAAAGCAAGGCAAAAGCGAGCATTTGCGCGTGCGAACAACATAGACCTTGGACCGTCTAGGAAAGCTTTAAAAAAAAGTACAATGGCGGATAGTAGTTGTAAAGTTGGTGTGACTATTGATATGTCTTTCGATGATCTAATGATCGATAAGGATATTGCGAAATTAACTAAACAAATACTAAGATGTTATACTTTAAATAGAAGGGCCAATGCACCGATGCAATTTTCCCTTACTGGTTTCAATGGAAAATCAAGAAGTCATATGCAGAAGCATAATGGGTATGAACATTGGGATGTATGTAATTATTTTGAATGTACTTGTCGATTCATTAAAAGATATTCAAAATGTTCTCAAAATATAACATTTATAGTCCACGTTTAGCAATGTAAAAATAAATTTTATAGGTAAAATTTCACACCGAATCGTATTTAGATATTTATCGAAAAGAAAAAATCATATATCTAACTAGTGAATCAGAAGATGTTATCGATCATCTGGAACATGATTGTGTGTATGTTATAGGTGGTCTTGTTGATCATAATAGTCATAAGGTAAGCTAGCTCTTTCAATTTGTATAAATCTTATACAACGTTTACATTTTTAGGGCCACTGTCATAAAATAGCTGTAGAGGCTGGAGTAAGGCACGGCCGATTACCTCTAGACAAATTCTTACAAATGAAGGCGAGAAAGGTTTTAACCGTTGATCATGGTACGTGTTATTTAAATGAAAATTTTATAATCAAATATAATGCACGCAAATTTTTCAGTGTTCGAAATTTTGCTTAGAGTTAGCGAAGGAAGAACATGGCAAGATGCATTTTTGCAGGTACTACCGGAAAGAAAAAATGCTCAACCTATTGCATCGTCAGAAGAAAACAATGACACAGCAAATACTTGCGTTACAAGTCAAACTTAATTATCTTGGTATCGTATTGTATATAATTTTGCGACAGAAAATTCTTACATTCGTCATCTTTATGTTGTTATCATATTATACATATGTATTTAACAATGCAGTATGTTTTTAAAATATGTTTACAATTGATTCATGAACATGTATCTATAATACACTCTTGCGCACGCGTGTTATCTTTATTTGCTCGGAAACCGCGTAAAATTTTTCAAATGTAATAAACAATACGTAAAGGTCACGGCACAAGCTAATTCGATTCGTGAATTTAAAAGTTCATTACGCGAGATACAACATTAGAATTAACAAAGAACACGTTTTCAAATAGCCGATCGTGAGTAACAAATTCGACAAAAAAAAGTTTCATCATTTTTGGTTGATTAAATTGAAAAAAACCCGTTCATTGTGGGATTAATAATTGATTGATAATGGAATGTACGGAAATTACATCAGCGAATCAACACGCAGATTAACTTATCCTTCGAGTTGTTTTTTATCTCATATTCGTCATGACTGATTATATGTGAAACATGAAACGCTTGTTGCGATTCAGACGCGGTTCACGTTTCACCGTGAGATGTTACAAACTACCGAGCGACTCTCGATATTTTGACAACTTATTACGTGTGAGTATTTTGTTGAAAGTTAGAGGAGAAACGTTTGTGCGAATGAGTACCTGTGTGTGTAATGACGTAACAACTACTAATCGTGCATATGTGTAAATTATTTGTTGAATTTAATATATTAATATGCAACGATTCAGACCCGAAGCGTTACCAATTTAGAAATATTCCCAGTTATGTACCAGATATACGTAAAATATTTACCATTCATTATATTCGATTAATCTTAAAAAATTTACAAGCGCGCAAAAAGAAATTTTTCTAGTTATAGATACGAAACCTCGTATATTTATAGGCTTTGAATATCGTACATATTAATCTCTATGACGTATGTATAATTACAACAAAATTTTGTAAACAACCAAATATAGTATATCGTTGTAACAGATAACGATAACGGGATTGTACATAATTACGCGCTGAATAACAACACAGAAGATAATATATGTAATAAAATTTGATTTCAGGAGTCGCTGTATTGATATTTGGTTTATTTCGACGAAACAATAAGTTTAAATGTCAAAACAAAATTGAAGACCGTATCGTTTAAAAAATTATTATTAGCGATTTTGATATTGTGCGTCGGTAACTATTTTCAATTATTATTCCACTTGGAAAAACTAACAACATGGCAGACGGTTTTTTAATATTATGCACCATTGCTATAACAATTCTCACACTTTACTACTACTATACTTCGACCTATGATTTCTGGAAAAAACGTGGCATACCCGGACCGCAACCCTTAATTATTTTCGGTAATTTCGGATCTCTGATAAGTAAAAGAATATCGTTCAGCAGTTACATAAAGACAATATACGAAAAATACAAACACGAACCAGTTTGTGGAATATTCCAAGGAAGTACTCCTATTCTCATCGTTAATGATTTAAACCTTAGCAAGGATGTTCTTATCAGAGACTTCTCGCTTTTTGCACACCGAGGGATCCCTACATTTCCAAAGGTACGAATAAATAAGTTTAATTCACGTAAAAATAACTTTGAAAATTAATGAGGTACGCGCCGAGTTCTGTCTTGATGCAACTTCGTTGTTGCGTTCTAGTTTCTTGAGTTTCGGGCAAAAATAATGTAAAATAATATCGTTTCTATTGTTACATTGGGAAGCCATCTCTGGGAAAAATTTTAATGGGGGCATCTAGAGGGCAAAATAAGACGAAAATCAAGAATACCAATTTGTTGATCGAGGCTTCGTTAACAAGTTATTAAAGTTAAAGTTACGCCTGTAGAACGGCAATCTGCGAACAGCTGCGCACGCTTGATAATGGTTCTTACTCAGAAAACTGTAAGTCGATACGTCGGTAAAGTAGAGTTTCTCATGCTGAGCGAGAACCACTGCTACAGGCGAATCTTTAAACATTAATAACTTTTTAACGAAGCCTCGATCAACAAATTGGTATTCTTGACTTTCGTCTTATTTTTGGCCTCTAGAATTTCCCATTAAAATTATTCTCAGATGTGACCGAATACCCCGTACAGTTACTGATTACCAGACACCTTGTATAATAGCAAACTATTCCAAAATAAATATATATACCAATTTTCAAATCTATTCGCAGATCGATCCATTAACAGAACATCTTTTCGCGTTAGAACCCGAAAGATGGCGACCATTGAGGGCAAAGCTCTCGCCCGTGTTCACGACCGGCAAACTCAAAGAAATGTTTCCCCTCATAATAGAATGCGCAAAACATTTGGAAGAATATCTGGACAAAATGATAAAAAACGGAGAGCTTGTAGAATGTCGCGAAATGGCAGCGAAATACACGACCGACGTGATCGGTAGCTGTGCTTTTGGAATTGAAATGAATGCCTTTAAAGACAAGAATAGCGAGTTTCGACGAATAGGCAAACAAGTGTTCACTCCTTCTCTGCAACAAGTGTCTCAAGAACTTTGCAGACAATTTCTGCCGAGATTATACAATATAATTGGCCACCTGTTGCAACCAAAAGAAGTTGCTAAATTCTTTACGAATGCGATCGTAGGCACGATGAAATACAGAAAAGAGAACAATATCGTTCGGCCTGATTTTGTTAACGTGTTGATGGAACTTAAAGAGAATCCAGAAAAGTTGGAAAATCTTGGTAAGTGATTTTAAACTCATTTAGCAGTCTTTAATATCTGATTTTGCCTAAAAAAAATAAAAACTTTGTTATGTATTGAATTGTATTGTTTTTTACAGAATTTACGGACCAATTGCTCACCTCGCAAGCATTTATCTTTTTCCTAGCTGGATTTGAAACTTCCTCGTCAACGATGAGCTTTGTGCTTTACGAATTAGCGCAGAATCAGCACATACAGGACAAGTTACGGGCAGAAATCAGAGAAAAAAGCACGCAGAATGGTGAATTGACATACAATCAAGTGAAAGAAATGAAATATCTGGATGCAGTGTTTCGAGGTGCATACCCCCCAATAAATTCTAATCGATCAGAAAAATGAGTATTATACTTATTATTTCTTTTTGTATAGAGACACTGAGAAAGTACTCAATACTGCCAATATTGATGAGACAAGTATCCGAAGATTACACATTTAGAGAGACAAAAATTACAATTCCAAAAGATACATTAATTTGGATACCGATATATGCGATTCAAAATGACCCCGATATTTATCCAGATCCAGTAACTTTTAACCCTGAAAGATTTACAGACGAAGCGATCGAGAAAAGACATCCTATGAGTTTCCTGTCTTTCGGTGACGGACCTAGGAACTGTATAGGTAAGTATATGAAATATATTCTAATTGCTAGCAAAATTAACGTTTCATTATCTGTGTTCCTGCATACCATGTTGTATCACCTGCTTTCAGGTGCCCGTTTTGCGCATTATCAAAGTAAGATCGGACTTATCTCTATTCTTCGAAATCATAAAGTCGATGTTTGTGAAAAAACGACGATTCCATTCGACAGTGACCCCCGAAATTTCTTGCTAACGCTTAAAGATGGAGTAACTTTGAAAGTAACGGAAGTACAATGATTTTTATAAATTTTTCATCTTACAATTCAATAAATAGACAAAATTATATAAATATGAACATGTATGTTATTCATTGTTATAATAATTTTGATGTTACCAATATTTTGTTTGAAATTTATTCGAATCGTTTACCAACTATCATGACGTCCGTTACCCGTCAATGAAACATTCCTTGATTTCAAACTCCAATAAGAGACTGTAACAGAAACAAAATAAATATTAGAATTAATATTAGAATTAAGTAATGATTAAATCCAAACCGTATTGCAAGAGATCGTAATTAAAACGCGAGTAGTAACAATGGAAAGATCAACAGGTTAGAATTACGCACCTCGGTCGCGAAATGCCGATATGTCTTGACGCGTCTTGCTACGTTGATTTTCCAAGTACGAATGATGGCTCTTGCTCTTCGCTCATTCGCTCGCTGCGCTCGGTAACGCTCGCGAATTAGATGGTGGGGTGGGGGAAGAGCCGATGTCTCGCGAAGCTTGTAATACGAATCCGAATTCCGAGGGATGCCACAGGCCACATGTAGAAACCGCGAATACAAAACAAATGAACGAAGACTTACTAAACAAACGCAAATACTTTGACTTTAGAATCATATTGATGGATGACGATATAATGTACAAATTAAATACAACTCACATTTTTGTCGATTTATAGTAGCAGATGATAAGATTCTTGAATTTCTCAACATTATTCACTTCGATGATTACATGCAAATTATTTACAACTTTAACTAGTCAAAGAATCGCGAATATATTTCAGTCCATAAGGTGAAAGGTCTACTCGTATACCTCGTCTGTGCTTAAAACACTTTTTCATTATGTGTGTTATTTTCAGGCTAAAGAATTCTCTCGAATTATAAATACAAATTTCTTTTTGTTAAAAAAAAAAAAAAAAAGAACTATATTATATATAAACATGAAATTATGTATTTATATAACTGTGACATTTAAATGCAGTTCATACATATACTTTAATGTATTCGTTTTAAGAAAGAAATACGACCAACGTAATACAAATTACATATTCACTCTTCTACTAAATACAAAATTAAATTGCAATACACGAGTTATGTGCTTTTGCATTAATTAATTTTAAAATAGTTTTCATTCTTCCTTCTGATGCTATGTCGTACGTTTTTGGAAATGATGTATTTTGTGATCTGCTATATATATTTTGTATACACTGTTCCCACTTAAGTGGGGAAACAATTTGTTTTAGTATATATTTCTTCATGAATTGTAGACTACCATATGGTTTTCCTTTGTAATTGGAATACACTTTACATCTAGGTTCATCTAGTTCTATCGATGTTAATATTTTAAACACTGGCTTCAAACTAGGATTCATTAGTGGCGTATGAAATGCTCCCGATACAGGCAATCTACTTATGTTTCTAAAGCCCAACTCTTTACTATGCTTTTCAATATATTGTAATGCTTCTATATTTCCTGCGAATATCTTCCTTTCTGTGCATAGAAAAATAGCAACTCTATAACAAATACGTCATATGATTAATTTTGTAACAGAATTATATATTATTTTTGAACATTTATCGGTTATTAAAATACCATAAAAATATTTCACCTGCATATCGGATTCTCAATGCCCATTTCCATCGCCCACTTCTCTGCATCTGTACAAGCTTTGGAAACTTTTGCTTCCCGTGTACATACCACAGACATCATTCCTTGGGGTACTTGATCTGCAGCATGCTGCATAGCATTCCCTCTGACGTGAACCAATCTAATTCCATCTTCGAACGTTATGGCACCAGAAAGAATTAAAGAAGTTATTTCCCCTACACTATAACCTGCCGTAGCAACACAGTTATCAAGTGCATTAGGCCTTTCTTCGCGAAGTTTTTCTAACGCAGCCAACGATGAAACTACCGTAGCGGCTTGGTTGAACTCGGTCCTGTTCAATTTTTCTTGCGGACCATTTAAACAAAGTTTCAATAGATCGTAATTAAGTATTTCATTGGCAGAGTCAAAAAGTTCTTTAACAGCTGGGAAATGCATATATTTCTTGACTGTGCCAACTTTAATAGTACCTTGTCCAGGAAATAATAATACTGAGGTATTTTCAGGCTCTATAGATGGTTCTTCGTCATCTGTTTTTTTTACTAGCACATCTTTAGGATATGGCGTTGTTGCCCAATTTTTATCATTGGCATCTTTGTATGTTGTGGATTGTTCGAGCAGATGGGAAACATCTTGCGTATTATACGAAGACTCTAAATTATCTGTTGAAAATTCTTCGACATTTTTGGTCCCATCATTTGAACATTTATTCACGTGCCCTAACCAAACACTTCTTGTTAACGGAATAAGTATTTTGTTATATAACATACGTTGATGCATTTTAACTAATTTGAATACAATTTTAACGTTGTTAAATTTTACAATGTATAAATTGTTTAAAAAATAATATCATTCGTATAAGGTTAACCTAACCAAAAAACAATGCTAATATTGCGTATGTGGTTTTCACATAATCTAGGCGTTAAATTTGAACGATTATAAAAATAAAACGAATATACAATTTTAATTGTTCAATAAAATAGCACTGTTAATACAAACTATCGAATTGAACTATATTGCGGAGATATTGAATTTAAGGCAATATAATGTTTATTACACTTGGGTACACTAATCGTGATTAAACGAAATAGAAGTAAAAATTAAACTTATTTTCGTAGTAATTGTAAAAACTAGATGTGAAAGATAGTAGTGTTTTGTGAGTTTGTGTGAAAGTAGGATAGACTGCCAAAATAAGAAGAGAAATAATAGTGACAATATTAATGTGAAAATTACGTTTCGTAGGTACAAAGATTATTTTATTATATTTTATTTTGATCTTTGATTCCTTTTGTACTTTCTCAAAGCAGTGACGGAGTAACATATAGAGCTGTTAAACTGAAAAGTCCAATTTACTCTGATTAGACAGAGTTACACAAATACTGCGTACTTTTTCTATCAAGTGCAAAATCAGATTCTTGCAAGTTTACTATTTCTCGTTCAACATTGCTCGTAATAAATGATACGTATAATTCAATTGTGATAAAAATGGACTTGTGTTAATCTGACTCTTAGATGTACAGATTTTTGTATTTAAATTTTAAAATTAACTTACATGAATCGAATTAGATGCTTTGGTATCAAGTGCTAGATATACATATAAAAAATACTATATCGATTTCTACCTATACAGAGTGGGTGGAAAATTGTAGTACAACCGACTAGGGAGTAATTCTACGTAAAAAAAAATAAGGAAAAAGTGTGGTGTACCGTTCTTTCATTCGAGGTTTCATTTTCGAGAAAAACAAATTTGAAGTTTGTTCAACTATAATCCACCACCATGTCCTCACAGAAAAGCACGCTTTTCACCACCACTATTCAAAAATGGCGCGAGAACGCGGAGGACCAAGCAAACGAGCAAACACACGAATTCAAATATAATCTTCCGTTAGCACACATAAAAGTTGCATCATTTGAATGAGTTTAATAAGTTGTTGTCTTTTTTATTGTTAAACTTCGCGTTAATTTTCTGCAGTAATCCTGAAATTCCCTAGCGAGATTGTTATATTTGCCTTGAAATCAGTCGTGTTGACGGTTACATAAAACGAGTTTTTGTTTTTAAATTAGGATATACATTTATGATCAAATTCGATATAAGTTATTAACAAATAATACTTACGAATTCTGTAACTTTAAGTGTGTGTATTTACTGAAATTGGTTGTAGATATATTATAAAAATATATGTACCCCTCTTAAAGCACTCTTATTTTTCTACTAGAATTTTTTCCATAGTAATTAGAAACTAGTGTTCAGAACTAATTAAGTACTTTCATTCAACATCTAATCCTAACAGAGCAAAATACATAATACAGAATTTAACCACCAATTGTACTAGAGGAAAAAGTTGTTTAAAATGATGCACCTGACAATGCACGTGAAAGTCAGAGTCATTGGAGCACTTTCTCCCGAACTAAATAATTACCTGTAAATCTAGTGTCAAAGCTATTAAGACACCTGTAGTAACAAATTCTAACATAATTAAAAAATGAGTGAAATTTATTAGGTTATATCAATGGCATATAGTATGTATGAATATTACACGAATATAAATTCCTTTCCTTTAATATGAAAATGTCGAATTAAATTTATTTAAATACAACACTATGTGTCATTAACGTCTGCCTCTTCCTCTACCTCGTCCACCACGACCACCTCTGGTGCCGCGTCCGCCTCGTCCTCGACCACGTGCTGCTCCTAAAAATAATTAAACTTTGCGTATGAGTAGATGCACGTGTGTATTCAGTATCCGCAACATCAAACACAAGCTGCTTATATTCTAGATAAAATATAAAATAATCTCCAAGTACTATTTTGACTCAATAAAGATAACACATTTAAAATATCTATGTACAGACTATATTTTATATATAAATTTATAAATTTACTAACCTCTTGCAGCTTCCTTTTTCTTAGCTTTTGCTTTTGGTGTGTCATCTATGAGTAAGGTTTCAAGTGGTAACGAATCTGGCAATATATAATACCTTATATTATTGCCTCGTAAACTTAACGTATCTAATTGAACAGGGTCTCTGTTCTTTATAGTCATTTTCACTGTTTTTAAATGCGTATTCATCGCCACGTCTACTCCTGGAAACAAATATAGTGGAAAATGTTTAGGTTTAAGTTTAAATTAAAAAATGAGAGTACTTTTTATTCGATCTGTATAATGTATAGATAAGACCGGGTTAGCACAAATCGACATCCTGAACTCAGCTCAACGATACATCTCTTAATTGCTTATAGGTAATGGTAAACGCTATTTCAATCTCTGAAGACTGTATTAAATTTTATAAATTCATATGATGTTAAAAAATATGTTTATACTTTTTAAACGGATCTTATTAAAATATTTTAAATAAAAATAAGGTCTTTTGCTCGTTGTCTTTTGTTAATACACAAACACATTTTCTGTGTTAATATGCTACCTAAATGGAAAGCAAAACAAAATTAGCTTTGCATTGAACATGTTAACTAACATGCTATTGGTTACAACACTCGATCAATTATTCAATAGTTATATCGAGGCACTCTCTTCCCTCATTGCCCTAAGTACATACTTATTTTGCTTAATGGTTGATCAAGTCCTCTGTATAGATGAAAAGGAAACCTTTACACTACTAGAACCTAAATTTAGGTTAGGTTAAAAACCGGTCTTATTTGCTAAACTTTACATTTTCATTCCATTTTGTCTATTCCCTCTACGTACTTTACTTTCGTTTTATTCGATGAATAAAATAAAATAAACATTAGCGATACATGTCTATAGTGCTCCACGGATCTTATCTGCTCATTTGTACATAGGAACTACATGCAACAATAAAGTGTAGGTTATGTTATCATACCAGAAATGGTGCCGTATACTTGAGTACCATTCTTCAGTTCTATCGTTACAGTCTCATGACTGAGTTTCATCAAGAATCTAAAATCATTATAATATTCTATAGCAAGTAAAATTAATTTCTAACCAAACAATTTATGTACGCTAACTGCTCGTTCTTAAAAATCGGTACACTGTACGCATATATAATCTTACGTACTTAATTTAATTACAATAAATTCATAAATTTTTACATTAACTTACGTACCTTACAAGCTTCATATTATTCTTATGTTTTTTGTCACGTTGAAATTACAATTGCAGTTACTACCATATCCCTTATCCTTGTTGTTTGATCGCCAATATACCCCATCTACACAACATAAAACGGCAAATTACTTACACCACAGAATAACGATAGATACAGAAGTATCACTCAACGTCACTCTTGGTTTTGCGCCTTTTTCCCTATTTCCATGCGCAAGAGAGATGTGCACTAATCCAAACACACCGTTGCAAGTCTAGTGGGATAAGGAGGTGGGTTGGTGCCCGTGGAGCGTTGAACCGCTCTGCTCGACGAAGCGCGCAGATTAAAAACTTCGAAATTTTCCAGTATAACTAAAACAAATTTACTTTATTCGATAGATCGACAAACTTGGCCGTATTTTAAATATTCGCTGTACTCTCTCGAGAATTGATCTGATGTCTACGTTCTGATTTTTACAATAAGCAAACCTCGGTGATCCCTACCAAGGTGACAGCGACGAACATTACTCAGCGGAAAGTGGATTGGTCACGCCACTCCTTAACGTCGTCACCTTGGTAGGGCGGTTCCTAACATTTTGCAACATTCCCGCCCACTCTGCTGTCTTAAGAACGCTGCATTTTTAATAACAATTTGGGGAAACTCATGGTCGGCTCCCCAACTGTGATAATATCTTGCGCTCTACAATAATAATGCAGAAAACACTACAGAGTTATTTAAACAAAAATATCGAATAAGGAATATAAGATAAACAATTATTTATTCATTAATTATTAAAGAAAAGTAAAGATTTCAATTATAGAACGAAATATTTCGCAATTAACAGATACAAACTTATAATAAAAACATTCGATCGATTAACTATCAAGAATAAATTGCTATATATCAGTTTCATCAATTATTTGTTATTCGAATCAAATTTTCCCAACCCTGATTCGTATTGTTCTCATCCTTTTGTGTTGCTTAAAGTTACGCATTGTAATTTAAATTAGCATAATTTATTTAGTGGTTTCGATCAATTACGAGCACACGCATATGTTCTTATTGTATTATAAAAAAAAAAAGGAAAAGGATTGATTCCATGACAGATTCTGCAAGCAAGTACACTGCTGAATCAACTGTTGCATCGTCTTGAAAATACGTTCAATGTTGCTTAAACATTGGCTGCCAACCGGGAAATAAAAACACTCTCGATATCTAAAATGGTATTACTTTCCAAACACAAAATATATTAAATAAAGTTACTTGTTTTCTTCATATTTAGCAATTCCCCTAGTTTTGGAAGCAATCCATCACTGTAGCCTAAAAACCTCATTTTTTCAAAAACGAAGCTGCGGTACATCATACGGTTTCGTGCATCATTAATGATCCTGAACAAGTCCGCAAAATTTGATCTTGATCTGTGAAACACAATTCTGGTCCTTCCTTTGTAGCAAATGAAAACACTATGTTTATACACAAATATATACTTTTCTACATAAACATTGAATTATGTAAAGCCAATAGATCTTTTTCTCTTTCCACTGCACGTTGTTTCTCTTTCCTGTACATTTCATAGTCCTCGTCATCCGTTGGTAATTCGTGTCTGCATAACGGACATGAATTTGTCTAGAAATATAAAATCTGTTTTATCCAGCGAGTCCTGCGTTCGCCTAATGTGTCAACAATGACTATTAAGAATCGGTACCTTTTCTAACCACGGTATTATACACTCTTTATGAAAAACATGTTTACAGGGCATGCACTTTGCGGATATTCCAACTTCTAAATCTTTCAAACATACAGGGCATTGTTTTGAATCTAGCGATCCGATTTCAATCTCTTTCAAATTTTCAATTGCAGATTTTGAAGCAGGAGGTGGTAGTCTGGTGGATTGGCCCAATAAATCCCACATACCAAAATCTCGTAAAAGCCTTGCTATTTGGATTAGATAGCTTGGCGCCTCGCCGTCCCTTAACGGTGTCCATCCCATTTCATCGAAATAATCCGCCATTTCTTAACAGAAAAAGTTGTAGCTAACTTCACTTACACTTATTTTGTAACGTATAATCGTTATTTGTACTTTTCATTTCGCATTATCGGCGAAGTGACACGTTGTATTTAATTTCATACTGACTAACTGTATACCTGTCAATTTGATATTTAACGTTATACAGACTGATCGATTAAAGTCGATGTCAAGAACAGAAAGTCACGAATTGTCCCGTCACGCCGTGACGGTCACGAGGGCATTTTTTTATGACAATCTATCTATCAGCCATCAGCATTGGCCCTCTGTGAGACACCAAAGGAAGTAGTAATGTTTCTTTCTATAGTCCATTTAAGCCGACCAGTGTGGCCAGATTTGGCACAATTGAGTCAATTGAGTGCATCACTAGTGACGACGAACTTCCCTAGCGCCTAACGGAGTGGCGGGGATAGCCGCTATTTAGATATACGTTAATAACTTTTTAACGAAGCCTCGATCAACAAATTGGTATTCTTGATTTACGTCTTATTTTGCCCTCTAGAATATCCCATTAAAATTTTTTTCAGAAGTGCTCGAACATTCTGTATAACGTAAAAATGCCTGGGCAGTCGAGATTTGAAATTGTATAATTCAGCTGTTTAAGATCAAGAAGAAAAGGATCACACGCGAGCACACACGCATCGTGATTACATTAGAATACAACACTTTAACGTATCAATTGACTTTATTATTAGTTTCTGTTTAAATATTACTTTTATTAGACAAAATTTCGGCGTCTCCTTTTTCATGATTATATTCAGTTTCATCCGGTGTTTCAACAATTGATTTGTCGTTTATCGGGTGACTTTTGTTCCGATTAGCGTTTAAATTGATCATTTGCTCGTGCCTCTCCTTCGCCACTTTTTCTAATCTTTTATAAAACGTTGACGTCGTAGAGAACATGCGTTTGAAATCACGTCGATATAAGCGCAGCAATTCGCATGTTTCCAGCGCTATCGCGGTTTCTACGCGCCTTCGTTCCGGGAAAATTAAGGCGCCCTCGCCGAAATAGCCTCCATCTTTTTCGTGGCATATCTTGCGTGAAGAAGATAGAAATTGTAATATTTCACTGCCTCGACATAAAGAGAGAATAAACTTCACGTACTTCTTTTCCTTGAAATGTAATGAGAGCGATAGTACCGCTTATTATAAAAAACATACAATCGCCTTCAGTTTCACTTTTATAAATAACGTCTTCGTTCAGATAAATAACTGGTTTTAAAATCCCTACAAATATTGTTACGTTATAACAAAAAGCGAAGATTTCGAAATTTACTTTATCTCACCCATTAAATTTCCAATAACATTGCGCGGTAAATAATGCAAGATCGTGACTGTGTCTAACAGTCCACGACTACTATGGATCATAATTTCTTGATTCAAATGATCTATATATGTATAAATATAAGGGATTATACATGGTGCTCCATGGTTCTTTTGCCAAACTGCAAGAACTTAATTCAGAAATAAAAAGGGGAAAGAAATATTATATAAAGTTTTTTAGAACTCTAAAACAAAGCGTTTATTTTCAATCTTTATATGTACGACGTTTCTTTCTTCCTTTAATCTCCAGATTAAGTTCTCGTAGTTTTGCAAAAGAACCACGGGACAACTTGTATATTTATAAATATTTGCATCATTAAGACAATAAATCACGACTTTGTTGTATCAGGCATTAACCTGACAAAGTGCAAGATATAGCCCTCTCCTTAAAGTAACTGCCTTGAAAACGATACTCGTAATACGCGATAAGTTTATCCTTAAGATATTGCGGGAGTTTCTTGTCGTGAATATATTCTTTCACTTGATGCATAATTCGTTGATACTTCAGTTCTGGTTCCGCAGCAGACTCGACCAATTGCAAAATCATCACTATTAAGATACATTTCTATTAATAAATAATTTTTATTAATTTATTAAATTAATGTAATTACCTATCAGATAAATTATGTATCCTCTTCCTAACAGTAAAAGTATGCAACGTATTACAGTATCTATTTTACTTAAGGAATAAAATTCAGTAAAGCTTGATCCAAAAAAGTTGCTCGTGCCGATATGAAAGTACATTAAATAAATTTCTGAATTGGTTTGTTTGTATAACTCTGTAGTAAATAAATACATTTCACTATCCTAAAACGATTATAATTGATTTGAATTACACTAGAGGATTTAACGGCGTATGATTTTAATTTATTTATTAATTTAACTTTACCTCCATGGTATCTCCATGTATATGTGCGATTACAATTGGAAAAATATGCGATAGGCAGCTGCACCAATGAAGCATTAATAACATCAACAGGACCATCCAAACTGTTATCTCCGCAGCATGAGAAATTTCAAAACTCTATAATTAAACGATAATTCTTAAAGAGCGTATTAATTCTTTGAACTTCTCTTGTCGTTAATTCTTACTGTAATTATTTGCTTGGTGTAAAGACGTAATGTATAAATACGTAAGAGTTTTAAAAGTGGCAAACATTCAGGAATCAAGAATATAGAATTTGAATCAGGACCTGGTTGCGATATACAATATCTATAAAACCATACGTACGGAACCGAAGACACAAAATCGATCAAAAAGTATCCTTTCGTGTAATGCCTACATAAAATTATTATTCGATAAATAAGGTTGCACAGTTTGAAAAGAAAACAAATAAATTACATTACCGTATTATCAGAATTGGATCCAGAAAGATTTCATGACCATCGGACGACGTAAATCCAGTTATGTAATTCAAAACAATGTCGAATATGCAAACAACATACGCAGGATATATCGAATTCAAACTTTCTGGATCAGAACTTTTGGCTACTCTATGAAATGCTAAAATATATGGTATGGCTATGAAAAGGTACAGGTAAATGAAAGTCATTAAAAGGTCCCAGCAAAACCTGTGCGAATAAATATTTCATTAAATTTTACATATAAATTTTATGGAAAATTTCTATAAAAAAAAGTTGAAATATATTCTTACGCCTTGTACACGTTTACAGGCAGTATTTGATGTAAAATCAATAAGGTCATTTAACGTTTGAATATTTTTGTGTCCAAAGAATTAAGCATTACTTAATTTACCTGTATTATGATTATATGTTTCTTGAATTGTGAATAAGTATTAATAACGAGTACATAACTGTTAATATAAATTATTATTTTGGTAAATAATTTTTAGTAACGAATTAAATAATAATTTAGAAGTAGACCTTTATTAAGAAAGAATAAAAGATATATAAATATTTAACTGTGATTATTCCGGTACATAATGATTTGAATAAAATTTCATTCAAAATGAATGTATGCTTTGGTTTCCCATTTATGTAAACGGAAGACGAAATACAGTAGAAATACAGAAATCTATAAAATTTCTCAATCATCCGCATATCTTGTTTTGCAATGTCTGTAAACGTGTACGATCTTAGAGAAAACAAGAATTACCTCAAATCGCTGCAGGGATGTATTACCCACCAAAACGAAGAACGCCCATGCCTCCTTTTTTCAAAAGCAACAGCAGCATAACTACGTAAAAAGTTACGTGTCAGCGGATGATTCACAGAAACTAGAATGAGCTTTTGGAAATCTCGTTTCCAACGAATATAAAACTTTGCATTCGGCGGTAATTTTGGTAAATTACTCTCGGACGTCTTCGATAATTCGCAGGCATGAACGTTCAATCGCCTCTTCGACAACCTTTTGGTATACATTTTTTTTCTTAACTTTATATTAACCAACACGAGATACACGATATTTCACACATATCTGAGAATTTTATTTCAGTCTTGTAAAGAAGCTATATTCAATACAAACTACGGTTACTAACTTGTGTTTGTTATTTTTTTGTTCAGTAAATATTTCGTCTAGAAAACTAGCTGAAAATGTCGAATGATTCGAAAGAAAATTACTGTAAGCAGTTCGATATTCAAAAATGGATTCCTGAATTTCTGATCGGTAAATTTATTCGCTGCATACTTTTCTATAAATAAAACCAAACTTCTAAATACAAAGGAGGAAATAACTTCCGTTCGTCTAGACGCAACGAGCTACAATTATAAAACTGACCGTAAAGAAGCCTTAAAAACGAACGTACAATTTTTAAAAGCGCCGTGAAAAATCTATATAACGATTACATTTTATATATTATTGTTGTCCTATGCTGCAACTTAAAAATCATATTTACACATACTTAAATAAAATATGTTGACTATTACAGGATACACTATAATTATTTTTATACAATAATGGCACCTTGGTGTGCAAAAACATAGAATATCTAATATTGTATTAATTTTAGGGAGTACGCGCTGTACATTTTGACGTATATGTATATCTATACAAAAAATATTTTATCGACAAAAATTCATTGCACACAACATCCGCAGTTTCATTTACTTCGTTGCAGAATAATTCTACTCGATAACCTCGATTTATACATTAAAATTTACAGCAAAACTAGAGGATCGTGATCAATCTGTTTAAAGTACTAGTAAGTACGTGTCGGTAATAAAACATTTGAATTATCGAATAAAAAAAGGATATTAGTCTCGTTACAACAGTCCGTTTAAGTCATTTGTTCTATCTAAATTTCCCCAACAACGAATAAAGCATTTGATAAATAAACTAGACGAATGTCTACAAAAACGATGCGTAATAAAATCTGACATAGAAAAATATATAATATACACATTAATTAGTTTATTCGTCGCTGGTGAAATCGGGCATTTATGGAATGTAGCGTATCTACGCTCAGAAAAGTTGTTTCCACTAGTTTCTATTATATTATAGTAGAAATAGTAGAATTTTTGAAAAGAATAATAATAATATCACGTTGCATGCTTAAAGTACTCCCTTTCTTTTGTACTTCAGATCATGTGAAACGAAATGCTTTATGCTTCCGAGAGACCTTAATAATTTGTTCAAAAGATGAGTCTATGAAGGACATAAAGCCGATAGGCGGTTATTGCATTCTGGTAGAATCCATTGGGCCACAAGCCTGTGAATTTTTAGTGCACATACAATCTTCAATGTCCGTTAACGGTCACTTTGGCGGATCGAAAGTTATCAGCTCAGCAACGTCGAAATTCCACTGTCTGGAAGAAAAAAGAACAGAGTCAGTCGATGTCGAATAAGCTTTCGTTTTCAAAATATATTTGAATGGCATTAATGCAACAAAACATTTTAGATTCATGTACGAAAACGCTGAACTACATGAAAAAACGATTTACATAGGTATGGAAGACAATTTCTTTCATGTAAAACTGACGCGCACCTGTCCATGCGATAAGTCTACAGAAACCAAGAACATATCTTTTCATTGTAACGACCGGCTAATAAGCGAAGGAGTAAATATATTGTTGATGCGGTATTTAGCGCTTATAAATTATGATGGAACGTTATCGTTTGAGAGTATTACTATAGATGGAGATCTTGCTGCCTCTAGTTATGTAAGAAAATATTAAATATTTCCTACTTTCTAATGAATTCAAGTAAAAAACGATTTTCTTTTACAGGTATGTACTAGAGCTGAACGCATGGAAATAGATGATCATTTCTTAAGCGTTTATACAATAGAGCGGAAAATACACAACAAAGATGGAACTGTTCGTGTTATAAGAACTTATTTAACTACCCAAGGTAGAATACTTCGACATAATTGGATGGATGTGCCTTATATCTTAAAAATTAATCCATTAGTCGACCCAGCTGCCACAACTAAAATCATACGGGTAGAAACACCATTGAAAGATTGCTGGTTAGAAGACATTGAAATGGTTTCTAAATATTTGGATATGAAAGTAAAAAAAAAAATAGTATTAAAGTATTTTTCAGTGTCCAGTCATATATAGAAATATAAAAAATGTACGTTCTATTCCGTTAACAGTTCTCTAAAATGGCTGAACAAGTAGAATATCTAACCGACCATCCAGAAATAAAACAATTGATGGCAGATTATACTCAAATGCTATTAGTTGGTAATTTCAACTGTCTAACTATTGTACAAATTCATTTTAAACAGGCCATATTATGAATTTAAACACTTGTCTTTGCAGTTAAGCCTGAAAATGTAATAGACTTTACGATACAACATTTTAAAGCCTTTGCCGCAGATCCGATAACTTGGGAGACCAATATACTGGAAAGGAATTATGATGTTGATATAAAATCAGAGCTTATAAAGGAAACATCTGATGTTACATGCGATATTTGTGGCTTTCGCATAAACAGTAACATGTTAAATGAAACTTTATCAAAGTCTTCTGCGCAGGAATGTTTCGACATAACTGTAAGTATTTTAAAGTTCAAAGTGAATTTAGAAAACTAATGGAACATTCGTTTCAGAATTCCTACGATTCTACAGAGTCTGGTGATTCGAAAAATTGTAATGACACGTCACTCGATAAAGAATGAAAACATGATGCATTCGCTTCATATACGTCTACAAGCGATATGGAAAAGAAACATATTATGTCTCATGATCTTTTACAGTCGAAAGGAACTTGCAATCAATGTCATGCTCTTACAAGAGCTTTCTATAAACATCCATTAAATCTTATCTCTCTCACCGCTACAATTTTATGTTGTATTTATAAAAAATCACACAACTATTTAATTCTAGCTTTCATCAAAGTGTCCTGCATGCTTCAAAGTTTTCAGTACACGTACAAAATGTTTTACCATTTATACAATATAAAAATTATGTAAATGGAATATATATAAAGATTACGTATAAAAGTTTAATAAAGGTCTTTAAATACTCGTATAAATTTTACTTATATCATTTTCTACCAGGTGATGTATCCTTTTGTGAATGACATATGACACAGTTTTCCTGAAAAAGAAAATTAAATTAAAATTTATGAATACTTTTGTAACAACTTTTGATGAACAGAGGTTTTTTAAGTTATATAAAAATTAGGTACGTACCACTACTTTAAAGTTCTGTAGACAATCTTCGTGAAACGAATGTTTGCAATAAAAAACAATTAAGTTCCTTGGTTCTATAACAAACAATCATTGTAAAAATGTCATAAAAATGAAGCGAATGTTGATCCTAAATAGGTTTATACTACTTCAATAGGTACCTCTTACAATTATTCTCTCGTGACACCATCCACACAATTGGTCATCTGATAAAGAATAATATCACGATTATTGATCTAAGTATAATTATTATAAGTACTTCGTTATCAGCACTAACCGTCTATAAATATTCCTTTTTGATGACATCTAACTAGCCTCTCCTGCAGATTAAAATAATCATTGGATAAAGATTTGTTACAACCTTCTTGTACGGACACTTGAAGATTGTAATCGCACATCATTTTAACCAAAGCTTGTTTTAAGTTAGGAATCTCGAAAGACGGTTTTATACTCTGTATCATAAGTCTAGGATCTAAGATCGATCTGCCTATTTTCTGAAGAAGGAATGTAATGGCCTCTGGAACGAAATAGGTTCATTTAACCAACTTATACAGGTATTTGACTAGTTGAAGTAATTTATTCCAAAAATAAAGATAAGTCTAAGTGAAAAATAAAAATAAACAAAGTTATCTTCATTTGACAAATGACAGATAAAAATATTCATTATCGCATTCATTATTTTTACAGCGAAAATTTTACGCGTTGTAGTGAATAAATACATAAGTCACCGTATATTTAATTCAGTTGGCAAATTCACCACTGCAAAACATACATATTCGCTGCCGTTGTATGTCAAAATAGAATTATCAATAAATTATTTCACTACGAATAAAAAAGTATTTTTAATTGTTAATATAACAAAATATGCTCACACTTTTTAAATGTATTTCAGGACACAAATAATTGACGTCTAGACTAAAAAGGCCCTCCTTAAATAAAAATTTTGCCTATCATCGCTTCAAACGTGTTACTTACTAGGTTTGTCGAGAGAATAATTAATTAAGTCGTTCCACAATTCCTCATCATCGTGTTCTTGACAAAACGTGATCGCTTTTTCCATATCATCCAATTGCGTTGTCATGAGCGCCAAAGCTTCCGAAGTATTTCCCATTCTATCAAGTAAATACACCATTTCTTCGTAGAATTTTTGCTGGCTGCAAATATCTAGTGCCTGCTGTATCGGGTAATTATCAGAGCGGCGTAAAAGTGGTAACAATTTGTTTCGAGAGTACTCGGCATACAGCTGGACCAGCAGTCCATGGTACTTGCCCTTAGAATCTGTTAAACCCTTTTTATCTAATGCATCTAAGTACTGACGCGAACAATTTTAAAAACATAAGCATCCATTAGTAAACATAAACAACAATATTTACTTTCGCATGTATTTCTATAATCGATCTTACCAAGTATAAGTATCGGCGATTATGCTGTAATTTTTGTACAACAATATCAGATGGCACCTTCTCTTCTAAAAAAAACTGTATAGCTTGGTCTGTATTTAAATCCATTAAACCTTCTATCATGTCGTAGATAGTATTGTACAATTTGTACTTTTTAATAAATTGAAACACATCGTTGTGCTTTAACTTTAAATACATTGCTAACGTTTTATCATATTTGCCGTCGTGTGTGTATAAAATGGCTAAAGCTTCGAAAAGTACGTGTTTTCGTTCGCTATGAACTCTAATGTGTTCTAAAACACCGTTTATAACAGCTACAACTTTGTACAACGTTGGGGGCCACTTTTTAACTAGATCAAGAAATCCATCTAGATCCATTTTCAAATACTCACACAAAACCATTTCATAGATCAATGGATCTAATTTTACATCGCCTTTCGGAAGATAAGAAGAAATGGATCGTAGCTGATGAACTCTAGCAAACTTGTACACCTACAAACAAATATAATACTAATAATATAAAAAATAAAACAGCATAGCGTAACTCAATGTATGATATTAACTTCTTCCTCCCACAATTTTTTATCCTTTCCTAAGACTTTCAAACAAAGTTTTCCTGCTTCGTCGTATTTTCCGCAGGCCAGCAAGTGATCTAAATAAACACGGCCAACGTTAACTAAATTGTGCCTTTTACAATCTTTGCCGTTATTTATTATCACTGCTTCTAATGCTTGTTCAAATTTTCCATGACCTAATAGCCATTCAATTCTATCATCTGTATCATATAAATTAGCTACAACAATGTCCTTTGGACTCACAATAAAAAACCTAAATACATATAAGGATTTTAATGCGTACAGAAATATGAAACAACGGAATAAAAAAAATATACCTGTTTTCTTCTTTTAAACAGTCTAAATGATAATCGTTACAGCTATATTCTTTATAACCACGGAGTGTGAGAAAGTTTGCGCATACAATGGAATGGTCCTGACATTTTGGTTCAACAACGTGTAATCTTGGCCGTTGACTTTTTCCATTTTCATCTAGTTCTTTCAAACAGCCTAATAATACTAGCTGATTTTCTAAAGGTGCAATACCAGAAATGTAAAAATCCACTTGAAATGTTAAAACTGAAATGAAAAACTATTACTTATTACATTTTCATACTTTTTTAACATATCGACACATTGGCGCTGGAAGACATGTGTGTATAGGGTATACCGTAATTTAAAAGAAGAAACATCACAACACAAACAAAAAGAAATAGCAACGTTAACGTTAATAATATGATATGGTGAATCAAATGCTAAATTTTTAACTTTAAAGAACCACTGATACGATGCATGCTAGAAACGTGTAAATTATTATGAAAAAATGTAATCTATCATTTTCCTCAAAATTGGTTTGAAAAATATCAATCGATTGAAAAGTTATAAAAATTTTTGTAAGTGTATGACACTTGAGCGCACCCAACGCCAATGTGTTAAGTGACATTTTTATTACTAAATAATAATTCTACCTATATCCACTACATATGCTGGTTGATCTCTACTGGCCATTTCTTGTATCGATTTTTTCCTAATTTGGCATATTCTTACTACATCGACCCAACCGATTAATAATGTTCTATCGTCAGACCATCGAAGATTACACCTATACTGTTCAGGCAATGCTCTGTAAAGAAACAAAACTATCATGAGAATTATTCTATTTTTAATGTTTCTTTTAATGAATTTCTGTTCTTTTACGTACTCTCCAGACCTAGTCCATTTCATAAGACCTAACGAACACTTTGCATTTAAATCGTAAACTCTAACGCCAGTATCGGACGCCCAAGCCACAAAATGTTCAATCCATGCAATTGATCTAACCCCACCTTCTGCTTCGCATAATACAGTTAGTTTCATTCTGGATAAAAAAGTCTTTTCGTACAAAACCAATTTATCATCTCCTAAAAATAATAATATTAATTCTCTCATGGGGCTAGAAATTAACATGTATAAATTTAAATAGGTACCTGTAATAAACCCTTTTTTACTAGCACTTTTATAATAATTTGGATCTATGGCGATACTTTTAACTAATCTGCCCATTCTCATATCGTGATTATTCTCTGTGCTATAAAGACCATATATAAAAACCTTTCCATCGTCGCTACATGATGCAATGAAATCTCCATTATAATCTATAGAAATCTGATTGACAGCAACTGTATGCGCTTGTAGACTCTTAGACTGGATATTGTTGCCTTGGTGGTCTAAGAGATGTATCATACCCCAATGCGAACCAAGGCACAGGAACTAAACAAAAATTAAATTATTCTGATAGACTACGAAGCTTCTTATTTATAATTAATATAATATACATAAGCTTTTGCTGGAATAATATTATAATAAATAATATTTGAGAAGTGCTATTACACGTTAGAGTAACTGTCTTACTTTTCAAGTTATGGAGGACTAAAGGAAACGTTTGACAAAAGAAATTGCCAAAGTAAATGTGTCAAAACTAACAGCTTTCTCGTAAACGGACAGAATTAATGTTATGAAATACATATATCGATGCTATAACTTAGGCATAAGTCTATATAAACGTACATTATGAAACAGAGACATAACTTTCACGATATAAAATCATTAAATCAGCTTTGTTAAAGTATATATAAAAATATTACGAAATTATATTTCACACCTTGGGATGCACAGCGATACAACTAGCTGCATCGTTTTGCAATATACGTTCCAAATCGTTTCGCATTCTAACAAATTTAAGCCTGGGCTCTACCTCATCTACTTCAGAGTCTGAATCATCCTGATTACTTTGATCTTCCTGAAAAATAATACTGCAACATTAATGCTACGTTCTTATACCTCGTAGAATAATTAGAAATTTACCTTCTTAGAGATGTTTTCCATACCCGTTCTTACACAATTTTTCTTTGAATCGAAAAGCACGATTCCAACTACGAACTGTCAAAAATTTTACTGGTTTACGTTTCCGAATAAACGAAAGGCGTTCCTTTTTCCACGTTTCGTTTCTTTATTCGTAATTTAAATTGATTCATACAACAAAAGAATTCTACCAGATGATTAAGTTAAAATTACTTATTAATAAATTTATAAGGAAATTGTTATAGTAACATTACATTACGTCAATTCATAAATATTAGCAGAGATCAGTGTGCCCAGATCTGGCATAATTGAGTGTATCGACGACGACACTGGTAACGACGAACTTCCTTAGCGTTTAACGGAGTGGTGGGGGGAAAGTCACTATATCCTAGGGTGGGAGCTCAGCACTTCGCGTAACTTCGGGAAATTGAGAAAGAATGCGAGTGTGAGCCTTTCCTTCTTGATCTTAAACAGCTGAAGTATTTTCTTTTACTCTTACCGAATACCGGCTAAAACCAGAGGTGCCAGAAAGCATCCACGGTGCGAAACTCAGTGAGCTCGTGGAGTTTCGGAAAGTCGACAAAGGCAAACTGCGCATGCCCTCTTTCTCGATTCTCCGAAGCTGCCCGAAGTAACTTCGGAACGCCTCGTGGGAGTCGAGAGAGAAAGGCTCACATTCGCCTTCTCGCTCTTAACAACTGAAATCCGACTATGCTAAGTAGCATAGAAAGTAATCTCATCGAAGTTTGCCGCATATGTATCAATATACATACATATGTACATTGCGACACAACAGGTGATAACAGCTGATTCATATGTGACAGGAGACATATGGGACATTCACACCTGCGAATCTTATGTATGCACACGATAATCTAGATTATTTTGTAACATTTTGTAACATGTAATTTTCATAAGACATAATATTAATATATATACGTATATATGCCTGTACAATAACAAATTCTTAAGCTAGTTTTACATGATGTATCGACAACTTTGTTAACAAATTGTATGACACGGAAAAATTATAAAAAATGTTATACATTACATACCTACCCAAACCACATTAAAAATATATATCAGAAATATTTAAAAATAATGCTGTTCGAAGCAGTCTCACTTGCAAATTGGACAATAATAACAAGCGTCCAAAACAAGTGCATAGTAGTTCAAAAATTGAAGAAAAAAGAGCACCAATGCTGCCAATGAGACCACGCGTATAAAAAATAATCGTTGATTTTATTGAATTTGGTTGCATTTGCCTACACGAATTCGAATTATAGTTTTGGTTGACGTTCGTTACAGTTGAATCGAAAGTGCAAATGATCGTGCAGCGTGAGAAATGTCAAGCGACGAAGATATAATTCTAGCGTGCGCTGCGTTTATTTGTATGAAATCAGTATTAAAAAAGAAAAAGAGAAAGGCTCGACGCTGGTGGATGGCTTCGTTGTTTCAAAATAGAAGTATATCCGCGGCAACTGATCTTCTTTATGATATACGAAAGGGCGACGCTAGACATTTTAATGCGTGTTGCCGGGTACCGCGAGAAGTTTTTGATGAATTGCTTGAAATGTTGACATCGAAGATACAAAAGGAAGATACAAGATACAGGAGCGCTATTCCAGCCAGCGAAAGATTAGCCGTAACGTTAAACTTTCTGGCCACTGGTAATTCCTATTCGAGTTTAGCTCTGACTTTTAAAATATCAAAACAGTCGATATCAAATATTGTTCCAGAGGTCTGTGCAGCCATAATCGATGTACTAAAAGATTATGTTAAGGTAAATACAATTATCGTTATTATTATTTAATCGTTCACGATAACACATAACACTGTTCAGGTGTGACGTACAAAGGAAGAAGTTGTTATAATATATTTTAGTTTTGTCAGAATTGGCGATGACATATAAAATATTTCAGACACCCGAAAGTGAAGAGGAATGGCTAAAAGTAGCGCAAACTTATGAAGAAAAATGGAATTTCCCGCATTGCGTTGGAGCAATAAGTAGCAGACATGTACAAATACAAGTGCCAATACAAGTGCCGAATACAATTAAGTCTACGTTCAACATTGTGCTTGTGGCAGTCGTGGATGCTGATTATAACTTTTTGCATGCCGATGTAGTATGCGCCGGACGAATTTCAGACACAAACGTTTTTAAAAATTGTGCTTTTTTCAAAAAACTTGAAGGAAATGCTTTCAAATTACCACCTTTGAGCATTCTGCCGGGAAGAGAGAAATTGGTACCATACGTTTTCGTTGCGGATGATGCATTTCCGCTAGTACCTAATCTTGTATTAAAATTGTATTCTGAGAAGAATGAAAAGGACTCTGCCAGAAGAGTATACAACCGTCAACTTTTAAGAACGCAAAGAATCGTCGAAAATGTATTTGGCATTATGACGACAGTTTTTCGAGTATTGCAAAAACCTATGATACTGGAACCAAAGAAAGCAGAAATTATAGTAATGGCGTGTATATATTTGCATAATTATTTAAGAAAAAATCCATCCTCGCAAAATGTATATAATCCAAATGGTACATTTGATTGTGAAATAAACGGTAAACTAATAAACGGAACGTGGCGACAACATTGTAATGAAAACTCGCTACAACGATTTGAACGAGTAGACAGAAAATTATCGAAACGCGGGGAAGAAATAAGAACAGAATTTGCAGAGTATTTCATGAGCAAGCGTGTCCTATAGCAAACCAATAATTTAACATAAGCACAAAAAGTAGTTGAATTTCACACGAACGCAAGAATTAGTAAATTTATATGTAGTTTTTTTTTTACATTTTATACTATATGTTCCGCACAGAGTTGAGTACATTTTATTCTTAAAAGCAAATAAAAATTTTAGATGTACCCGCAAACTTTCGGTTACATTTCATTTACAAATTTATTTGAAAATTAGAATCTGGTAACGTATTTTATTCGTTCGTGAATAAAATTTTCCCAACTCTGACTCTAGGTATAAATGGTTGAACTTAGTTTCACCTAATCCCACTCATTCTCCCCACTGTTTAGGTTTGGGTTAGGTCTATAATATAGAAATTTAAAAAGTACAGAAAATGTACAGCATTCTTAACGACAGTAGAGTTATTTATAATTTTACAAGTATTCGGATTATTTAATTGTATACAATTTCGCTTAAGTTAGAGTGCTGGTCGCTAATGACCATCACGACAGTTAACGTGTCGATACAAGTTTCGCAGACCATATTCACATTTTTGCAAATTAAATTGACTTTGACTTTTTAAATAAGTATTTTATGTTGTTTCTTGTTTAAACGTCATTATATACAAATCTTTACTTTGGTATAATAATTTGAAATCAGATTTTATTTTTATTACAATGGTTAAGAAACCAAATTTGTAGAAAAGCTTGATTTGCAAGAAGTTGAATATAATTTACAAGAGGGTTAATTTTGTGAGCAAAACCTGTAATTATACACACTAAAAGTACGAACAGATTTATGCTAAATGTAGCACCAATGTTCAAATTTCATGGTACAAATGGCGACCATTACCATAAATAAATGAATGCCATTAAATTTGAAAAAATTTGTGCCAAACATTTCCGGTACAAACTAATAAACAACCATTGAAATATGCCAGAAAAATTGAGTCGGTTGATCAACTAATGCAAAATTACTATCATAATGCAACGAACGATTGAATTTTTTGTTTAACATTTGGATAACAATAACTACTAACAAGTGTTTCACAAATTTTTGAAGTATGTATTGTCACGACGATATTTGTTCACGCAAACAAACTCTGCATCCACCTAACCTAACTTTTCGTTACAGTTGACTCTAGTAACTAGTACGAGCCACGTCGAATGAAAAACAGCAACATTATGAGTATGAGAGTTTGATTTTGTACTAGATAGTCAAAAACTTATAAATAGTGTGTACTCTTTTTATCAAGTGCAAAATCAGATTTCCACGATGTTGCTATTTCTCGTTCAGCGTGGCTAGTACTGTCCTCCGCTCACTTCAAGTCCCGCGGAAGGAATGCGGGAGAAGTAGAAGGGGCACACGTATTCCCACGCACACATTGGTCTCTAGCTCGCTATTCGTCGCCGCAGTTACACACACATGTGGACTGCCTGAGAGCAAGTGAGCAAGACAGATAAATGGGCGGTCCAACTCCCCTTGCCCCTGTGCCGTCTCGCGGGACTTCAAGTGGCAGACAGTGTGGCCCAGTGTGGCCAGATCTGGCATAATTGAGTACATCGACGTCGACATTAGTAACGATGAACTTCCTTAGCGTCTAACGGAGTGGTGGGGATAGCAGACATACACTTCGCACAACTTCGGGAAATCGATAAAGAACGCAAGTGTGAGCCCTTCCTTCTTGCTCTTGCAAAAGAGAAACAGCTGAAATACGACCTCGCGATAATCGGCACACGGATACGATTCCAGTTCTCGATTACTCTAGCATTTTTACTTTCCGATCTGTGTTATAAAAAAAGTACCATAATGAAAAAAAAATTTTGAAATTTTTTTTTAGCGGAAATACACGTTTTAAGACCCCCCGATCATATTGTGACTATTAAAAAAAAAACCGATTTTTTTTGTTCGATGAAAATGAAAAATCCATTTCATTTTTTCTCACTTCCTGTATAGTAAAATTTAAAATATACAAGTATATTTTAATTCGTGTTATAAATTTCTAAAGAAAACATTCTTAATAATTTAAACAAATTTTCATATTAAACGTAAACAAATGTTACTTTCGTGATATTCTTCGGTCAGTATTTTAATGGAAGTATCGCATGACAGTCATTGATCAATGATTTCATTGAGAAGCGGCTTGAAAATAATATATATTGGTAGCAGTGTAGATTGGTAACTCTCGTGCGTATTGTATACGTGAGTCGTCACACGATAAGCACTAGTAGCATCTTGTAAATTTGGACGCGGTTTCCTTAAATTAAAAATGAAGCCGAAACCAGAATTGACAACTGCATCGTCATGGAGTAAATTGCAACAATATTTCGATGCTAATGGGTCGAAAGTCAAAATATACGATCTTTTTCAACAAGATCCTAAACGCTTTGAAAAGTTTAGGTAAGTTTTTCGTCAGCCCTTGACATATGACCTTGACATGACCTTTCGCCGATAACTAAAATTACGTTATTACAATAATAATTATATACATTGTTTATCCATAGAATTGAAACAATTAATTTTTTTCTATATTTTTTTAGATTATCTCTATTTTAGAATTTTTCAGTTATCTAACTTGGTATATAGTGAAGTTTTCTTTTAAATTCTCTTTATTTTTAACAAATATAAATTAATCCTTTACGGCAATAGCATGCTAGAGGATTAAACAATTACAATTACAATATGATTTTGTTTACAATATCGCAAAATATAATTTGAATATGATAAAATTATTATTTACCTTTTCTTAATTTATATTCGAATAGTTAATTAAATAAGAAGATTTTACTAATATTTCAAATATAACATAGTCTAGAAATTCCAACTCCCAATGATGGCTCAATTTTACTTGATTACTCCAAGAATCGCCTTACAGAAGAAGCATTTAAATTATTATTAGAACTGGTATGTATTTTCATATTATATAAATATTATAATTAAAAGATTTTAATATCAAAAGCAGGTTTATTTGCATATATATGTTTATAGTACTATATCATTTTAATAACAATCAGCTATAATTATTTTCTATTATATTAATTTATAGGCACGTGAGCGAGAGATTGAAGATGCAAGAGATGCCATGTTTAAAGGAGAAAAGATCAATTTTACCGAGAACAGAGCAGTTCTGCATATTGCTTTGCGTAATAGAGATAATAAACCCATATTAGTAGATAATAAAGATGTAATGCCAGACGTGAATGCTGTTTTGAAACACATGAAAGAATTTACAGATGAAGTTGGTATAATTCATGAATATATTTCTAATAAATTACAAAAGTAATCATTTTTCATTAAATAAATGTTCTGCGAGTTACATAGGTCCTCTCAAAAAAATGGAAAGGTTTCACTGGCAAAGCAATTGAAGATGTTGTTAATATCGGAATAGGTGGTTCAGATTTGGTAAGTAATACAAATTGTACAGGTGAACAAATTTGTTAACGATATAGTTATTTGCATAGGGTCCGTTGATGGTGACAGAAGCATTGAAAGCATATCATGTCGGGCCAAGAGTTCATTTTGTTAGTAACATCGACGGAACTCACATAGCCGAAACTCTAAAAAAATTGAATCCAGAAACAACTCTTTTTATAATAGCATCGAAAACATTTACTACTCAGGAAACGATTACAAATGCTACTTCCGCTAAATTATGGCTTTTGGATGCTTTGAAAAATGTTAGTGAGAAATAAAAATAGTGGTTTATAAACATGCTATACGAATAAAGATCAAGTATTTTATTATAAAATCTATATTGTTTAGGATGCTGCGGTTGCACGCCATTTTGTTGCGTTATCTACCAATAACCAGAAGGTTACAGAATTTGGTATCGATGAGAAAAATATGTTTGGATTTTGGGACTGGGTCGGAGGACGTTATTCTTTATGGTCAGCCATTGGTTTATCGATTAGCTTGTCCATCGGCTTTGAAAATTTTGAAAAACTGTTGAGCGGAGCACACTTTATGGATCAACATTTCTGCAGTGCTCCGTTAGAAAAAAACGTGAACGCAGTTTAATTATTATAATTTTTTTAAAGAAATACTATATATATGTAATGAAATATTACTTTTCAGGCACCGGTTATATTAGCTCTGCTTGGTGTATGGTATCACAATTTTTATAAAGCTGAAACGCACGCATTATTGCCATATGATCAGTATTTGCACAGGTTCGCAGCATATTTTCAACAAGGTGATATGGAAAGTAATGGGAAATATGTTACTCGAGCAGGAAAAACTGTAAATTATAATACAGGTAAATGTTAATATATTATTTATTATTTAATTAAAAATGTTTACGATTTTATTGTAATATTTGAAAATGTACTTGAAAAATTCCAAAATTTAAGGCCCAATTGTGTGGGGAGAACCTGGTACTAATGGACAACATGCATTTTATCAATTATTACACCAGGGTACTAGACTTGTACCTGGAGATTTTATAATTCCAGTACAATCGCACAATAAGGTACTTAACTGTTTTTTTTTATTTTTATTTTTAATATAAGAAAAGACAAAAACACGAAAAATACTATTTCAGGTCCAAGGAACTCTTCATCACAAAATATTGCTTGCCAATTTCTTTGCACAAACTGAAGCATTGATGAAGGGTAAAAATGAGAATGAAGCCCGAACTGAATTGCAAAAAGCGGGAATGAGTCCTGAACAAGTGAATTTGCTATTACCACATAAGATGTTCGAAGGGAACAGACCTACCAATAGCATTCTCGTAAAAAAAGTAACACCTTTTACTCTTGGAGCTTTAATCGGTAAATTTAACGTATATAATGTATTAAACTATGATTTAAATTTGTTATTTAATTTAGATATATACATATATATACATATCTTATTTTTAAAGCAATGTACGAGCATAAGATTTTTGTGCAAGGCATTATCTGGGATATCAATTCATTTGATCAATGGGGGTAAGTAGAAATATTATTTTTAATACGTTTGCCGTCGAGTCGGGTATCAATCACTGACATTACTCTTTCCATTCATTCCTTCTTGATCATTATACATAATTCACTTTCATTAACAGAAATGGGCAAATTTCTTATCCAGTTGTAAATTCCGAGTAACGAATTTTAATATGTATATTACGTTGAACGAACAAAATAATAATAATAACTCAATAAATATTCAATGAATATACTATTTTCATTCGTCGATTATTATTCGAATAAAGTGTTGCCCGTTTCTGTCCATGAACACATTAACCATTCTCCCGAAGGTATAGTAGTTATAGTCTTACAATTAGTAGTGCTCATAAGAGAAATTCTCAAACAGTTCCGCCAATATCTAAATGAGTTTTTGTACAGTGGCAGAGCTTCGAATTCTACAGATAACAATTGAGTATAATGTATCATATTTATTATAAATATTACTATATCTATATTAGATATACTACTAGTTGCACATATTTCGATGCACATTGTTGAAACATGGCAAACAAAAATGAGGCATACCATCACAATCTTTACAAAATGTCACAACTTTCACTGTTCGATTTTTCGCAAATTCTCTTCCAAATTTTTTCACATTCTCTTCATAGCATCGTCTGCATTGTCGTCTTGCTTGCCGCGCTGTGCCTTCTTTAGTTTGCATCTCGTGACGAAGTTTTATTTCCAGATTCGTTGTAGGCGAAGGTAAAATATTTTGGTCCATACACGCGGTCAAATACATGATTATTTTCTTTCGAAATTCCAGAACCGATACACGCGTCTCTTTTATGTTATTGTACATTATCATTGCGTTTACCACCGATGTGTTGAGTAAAATCTCAAATGCCAATCTCTTGTACCATTTAATCGTTTTCCGTAATGGACTGACATATGGTGACATTTGATCTGACAAATCAACGTATGATTTTCCTTCGTTGTAATCTATGATAACTTTTGGTTTTAAATACGAACTGCCATTTTTTGTTATGGTAATCATTTCGGTCGAATGTTTTGAAGAAAGTATGTACAATTCTTCTTTATCCTTCCATTTAAAAATGGTAATTCCATTTTTATTTTCTCTTGCAATTATTTCGCCTGGTTTTAGAGTCTTCAATTTTATTTCCGTAGGAATACTGTGACAAGTAGTTTTGAGGGTTCCGATTAAATAAGTGTCTACTTCGATTAATTTCTTGGCTAAATCAATGTTTATGTACCAATTATCCGTACACAGTATGTGTCCTTTACCTATTACATTTTTACATAGAGACATTATAATGCTTGTAGTAGTTGTGTTTTCTCTTCTGCGGGTTTTTCCAGCATGCAACTGCAAACTATACGTGTATCCCGAGGTAGTGCACAATTTGAATAATTTAATACCGTGTCTATATTGTTTATCTTTCATATGTTGTCTAAATATAATCCGACCTCTGTATGGAATTACGGATTCGTTTATACAAAAGGTATCACCTGGATTAAAATATTCTTTAAAGTTTGCATTTAACGCATCGATTAATACTTGTACTTTACATAGCTGATTATCTGGTTCATCGATTTGTTTGTTGTCCGTAAAATGAATCATTCTTAATAACATTTCAAATCTATTTCGAGACATTACGGTGCGTGGAAAACTCTGTTCGAAACATGCATCTTTCGACCAATATAATTCTATAGTTGGGAGCTTTATAAGACCCATCCACATAATCAAACCAAAAAATCGTTTAATTTCATATTTATTGGTCGAAGACCAGGTGTTCAAACGATTTGATTTATTGCTCGATAATATTTGACTTGCGTATAGATTTGTTTGATACGCAATCATTTCAAATATTTCGTCCGTGACCAGTAACGAATAAAAATCATTTGCTTCTCGACACATTGCAATTTTAATATTTGATGCATCGGTACCTGGTGTACCTAAGACAGGCTTGAAGTGAGGTTGATTGCCAACCGGATCGAACCATTCTTCATCGGTAATGTTCCCATTATGTGTATCGGAATTATTGTCTCCGTAATCACTTTCTTTTTCAGTGTCGGATAACATTTTACGACGTTTTATTAACGACAAGTACATTTCAAACGACGAATCACTCAGAAAGCTACTTTCTTCCGATGACATTTTTTTTTACCTTACGAATAGTTAATGTTTATAGTGTTTATAGTAAATAAAAAAAAAGTATCTTGCGATTGCAGGTATAAAATAGAAAAATTTTATTTAAAAAAATATTTTGCATGGGTAGAAGTAGATTTTTTCAAGTTTTCTATTTACATTTAAACGAGTGATTTGTTGGATAGTTTTTCCTAATAGCGTTGAAAGAAGATAACAGACTTTTCGCCAGACGCGTGAAAAATCTTCCATTTAAGGATTAAACATCTATTATGGTCTATTTCACTTAGTACAGTTCAAGCAAAATATAGAAATAATAGAAAATTGGTGACATTGTATCGGTCTACCGAATAACAAAGGAAAAGATATTATAATTTCAATTTATATATAAACCGACACGGTGTGAAATAGAATTATTATTCCGACTCGGCGTATACCGTTCACGCCGTATCGGTCACCGGTGACCGACGTTAAACGTTCCGTTCACGCCGTATCGGTCACCGGTGACCGACGCTAAACGTTCCGTTCACGCCGTAACGGTCACCGGTGATCGACAATTAAACGAATGCAGCTAACGGACATTATCTTATTAATTTTATTAGTAAACCCTTGAGTTAGCTGGTTAATCGGGGAAGGGAAGTTATTTAGCATGTTCGTAGTACAAATAACACTAACGACTAGATAAGGAATTGGAACGATCAAGTAAAATAGCATCGACGGCAAACATGATGTAGAAATGATTTCGTGTATTAATTTAATAACTAACCAACTCGTGTATCGATAACTCGTTTAATTTTCACGTATGGATTTTTAATTTTAATTTGGCTCTAATAGCGTTGAATTGGGAAAACAATTGGCAAAAGTAATTGAACCGGAATTGGAGACTGATAATGCAATTACAAGTCACGACTCGTCAACAAACGGGATGATCGCATTTGTCAAGCGCAACAAATCTTAAAACGTTTCTTAAACCGTACGGAGTAATGTTAAGGTACAACATAGTAATCATCAATTATTCTATTTAAGGTTACGTTAATATGCGAATGATCAAAATATAAACGTTCTTTTTTGTAAATTCTGTATAATGTTGAATACATAATTTCTATTTGTCTAATTACAAAATACATTGGGAGTTATAAATTGTGAAAAAGCGTATAATATATAGAACAATTGTTGAATGTAATAATACTGTATTGTTTCGTTTTTGTGCTATTTAATAAATAACAGAAGTACAACTTTCATCATTTTTAATTTATATTACCATTTTGATTTTTATATTTTTCACGTTATTACAGCATTTTTCTTTATCGTTTCAAATTTCTTTAATGTCAACGTGCAAAACAGCTAATATGTAATATCAATAATGGAAGAATTCATTACTGATTTTATCTAAATTGTACTTAATACAAGTGATTTCATCGTTCGTTTATGTATTACGTATTAACATGTGCGCAAGAACAGAAGATACGACGGAAAAAGAGTGACCTTTTAGTGACTAACGCCCATTTCCCACTATTTCTCACGGTAAAAGAGAGGAGGTGTTATTAATGGTGTAAAAACGTGTTTCGTATTGTACCAACAATGGAGTTTTTAATAGAGAAGTACTTGTGTTTTGAGGAAAGGATATTACAGAGCTTGAAAAATAATGGCATAAAACATCGGTACGTGGATTTTTAATTGCATGAACGTAAAAAATGACGTGACTTAACCTCTAAATATATTCGAAATGTTTTTATTTAATGTATTTATATTTTATACTCGTAAACGTGTTTTCTATGGTAGAAAATTTCATTTTCTAATGAAAAAATAGAAAGGAACTTGTATTTAATTAAAAAATAAAGTTTGTTCTTTAAATAATCGTGATACACGTCATTTATAATTATTTGATCCTTTTTCAAGATTGCGTTTAAGAATTTATCTCGTTCGTGAAAAATATGTGATGTATCAAACAGATATCATTCTGATGTAAAGAATCAACATGTTAAATAAACACTTGTAGTTTGTCCATATTTGTGTTATATTTTCTAACGTTGCTTGTACAAATTATTTACTAAAATTTTTAGTTATTTCGAGTAAATATCAAAGAATATGTTGTTTGTAAAATTAACGGTATTCGATTACTTAATATAATAACGAACATATGGTTCGAAGACAATATTTTCAAGCTTTCGAATTACACAATATTTTTTAATTATTATGCAAGATGAATTATACCAAATTGTATCTTTGAATTTAAACAATATTTTCAGGACTAAAGCCAATAGCGGATTATGGCTTGGAACGTTAGTAGGTTTAAGTTCAATTTTAACTATATTGAAAGAAGATTCCAGTTACTCCGAAATTTGCCTCATTGCAGCCCTTACAGGCGTTGGCCTTCTTATTAGTTGTGCATGTTTATATTTAAGATTGTCAACAGAAAGAGTCGCAGTCAGAGACTTTCAAGTTATATATTTTTTACCAGCTTTAATAACGTCCATGTTATATCTTCTGATAGCAAATAAAGGTATATCAATTTACAAATTATTTATTAATGTTTTAAGATTTGCTCACAAGAGACTAAACATTTTATTTTATTTTTTATAATTTCGTTCAATTACGTAACTTACGTAAAAATCTTTTTATTGTTATTTAATTAAGAATCATTTATATATACTATTTTAATAAAATTTTGGTGATAATAAATAAGAACAGGATTATTAGTGAGCGTGACATGGGGCTTAAGCGTAGCAAGTTTAGGTACATGGGGTGTCCTTCAATTGATGTCTATATTTCCTGGTTGTTTCACGATCGGAGAAGCAACATCTGTGATACACGGTTGTATCCTGTTTCTAATGTCTGTAGTAACAAACTTGCCATTACGATATCATTTACCACCAATTCATAACGACGATATCGCTACGGTTTTACTACAGGTATTTTAAAGCAAATTTTACAGAAATAATAAATTGTATATACTTAGGCATTTAATAGTTTCTAATTTTAGGTTGTAATGTTATATGTAATATCAATTTGCATAATATCTGGATACTTTCCAATTTTTCGTTTAACTAGAAATTTTTACATAATGATAATTAGTCTCCTGTTAATTGTATTTTTGCCATTACTGTACATCATATTGGATCAAAATCCTCTAGTATGGTTGCTTTTATTTATTTTCGATAAAGCAAGTAAGGTATGTTTGTACGATTACTCGTAGTATTCGATGCGTAACATTATGTTTAATGTCTTTAAATATTACAGGTTGTTTTAATCGGTTACTGGGCTATATGCTTGTTGCTAAGCGTAATTGTTGTTGTATACCAGATATTATTAAATTTCCATGCAACAACTTCGACTAGAAAAATCTTTCACTTATTGGCTGTATTAGTGTATATACCTGGTTTAATTTATGAACAAATACTGCTCTATCTTGCTAGTGGTATAGTAATGGGATTGTTTGTATTTCTTGAGGTACATTATCTTTGATTAAAATTTTTATTCGATCGTACAAGTTTAGACGTTCATATTGTACTTGTATAACAGTGTTTCTTAAACAACACCACGTTCATTGCTGTTTGTTTTTAGCTAATACGGTATCTGAGAATACCGCCTCTCGGAGGGGCATTACAGCAAGGATTTTCTGTATTCGTAGATGAGAAAGATAATTTGATTTCTTTGACACCTTTATATTTACTTTCCGGTCTCTCTTTTCCACTTTGGATGCCTACTAATAACGTTCCATTGGTAGCTTTGCTCAGTGGTGTCTTAACAGTTGGAGTAGGCGATACTGCTGCTAGTTTTGTCGGTAGCAGGTGGGGTTCTCATAAATGGACAAGTACAAACAAATCCATCGAAGGAACAATCGCTTGCATTTTCAGCCAAGTTGGATTAATATGTATTTTAGCATTTATTGGTATGTACCAATTATATTTTTTCTTTTTATATCACACAGATAAGAACAACACTTTATCGCAATTAAATTTAAGCCGGTTATGAATGATAAGATTAAAAAATTATTTACAACAGTTTCTAGTAATTTTGAAAATATCCAACGAAAACAGTGTTGTCTTTCTCCGTGTGGTTATTTGTCATATTTCAATTGTACATATGTTACGTCCGTGTAAAAACTAAAATTAATTTTTTTAAATAGGTTACATAGATAGTGGTTGGTTACTTTTGAGAAGCATATTATTTAGTGTTGCTCTGTCGTTTATCGAAGCATACACAAATCAAGTTGACAATTTAGCTTTACCTTTGTTGATGTACGTGTGCTTAACTCTTTAGGCATGTAATAAGGATAAGTGCTGAGATGGACAATAACAGTAGTAACTATTTTTGAAAACGACTGAACTATTATGTTTTGTTTGTTCGGTGTAGAGTTGGACCAAAAGCATAGTGCTTATTTTATCAATTTACTTCTTTATTCGCTTCCATGCATTTAGAAAAGTGCATATATATTTTCTGTTGTACATAGTATATTTCTCCCAAAAATTCACGTATTGCATTAACTTGTTCCATTCTAAATAATATTTAAAATTTAGTTACTAGTCAAGAATTTTTTATCAAGTTCTTTGCAATTTATTCTTTTTTTTTTTCTTCGTTACTGTACAGTTTAATATTATTTAAAGATGTATACATATACTTAAAATTTTACTTTATTATTTATGTTTCAAACAAATAAGAGAGGACGTTACACGTACACGCATACTAACATAACGACCACCGTTGTTATGACATTTTTTAAATAGTATTTATGTAAAAGTGTTCATATTTGTACATAAATATGAGTATCCGCGTAAGCTAAAAGTGTACATTTGTTTAAAAAAACAGAGTTGTGTACGAAAGGAATTTACGGTAATTCATACTTTTTTATGTAATTGTCTAATTCGCTACTATGTACAACTTGTGTAAAAAAGATGACTCTGTGCCTATAGTGTTACACTTACGTAAAATTGGTACTTTGTAACGCATACTTTACTCATTCCTATCAACGCATTTTTATATTCCGCCCGAATGAATCTGTGAACGAAATTTACTTTTATTAATAAAATATTTTTGTAACTGTGTACACGTCGGTGTTTCATTGTCCCGGTTATTTATATAACGATTATGTAAAAGTGTCACGTTATTAGTGTTCACGAAAAGTGTACGATTGGCAAAGTGTTTTTATATAATTTGATTTACAATTCTGAAACGAATTGATCACGCACATCGAGGATTTGTTGTACTTTATAATTTCATATTTTAAGTATTTTTATATTTAATGCATCAATAGTATTGCGTCTGTTATGGAAGCAATGAAAGTTCTACTAAAAACGAAGCTCTGAAAAAAGTACAAGGGTGATTCTGAAAAAATAGTCTATCGAATAATTTCATTCCAATATTTTATTGACCACACAGCCTTAAAATCTGACCGTACACAGCATGTCATCATACGCCGTGTCCATACGCGTAAGAACATTATATTGCGGAATGCGTGAAAAGCACCGATTTCTTGTTAATTGGATTTTAATGACAAGGACCGCGAAGAAAAATGTCAATACTTTCTATACGTTAAAAGCTAAATTTTTATTTTATATTTTGTTTATTATACTCGTAGATTTTTCCCATAAATCCTCTACCAAGGTAGTGAGTACTCGATAAATTATTAATTTCACATTAAACAAGATAATTTTCCGTGCATAGTCAGTATATTAATATTGAAATTTGAAAAGAATGTAAAAATAAATGATCACGTTTTTTTTTTTTTATACCGGTATGCTCGAAGTAATACGTACAATCTTTAAATTTGACGAACAATTTTGTAAAATCATACGAACGGACTACGTACGTTACGAAACGCAGTGCTGTCTTTATCAACAGTTTTCTTCGCAAGTAATATGTTTGTACTGGTTTCTAGATGATACCTTTAAACATTATTCGCGTGATAATTATCGCAGATGCTTGATATTCATATGTTTATAATCGTAAATTTGTTATAGGTATGTGCGACTATTATTTTTTTTTTTTTTATCTATCAACGGTGCTATTAGGCATTTGTTATTCCTAGAAATACATTTTGTATAACTGCCAATTGACTTTTCCACATAAAAATGATAAAAAGTAGAAAATGGAGTTAGGAAACAAAAGTGAGGTTAAAAGTAAGAGGAAACCGTACGGGGTGTAAACTAATGGAATTCTCACGTTCACTATGAATGAATCATACGTACAACCGTCGAACAGGTTTATACTATACTGTAGCTTTCATATTTCATCTTTACCGTGATTATGATTATCATTCGCGATGATCATTCAAAGTGAAGAAATGTAAATTCGGCTTAATCGGTCGTTCGGCGATGATCGATTATTCGGATCATCGACGTTCTACTCTACGCGTGAGTTTACGGTCAGGAAAAGAAACAAAAATTTTCGTCGCCGCGAAAGGAAGAAAATTTGCGTTCGTAAAATGTTTCGAAGAAACGAGGGGAAGGGAAACGATACGAACGAAGCGCTACAAGAGCGATGATTTTCCAACATTCCGTGTCGACGTTCAATATGTTACAGTGTACATCTGCCGATCTCGAGAAGCTCTTTTTCAGCGTAGATAGGTCCGTCATCTTGTTCGAAAGTCGTCGTCCCGAAAATCGATTCGAAATTATCGAGCTTAACGAGAACGACAGAATATGTATATTTACGAGACGTCTTGCTACGTACTACTTATTATAGTCGTTTCTTATATACTTGTATCTGTAATTGTATAGCAATTAAATAAATATTTTGAAACTCTCGATCGTGTAATGCCGTTCTTTCATTTTTTTTTCTTTTTTTTTCCCGCCGCGTTCTTGCGCGCAGCGATACCGATCTTTCGATTTCTCTCTTTTTTTTGTCCCTACTGTACTTAGTATGTAAATTTATGTATTCGGTGTATCTCTTGAGTCTTTGTGTGATATATTGCGACGTGACTGTCATTACTTTCGTTACTTGGTGCTGATTCGTACCACTTTCGTCGTTGCTTCTCCATTATCTCGCAAAGAATCGTTCTTTCCCCGTTCCCACAACGGTTCTTCCCAACTTTCTTTTATCGTTCGTACTTTTCTCTCTTTTTTCTTTCGCGAAGAAAAAAAAGGACGACGAATCGGACAGTTGTGATAAAAAAAAAAACAAAATAAACGATCGTGTTACGCGTGATCGATTATTGATTTTTATAGCGCGCGACGCATTCTGCATTATCCATTTAATTCTGTTTTTTTTTTCAAGTAGCGGGGGATTATCCAGTTATTCGTTTTATTCACTTTTTTTTTTTCCAACGTATACGAATACAAATTCATTTTCTATTTTTCTAAGCCCCGTTAATAGTTGTCATTTACTTTCGCTTAAATGATTGTGGTCTATATTGGCTTTTATTCGCTTTTAAACAAGATATACGACTATTAGATAAGACTTAACACTTTCACTGATATTTCATATTTCACAAAATTGTATTTCTATTACATTCAACGATTCGTTTACTAATTTTTTTTTTAAATTTATCGTAACACGGTAAACACGTTGTCGGACGTGTGTTCAACTTTTTTTTTTTCTCCTAAACAATGAACGTGTTAAGTTACGTTTTACTTGGAACTTACTTTGAATCGAACAGAAACAAGCAAACGAACAAAAATAAAAAAATTCTATTAAAATCCGACTTCGATTCGAGTCGTACCGTTTAAAATATTTAATCGTTCAAATGAAATTCGTCGAAGATTTGGAAATCCTACGTTCGTGAACGCCTGCCCTGTGTTGCGTCGAATGTTCGATATATTAAAAATACACGTTTAAACGCGATTTACGAGTGATTCTTTTCTAGGAACATTTTTCTGTCTTTTTTTTTCTTTTTTTTCATGGTAAAATCTTCGCCGCGTAGAAATACGGAAAATCGTCAGAAAAAGAAGTGTCCCGAACGCCGGAAATGTTCTGCGATCAGCGACAATCGGTTACGCGAATGATCTTACAAGTTTCTTTAGACGTGTAAAACTTGATGTTTCTCTTACGTACGAGCAGCCTGCGCGTAAACCACTTGGTAATAATTACCACAAGTTCAAATTTACTTCGAACTTTTGTTGTATTCGAGTCCAAGTTAACACTTGATCGTTATTCGTCGTAGTGTTGTGTGTTGCGGCGTGTGTAAACGGGGCCTTCGAGCAAACTCCGTTTATACAATTAAGGTTAGGGTCGCACGAGTGTCGAAACGACACGAGTCTTTACGTTTTTTCTTGTCTTACGATTGAAAACAAGGAAGAACATAGAAACACACGTCGTTTCGAGGCTCGTGCGATCCTAACCTAAAATATATCGTGTGAAGAACAGTTCGAGCGTGTATACCAAGTAACTCTTTAGCAAAACAGATAGAAAACTACTAAATTTTTCTATAGTTAGAATCGTCGATTAATTGTATACTTATATATGTATCGAAATTTGTTCCAAATAATCGATAAACGTAACAATAATAAGGATTTACGATGCTCCGTCAATAACGATAGATGCATCAACGCACTGTCCAATAGCAAAGTTTCACACAGAATCGATCGTTCGCGCGTTTAAACTTACGTATTCAATTTACTCGCGTAAATCAGAGTTTACGATCACTTCGCTTCCATTAAATACCCGTACACCGGATATCCTCTTTTCTTCTTACGCTCGGCGTCGTTGGAATTTCCTCTACGAACCGTAACCGTACAATTCTAACCTCGTTAATGGCGACCGTAGTCGCGAAAGGCTTCGTAACTAAACTGCTTCGCGTTTTCTTTTTCGTTAAAACGTAAATTACATATTTACAGCTCGCGAAGCGGTTTCCGTTGCCGCTTGAAAACAACGTTACGAAAATAAAAATAGTACAATATGGATAACTTTGTGAAATCGTTCTTTGTATTCTATATCTTTTTTTATAATCAACGAGTTTGGACATATCGGATATTTCTAGAATACGACAAGAGAAAGAAACAAAATTAGTTGTGCGTGAGTTAACGAGAATAATAAAAAAAAATTGATAGAAATTTGAAAGCAACAAGCTTAATTGCTTTCCAATTTCTGCCAATGTTTTATATTCTTTAATTTTGCACCTAACTTATTTCTTTTGCGTTGTATCTAGAAATTTCCAAGAGCACGCAAACTCGTTGTTTATAAAGAAAACAGAGTATAAAGAGCATTTGACGACCGACTAACAAACCAAGAAGAATGTTAATTAAAGTTTAGATTTGAGTTCGCGAGTAATTGCAATTTTCCGCCAATTTCTGCCAGTCGATTGCTAGGGAATTCCGCTAGGGAATTTTAGAACAGAAACGAATAATCGTAATATTGTTTTCAAGCTTGATCGATGTTCACGATGTTTTCGGTATCATCCCCCACGTCTTACGATGTTTCCATATATTTGACAAGAATCGTTCCAAAGATTTTTCGTGAAACTTTTATGCATATTTGTCGTTTATCGACATGTCGTTCCATCGCTAAGATACTAAAATTCTTGCATGTACAATAAATGTTAAAAAATAACCTCACATTCTCCCTTCCTTTTTAAATATCGAAAATGAACAAATAATCAAAAACTTTTGAGACGATTCTTGTTCACGACCGTACAACGAACGAAACAAACACTGTTGCTGGCACTGTTGTTTGGCTGTAAGTATTTCGTTCGATCAATTCACCCAAACTTTACCAAAATAGCCTCCCGTGATCCGACAGGGTCGAGCAGAAATCTCTTCGAAATATATGTTTTTTTTTTGTTCTTTTCTCGGGATCGAAGGAAACTCAACCGTTCGCGTCGAAACGAAACGTTTAATTTCGAACAGAGAGTTTTCAGAAAGACAATTTTATACTTAAACGATACTCGTTTCTCTGTTTCGCGATAAGAAAATTCTAGTATGCAGTTAGTACACGGTTTATTATTCGAATTGAGAGTCGCTGATCCGTTGGTACACAATTGCTTACAATAAACATATTCGGTTACTAAATAGCCTCGAATTTCTGTCACTGAGATCATTTGTCGTTTACTCGAAATATCCGGAATCGTTCGATTCAACGATGAATTACAAAGTTCGACGCGTTTACCATTTTCATACCGTTTCGTTCCACGTTTGCATTATTCATACGTTACTAAATTAATCGCTCGATTCTCTCTCGTGGAACGTCGCGTTTAAGTCCTGCCCCGTTCGAGTGTATACGTACGTGTGTCATTTAAAATTTTAAAAATTACGAATCCATCCTCGACGGTCTAACGTGTGCAACACGACGCGACGGCGCGACGCGAATATCAAGGATCCCTTCTCGAGATTTTTAGGTCAAAAAGCAACGATTCTTTCGGAAGCACAGCCCTGTGCTCGCGACAGTAGTATCCAACAACCGATGCAGATGCTCGATTGTCTCGTAGTAACTGCTTCGTCCTCCTCTCTTTGCCATCTGGTCGGAAATCTTAACAACTATATTTATATCGTAAAGCATTTTGTATGCGTTTCGCCCGCGATCGTCCGCCACTGGGATCGACGAATACTCTATTCGGCGTAACTCGATTCGCAGAAAACGAAATAACTCTACCGGATTTAACTAACCTCGTCATTTTTCCACCCACGTAGAATTCCGTCTGTTTCAATTTCATCGACAATTCGACGGAATACTAGTTTCTCTTCTTAAGCAATTTAGCGTTGCAAACTATACCCGAACAAATAATTCTAAAGTCACGTTTGTCAGGCGCAAGCATCTCGTTCGAACTCGATAATTATCGAAACACTCTTAAAATCGCGAACGAATATAAGAAACGTTTTATCGGGTTGTCCCAACAAGTAATTTTCCTGATCCACGCGCTTGGCTTTCTTTTTTTCTGTTCTCTTAGCTTTATGAACTCGAAGTGGTACTTAAGATCGAATTCGGGGAAACAAAATGGCGCGCGTACGTCGATGATTTTGTAATCGGTTTGGATTAATTTTTACGCCCAAGACACGGTGAGAGAACGAAAACGACTTGCTGGTACAAGACGATAGTCGTATCGATGTTCTACTTGGAAAGAATCGCGCGTTTCGAAGCGGTTATTCACGTTAATTTTCACGCGATGCATCCTCAGTCGCGACGATCGCGGGTGGACGTGTCGCCACTCGCTTCAAGCCTAATATACATCGAGTATTAGGTTTACAAAACAGATACCCTACTTCATCGTAGGGTTTCAAGGGGTTGGATCTGTGGTTTCACAATGGGGAAGGATGGTGGGGGGCTTTTGGATAATTGGAGACGGGGTTCCAGGAAAGTCGTTAGTGCGGGAGATACTGGTTACTCCCTTAATTTGTGCCAATCAGCTATCTGCCTCTGCGGCGAGCTGCAAACCTCCTTCCAATGATTCAACGCCGAATATTGACAATCCGGCCCGCCAAACTCGAGTCGACCGATCACCTAAAATCCACGCAATTTGTCGCGTTAATAATCAGCCTGGCCGTACAAGTTATAACCTAGAAATTATCGAACTAATTATTTATTTCGTAATGTTGTTTTGCAACATTAGACTTGAATTTAACTTGAAAATACGAGATGGACAAAATGTTTCTAAATGCAAAATAAAAATGATAATTATGTTTTATCAAAAAATGGTAAATATTCGAATTTAATATTGAGTTTATTTTTTATTATTCTCTTTCTTTAAATATCATTGTCAAAATATTTCTCCTCGATGCTCGATAATTTTATAAATATTAGCGATTAAAGTTTCATTATTATCTACAAATTGTATAATTTTAATCGAACTGACAATTACAACTGTAGGGTACTCCTACCCAGAGTAGGTCCAAGTTTTTTTATCGTAATATAGATAAATTTGAATAATGAAATTCATACATGAAGAATGTTTACTTAATTAATCTTTTAAATAAAGTGTCTTTGTATTTGTTCAAACGTATAACGTAAATAAAAATATAAAAATTTAGTACTGGATAATCTGGTGAGATTCTCCATCCACAGTAGCTGAAAACAAAGGAAGCATTAACGTAAAGTAAAGTAAAAATTTATGTTATGAATAAAGATATTTCATTTTTAACATTTTTACGTGTAAACGTAATTATTCAAATTTATCTATATTAACGTGATCTATGTAAATGTATCTATAAAATATCGTATTTCAACACGATGAAGAAAAAAATTTTGTATTGTAAGGGTCAGAACTATACAGACATTTTGTATAGTCGGGACAATGGAAAATGTGCACGCAACCGTCAGAAAATTCCAAGTTCTCGAATCGATTTTTTCGATTCAACTATATCTGGGTATGTTTTGCATCGCGTTATGTAAGAAAATTGTGAAAAATCACGCAACGATGGTGGTTGCGCGACTTTCGGTCTCGTCACGCCACACGGAGGCCACAATGAGGGTCGTATAATACGATACGTGTACCTTATTGCACAATTACATGGATCAATCGTGCACATTTTTCTCGACGAACGCTGCTGCAAACAAAATTACATGTACTTATAGAATTTAAAAAACATTTTCCTCCATTACGTTTAATAAACAATTTTCCAATTTCTTTGATAGTCGAATATCTCGTTTGATTATATTAGTATCGATTGTACGAATATAGAAATTTTTTAAAGGCCTCCAAAAAGATTTGTAGCGTTTATTGGAGGACGTCACGGTAAAGCAGAGTTCTATAATTAGTTTTATAATTTTTAAAATTACATATACTTATAGAATTTAAACAAATTTTACCCCGTTACGTTTAATAAACAATTTTCTAATTTCTTGGATAGTTGACGAATATCTCGTTTCATTATATTATTAATATCGATTGTACGAATATAGAAGTTTATTAATGGCCTCCAAAAAGATTTGTAGCGTTTATTGGAGGACGTGACGGTAAAGCAGAGTTCTATAATTAGTTTTATAATTTTTAAAATTACATATACTTATAGAATTTGAAAAAATTTTACCCCGTTACGTTTAGTGAACGATTTTCTAATTTCTTTGATATAGTCGACGAATATCTCGTTTCATTATATTATTAATATCGATTGTACGAATATAGAAGTTTATTAATGGCCTCCAAAAAGATTTGTAGCGTTTATTGGAGGACGTGACGGTAAAGCAGAGTTCTATAATTAGTTTTATAATTTTTAAAATTACATGTATTTATAGAATTTTAAAAAATTTTACCCCCTTACGTTTAATAAACAATTTTCTAAAATTTCTTGGATAGTTGACGAATATCTCGTTTCATTATATTATTAATATCGATTGCACGAATATAGAAGTTTTTTAATGGCCTCCAAAAAATTTGTGAAGTTTATTGGAGGAGGGCACGGTAAAGCAGAGTTCTATAATTAGTTTTATCATTTTTAAAATTACATGTACTTATAGAATTTGAAAAAATTTTACCCCGTTACGTTTAATAAACGATTTTCTCAATTTCTTTGATAGTCGACGAATATCTCGTTTGATTATTAGTAGACTGCGGACCTTTATGCAAATTCAAATTTTTATTAATAGAATTAATGAAATCAGAGCTTTCTAGAGCTCTGTCTCAACCCCTAAATATAATAATTCGTATCTTACTTTAAGTATTTCTTATATTTTTGCATATTGAATGCATTCTGTAGTTTTTTGAGGATTAAAATTTCCCATAAATGCATAAACATCCGCAGTCTAATTATTAGTATCGATTGCACGAATATAGAAGTTTTTCAATGGCCTCCAAAAAAGATTTGTGTAAAGCAGAGTTTTCTAATTAGGATTAGAATTTTCTTTTAGTAAACGTACCTCGTTCTTCGTAACGCGATCCCAATCGAGCAACATGAATTCAAGACTGACGTTGTTGAGACCATCCGGATCGTTTGGAATGTCGAAAACGAAGGACTCGTTGAATACAGGGCAGAGGGTGCGTTTCTTCACGCGTGTCTTCTTCTTGGCGATACGCTGATTGTTGTACAGAAGATAGATCTTTACGTATGGATCTGCCAGGCCTGTCACGTCCATTTTTGGTAAATTCTGCGCCTTCAGTACCACCACCGTCAGCCGGCTGTTGATCGGTTGCCAGCAAAGAGAGACCAGCAGCTCTCCTCTACCTTGCGATTGAATCTGCATCGAAAAACGCAACTGGTTTCTCCATACACTCCTTAACACCTTTTTCTCGATCGAGATTCTTCGTTGCATAATTTCTTTTCAGTTTTTTGCGATGTTCAAAGCCGAAATATTCGAGCAAAATGTGTAATAAATGGTAACAGAAATTGGGGGTTCCCCTAGACCCGGAGTTCCCCTAAAACCGGACAGTAGCGATATCTTTAAAGCGTGAAACGCTATGAGATCGTTATTTTACATAAATAATAGCAGGAATAGAATAAACAACAAAAACAATAAAAAATTCATCTTCAAACATGGTATTGCAACGATCGCGATTCAATTCGACGTAAAATATTTTCACTAACGTAAAATGTGGCAGTGACGGATGATATTTTTATCTCTAATATTCATTTAACATTGATAAGAGGAAAATTGATGATAGTCGCGTCATAATGAATTGACAGAGAATGTCGAATATAGAAACTTTATCATTCAGAGTATCAATAAAGGATTGCTTTTCATGGAAAGTGATAAAAATAATTGTCAGGTATCTCTTCACGTGGAAATTTCTCAGAACTTTAAAAGGTGCCTTTGTATTTGTTAGCGCGAATTACGTTATTTTCACGATTAAACTTGGAAAATAATTTCATGTAAAAATGTTCAATTTCCAATAGAAATAGCGTTGAAATACAAAAAAAAGATAACACCTTTCGAGTGATGTTTTGGCGGTGTAGTTTCAGTGTTCTCCCAGCGTTGCGAAACACGATCCTTGAAACGACATTAATTTTTCTTACCTTCAGGCTTCTGGGGCAGATTTTTCGACACAATGATATCTCCTGGTTATCAGCGTTGTCCAAACCGGCCACCGACGAGAGTGCACACGTCAATTCGCCGATAATATCGTCCCGAGAGTATCTATCGAAGCTGAGTACTATGAAGTGCAAGCTGATTTTCTGCGAACGATAACGGGAAAAGTTTGTTTTATCAATCGTTCGTCCAGCACGTATGCAAAGAGTCGATCCGAATGGATTAATTTCGCGTACGAAACACTCGATTACGCGAACATACCTGTCCTCCGTCTCCTTTCCTCAGTTCACACAAATGGAAGCGAAGAAACAATCAAACCCTTTGCACTCGGACATTTTAAATCTATCGAACAGATCGAGTGTTCCTCGTTCATTCAGGGGACACAAATAAGTTATTCCATCAATAATATAAGAAATGCTTGAAGCAAGAAGGCTCGAGGCTCTACGAAGTTTCAGTTCCATTGATTCTATTAATAAAAATATGAATTTTCTCGCTATAAAGTGTGTTTGAGGAAAAGTCTTCGAGTGCAAAGGGTTGAAAGATGAACCGAGAGATTCGATACCTGTAGCTGATCCTTCGATATCCCGAAGAACGTGAAGTCCTCGTCGTAGACAGGATCTCTGGTGTTTCTGAGCACCCTTGTCTTCACCTGATGCTGTTTGTCCGGCAACAGTTTTAGTTTAACGAAGGGATCGCTGGTGGCATTCTGTTCCCTCGCGGGCAGCTCCTTGCAATTGACGACGGTGACCACGAGCGCGTTCTGTTCGCTCAGGTAACGAAGCTTGAACACCAGCTGGCCCAAATTGTCCTTGTTGTTCTCCGACGTGTGATTCTTCTCGCGTTCCACCTTCTCATTGTTCTCGATCTCTGCCTTGTCGCGTTCGTTCTCGATGCTCAAGGTGACGTCGCCGGAAGGTGTTTGGGCCGGTGTACCTGTCGTTGGGTGAACAAGCATACGATAGAGGCGGACATTTTAATGGGAGATTCTAGAGACCAAAATAAGACGAAAATCAAGAATACCAATTTGTTGATCGAGGCTTCGTTAAATAGTTATTAACGTTTAAAGTTCCGCTTGTGGACAGGCAATCTGCGTACAGCTGCGTGCGCGCGACAGTGGTTCTCATTCAGCACGAGAAACTTTAAACGTTAATAACTTTTTAACGAAGCCTCGATCAACAAATTGGCATTCTTGATTTTCGTCTTATTTAGCCCTCTAGAATCTCCCATTAAAATTTTTTTACACCCTATACATATACATATACTTACGAATCCGAGTCAATAACTCTATGCTTCGCTATCAATAATTGTACTCGAAGTGTATTTATTCTATAAAAATAGATATCGAGCCCTGGAACTAGTACTTGCAAGCTTCGAAAAGATTCTTGTATGTTATGAATATTCGAACCTTTTGTAAACAGTACTCGAATCTTATAAATCAGAATTCTGCATTAACCCTTTGCATTCCTATGTCGAATGTGACTCGACGTCAGTTTTTATCTCAGCAGCTCCCACTCGACATTTTCTCGAGTCCAAACCAAAGAGATATAGTACACTTGAAAATTACAAAATACAACAATAGCGTAAGTAAAACAGATATTTCATTGAATTTGTTTAAATTTACCCCACGCTACCTAGCTACCTAGCTCACTCCTTTCAAGCTAGCTACCCAGCTCACTCCATGCAAGCTAGATACCTTGCTCACTCCTTGCAAGCTAGCTACCCAGCTCTCTCCTTGCTAGCCAGCTACCTAGCTCACTCCTTGCAAGCTAGCTACCCAGCTCACTCCTTGCTAGAAAGCTGCCTAGCTCACTCCTTCCAAGCTAGGTACCTAGCACACTCCTGGCGAGCTCGTAAACTGGCTCACTCCTTTCTGGCTACCTAGTTACCTATCTCACACCTTGCAAGCTAGCTACCTTTCACACTCCTTGCAAGCTAGCTACCTAGCTCACTCCTTTCAAGCTAGCTACCTAGCTGACTCCTTGTTAGCTAGCCACCCAGCAGACTCCTTGCTACGTAGCTACATAGGGCACACCTTGCTAGCTACCTACATAGCTCACTGCTTGCAATCTAGCTACGTAGCTCACTCCTTGCTAGCTAGCTAACTAGCTCACACCTTGCAAGCTAGCTACCTATCTCACACCTTGCAAGCTAGTTACCTAGCACACTCTTTTCAAGCTAGCTTACTAGCTCACACCTTGCAAGCTAGCTACCTAGCACACCCCTTTCTACGTAGCTACATAGGGCACACCTTGCAACCGTAAATTTCAAATAAAACACTTGGAAGTGTTGGAAGCTGCTGGTAACAAAATTCAAATACAATTCGGAGTGCAAAGGGTCAAGAATGGTGACACAGTGCTTGGTAACTGAGTTCATAAGACTCCACTGGTAACTTGTCTCCGTATTTAAAAAACTATCGAGCTTTTCAGATGTAATGTCAACGCCCACGCGCCAGATGTTAAAACGTTCTGGTCGCGATCATAACCGAACAATGTTACCCATCAATTGCACGCAAACTTTTACGCTCGATTTTCACTTTGCACTTCAGACGAACAATATTTGCAGATACGAGAACACCGACGCTTTCCTTTTTCAATTTCACGGATATCACAATATCTATATGCATAAAATGCATTATACACCGCGGAACATAACTATAGTACCGCCCACATTATTTATCCTGTACCCTTTCGCCTCATATAATTGATTTTTCTAAGTCTGAAAGATTTAACAATCTGGGTGATGCTATAATCCTCCTTAAAGAAACAATTTCTAATTTAACTACGCAATAAACATAGTTTAGATAATTATTATTACAAAGGATGTTGGTTCATACTAACAATAAGTACTATTATGAACAAAATGTTCGATTTTTTATTCTAGATCAAAGACTGCACGTCCAAAGAACGAGATCGGTCGAGTAGATCTTGAGATGTCATGGAAGCCAATTCAGAAGAGATAGTTTCGAGGAAAAACGCATTTAAACGGAAGGATCAGACCGTTGAAGTGTAGCTCGATCGAGCAATAAATTGTATCCTTTAAGAAAACGGAAGAAAAAAGAATATTTCGATACCCTTAACCCTTTGCACTCCGAATTATATTTCAATTTTGTTACCAGCAAATCCCAACGCTTATTTGAAATTTACGTTAACTAAAAAATAGGGCAATTTAAACGGATAGAGGAACAAACAAATTCAATTACACTATTGTTGTATTTTGTAATTTTCGAATGTATGATATCTCTTTGGTTTGGACTTGAAAAAATGTCGAGTGGGACTCGACATAGGAGTGCAAAGGGTTAAAGAAATCCATCCCTACGAAACCTGGTTGACGGTTATCAGTAGACTGCGGATCATTATGCAAATTCACATTTTTATTAATAGAATGGATGAAACGGAAGCTTCGCAGAGGTCTGTCTGAACCCCTAAATATAATAATTCGTATCTTAGTTTAAGTATTTCTTATATTTTTGCACATTAAATGCATTCTGTACTTTGTTGAGGACTAAAATTTCCTATAAATGCATAAACATCCGCAGTCTAGTTGTCAGTGAACGCGAGAATGTCGATAATATTTTGTCTTACCTGTACCTTGAGGCGTCCTTGGCTGAGAGTAAGGATTCGATGATTGAGACCCGGTGGGGCTTGGCGTCTGTCCACCGGAACCCGGAGGACTCTTGGCCGGTCCCGTGGGGCTCGGGCTCTTCTTCAGATAGTGGCTGGTACTGCCAGGACTCTTAACCGCCGTCGGTTTCCTGTGTGGCGGTCTGAACGCCAAGGACTTGTCGGAATTCAGTTTGGTGTGTTCGCGACGTCGCCGGCAAAGCCACCAGGTCATCGCGACGGCGCAAAGTAGAAAAACGCCGCCGATGCATAGCACGACCACCGTTGTCGTCGACACTGAAATCACACGTATTTCATTTCAGATCCATTTCCTCGTAAGCTTCCTAGATCTACCACTATCTCCGTCGAAACGATCATAATCTCCAACGGAGTATCAATTCTTGCAACTGCACCCTCAGCGTCCCTCGACATATTGCCATTGTTGCTCGCGATTATTCCTTTTACAAACACGAATAAACGCAAGGGGAATAATTTCTCGTATTACTTGGGACTAAAAAACGATTCTCGTTACTGAGAATTAAAATTCGAGTCCCATGTATCGCTCGACGCTACGACGCGTAGTTTATTTTAATTATCGACTATCGAGGAACGAAATGCAATATTGCAATCTTCCTACCCCGTTCGTGACGACGCGACGCGTTTAATTTTATCAACATGGCCATCGCGTACGTTAACATTTTCGTGAACGCGTATTTGGGAGGTCGGTTCGCGAACCGTGGAAAAGATTATTGACACCCGGAGTGGCGGAGCGATTAACGAGGTCGGGTGCCAAAAAGACTGCCACATGGTCTCTCCGGGGTAGTTAACTATAGAAGAAAACTGTCGCGTTTGGTCGCGAAAGATCATGGACTCTCCGTCGAGCATAACGTCTTTACGATTTACGGTTTAGAAGATTCGTGAGAGCTCGAGAGAACCGATCGCGATCGATGGAAACACCCCACGGGTCTGACTCATTCGCGATCGACGGTAACAGCTGTCCGCGGAGATCTCGCGATCGACGAGCTACGCGATCACGGATCACGGATCACGGATCTACGGAATCAACGGAACAGCGCTCGAGATCTGTCGCTGAAAATGATTCGAGGATCGCGTTCGGATCGGAATCGTCGACGGGAGGGTCGATGTTGCGTGGATCGTAGGATGGTTGTTGGTCTACGAGGATAAGGTCGAAAGACGATTTCTCGCGATTACGAACTCCACTCACCGGGATCGACGGGTCGTATAAGAGGTCCGTCCTCCGTCACTCCTCCGATCATGTTCGGCCACGTTTTTCACCACGTATTTTCGACGCTTTTATCCGCGTAAGTCACACAGCCACGGCGCACTGAACGAATATTTACGGTGTGCGGACCATTCCGTGGTATTCCGTGGCGACCATCGGACGAAATGTTTCGATCAATAATAACGGCGTGAGCTTGCGCGGAATACGCGCCACCGGAAAGGAACCGACGACGACGACGACGACGACGACGACGACGGCGACGCCTGGCCAGAGGCGTCGGTCCACGGATGGAAGAAGAGACGTGCCCCGCGGGTAAAGACGAATTTCCTTCGCCACTGGATCATTAGGATGGATCTCGGTTACTCTCGAGAACAAATTTAGTTCGCGATTTTAATCGTGGGACACCTCGAATTTGTTACATTTCGGGGGAAAATCATTTCTACCGAAAAATTCGAGTCGATTTGGAGAACAGAGAGACGTGTCGGAACGAGTCTGTTGATTGTGAAGAAATTAAATATCATTTTATGGGGGTATTTTACTGTAAAACGTGCCTTTTTTTAAATACTTCCTAAGATACTTCGATCCATCCAGAAGTTATGATTTTTTAAACGTACGCGTGAAATTTCGGGGACAACATTTCTGGCGATACATTATATTTTCGGTAAAGAATTTTATTGTTAAAATTTCGTTGAAGTGTATTCACTATTGTAAGAGTTATGGCCGTTTGGAAATTGGGCCATTTTTATGGGGGTTTTCTCACTTTACGGGGTTGAGGAACAACTTTTTGAATATTTTTGGAATTTCCACGTATTCTACGTCAAAATAGGCGTTGTTTGCCTTTTTGAACATTAAAATCGTCCAATCCGTTGAGCAGTTATGATTTTTCAAAGATTCGAATGTAATTTCGGGGAACCATTGGATTATATTCTCGGTAAGGAATTTTTTTCTCGAATATGCCCAAGAATCCGGGGGTATGTCTAATCACCAAAAATGATTGTAATTAAGCCCTGCAACTAAAAATAATTTTTTTAGTACGATTTTAAATTTTTAAATTTTTTGAAAAATTTCATGCCTTGTCGAATTTTTTTCTAGAAACTGGGTAGGATATCGGGGGTATATTTATTGACCAAAAATTATTGCAATTGATCCCTGCAATAGAAAATAATTTTTTCAGAGTGATTTGAAACTTTTCCATTTTGCCAAAAGATTTCACACCTTGTCGAATTTTTTTCTAGAAAGTGGGTAGGATTTCGGGGGTATGTCTATTGACCAAAAATTATTGTAATTGACCTCTGCAACCGAAAATAATTTTTCTAGAACGATTGAAAAACTTTTACTTTTTTGAAAAATTTGGGCACCTACCCTGTCGATTTTTCTTAGAAATTCGTTTTTCATTTTTAATGACGTTGTTTAACGTCCGACAGAAAAGTTGTTCAATACTTTTTTGTAGGTACTCATGAGCACTACATCAGAAAAAAATTTCATCGAGATATATTCACTATTGTAGGAATTATGGTCGTTTGAATATTGGACCATTTTTATGGGGGTTTTTTCACTTTACGGGGTCAAGGAACAACTTTTCGGAACTTCTTAAAATTTCTGCATATTCTTCATCAAAGTACGCGTTGTTTACATTTTTAAACTTTAAAATCCTCCAATTCGTTCAGGAGTTATGATGGTTTAAAGATACGCAGAGGGAACATCTCTGGCTACAGATTATATTTTCGGTAATGAATTTTTTTCTCGAAAATTGTTAGGTTTTTGAGGGTACATGTATTCACCAAAAATGATTATAATTGACGCCCGCAATCAAATATAATTTTTCCAGAATGATTTGAAATTTTTTTTTTCGACGAAAAATTTAGGCACCTCCTGAATTTTTTTTCTCGAAACTACGTAGGATTTCGGACATATGTGTATTCACCAAAAATGATTATAATTGACGCCCGCAATCAAATATAATTTTTCCAGAATGATTTGAAATTTTTTTTTTCGACGAAAAATTTAGGCGCCTTTTGAATTTTTTTTCTCGAAAATGCGTAGGATTTCGAGGGTATATGTATTCACCAAAAATGATTACAATTGACTCCTGCAATTGAAAATAATTTTTCCAGAATGATTTGAAATTTTTTAATTTAATTTCTTTATCCTATTTTTTTTTTATCAAGTTGAACAAATCCAGAGGATCGCGCATAAAAATTTCGATAATCGTAAGCAAGGTCCACCAGAGTGGTAGTTTATATCTGTAGTTTCTATGCATTTCTGCCAGCAAGCAACAAATAAACTGTTTTCGATAATAATCAGTCGCTTGGAGGAAGTTGTCTAGACGTTTGAGCAGATGCTAATCTTATTAGCGAGAGAAACGGTGATTAAGAGAAACGAAGGACATCGTAAACAAATGATGGAGCAGCGAACAGAACATCGGTGTACATCAGAGTTCGCAGTTTACACTTTGTCTAGCTACGATCCAACCACAACGGCCGGCACGGATTAATTGGATCAAATGGAATCAACGACAGGAAAATAACGGTTACAGTATTCAGCATAAGTGGAATTTGCTTTGATTAAGGCAATGCACGATCTGGTAAACGGGCATTGCACGCGTCAGAGAGGAATTTGAACTGTGAAAGGCTCGTTCCACCAGCTTGATCGCTAGCATACTGCACCAGCAGATTATGACCTATCCAATACAACCCAACGTTATCCAAATGGAAAGAAAATAACCATTACTCCGCCATAATTATTTCTGTAAACACGTTACTCCTCTATGTTGTACAAGATGACTCAAAAACCACTTTGGCGTATACTCTTGTTCGATATTTATATAATTAGTCATAGTAACTGTCATGCTCCAAAAATAAAGATAAAAAAATATTTGTATTACTACGATGATACGATATCTAAAGAATGACTGCTGTTGGACCTACGCCAAACGAAATCAAAATAAGAAGTCGGGTAAATAAATGATAATTGGGTCTGTATCGAGTTTGTTCGGCAAATAAAATAACTCTGACCCTACTTTCGAGGTTACGAGTCAAGTCTAGCCAGAAAGTTATCGTCGTTCGCCTTTTGTCAATTGCATCATCGCTATCTTATCCGTTATGTCCGTGACGTCACGCGACGCGGAACAGAGCATGCGCGTTCCGCCGCACGAATATCCCCACGGATGTTCCCGTAGGAAAACGTGGTTTTCCCCGGCGCATGTTTACCTACGCTTTGACCAATGGCGGCACGCAACGTTCTTACGTTACTCGTCGACGTACAAGGCGCTCCAAAATCAATGGACACGCGATCCCCAGGAAGAATTCAAAACGTAAACATAAGCAACACAAACTAATATTTATTCTTTCCAAAAATACGGTTACATTGTTTTAAACTTCATCGTATAAAATTTTATTTCAAACATTTCCTTGGAAGCAGTACAAAATTATTTTACGTTACCAAGTTACTTAATTTAAAAATGTTTTTCAACTCTTTCCTGTTCAAAATAGATTTATCTAATTACGGAGAACATTGAGCATACGTATGTATATATGTTGTTGTGATCTTCCTTTTACGAAAGTACAAACAATACTAAAAAGAACAAACCGTTATTCCAAGATTTTCGATCTGCAATAATAAACAAATAGAAACTTGATCTCTTCGCCTGAAAAAATGTGATAAAACTCTTGTGAGAACCATAATAGTTACAAGCAGACCAAAAAATTACGTGCAAGTAACGAATTGGACATTAATACTTGAAAATTAATAAAAAAAGAAAAATAAGGCTTTATATCGACGCTCGTCATAGCGAATTTTGAGAAAAAAGACCGAAAGAAACAGTCTATAAAGGAAAAATAAATTTGAATAGAATTTTTGAATTTTAACAAGTACCGAAACAAATTTTTGCTTTTGTAAATGGTGTTGATTTATCTTCGATCGACGAGAGCATTTAAAATAATTGTTAATAAATCAATATTTTTTCATTAGATGTCTGAAACGAATAGATCTTTTAAATCTACTATAGTAATTAAACAATTACTTCTAACGAATTAATAAATTTTTTAATTCCACAAATAATACCAATAAATTGAATAAATTAATTATTGTTTTTATTATTAACTTTCGTCGATCTTGCAAGGAAGGAACGGTTCCACGCGACAGGCTGTCATCGAGGAACGTTTGAACGAGCCTGTACGCCTGCGCGTCAGCTGGTGTCTGCGCAGAAGCCAAACGTCGATCGATTGGTTCGCAGCAGCGTGGTACTCGTACATGCACGATCAGACCGGCTTCACCAGCGGCTTGATATAGCCACGGTGTGTGCGCGCTTCGTCGCGAAGCGAAAACTTAACGAACGGATTCGCTAAACAGCCATCCAACGTGACGGAAATAATTGATCGAGTACCGCGGATCGTGCACCGACGCGAGTGTCGTTCGAGCCGGCAAATATGGGCCTCAAGGATTTCCGGATAATCTTTGACAATCCATGGAGCACGTACTATCCAGGACAGACGGTCAGCGGGAACATAATCGCCGTGCTGGACAGCACAAAGAAGATTCGCGGTACGTTGAAACCGATATGTCGCAAACGTTCCACGAAACCAGCTATTTTCGTGTGTCCGTTAATTCCGATCGTGCACGTTGCCTGGCAGAATTTACCGACCGACAGGTGTCACTGGACCAGGCTCGACCAGAGGCGTTTCCAATCGTTTATCCAACGAATTCCAATGATCTATGCAAGATCACGAACAACGTATCACATGTATTTATAAACATGGAAAACATGGACCAACGGTTATTTTATATTTTATATTTTCTCACTGGGTGTCACTTGGTCCGGGATGTTTCAACAACGTATCGTACGTGTTTGTCCCAAGACGAGTCATTGTACAATTAAAGCATGGTTACGCCTCGTCGGGGTTCGTCATTGAGATTATTTTCATCCGTGGACGCGCGGGGAAAGCAACAAAAATGGGAATTTCTCGGTATTCGGGGGAACCCAGAGTGTCAGAATTTTTGGAAATCGTTAAGATTTCGTAACGGGTAAACCAACGATTACAGGGGGAAATGTTTGGGTGCGTTCTCCTCGACTCGTAAGTTCCAAAACGCGTGGCATCGACGAGGGGGGAGGGAGGGAGTCTCGTGAAACGTTCTATTTCGAGTTTCGTTCTAATTCGTAAGGGACGCCCGTTGCATATCTCGAAATTGTTGTCACCCGCATTCCCACGGGGACTTTTTCCTTACCGCAAGGTGTCGTTTAATTATAGCACGGCCATGCACAACACCCGCACAGTGGAAATGGATAGTAACGATCAGCCGTGGAACTTTTGTTTTCGTCACGCTATACACATACATATATCCGTTACCGTCCTTACAATTGTATCTCCTCTAATACATCTATACATCTGCTCGACGATATTTATGCAATGGAATTTCGTTGTCCTGGACGCTTCTATCGTAAATATTATTTCCACGTTATGAGAGTGTTTGCAAATATTTTCTCGTTGCTCCCGTTTTCCAACACCTGTTAAAAGGAGTTTGTTGGCACGAATAATTGTTAAATATATTATACATACAATTAACAGTCTAAGACAACGTCTAATACATCTATATATCTTGTCCTAGATGATTCTATTGTAAATAGTATTTCTACGTTATGAGAGTGTTTGCAAATATTTTCTCGTGGCTTCTGTTTTCCAACACCTGTTAAAAGGACGAATAACTGTTAATTATATTATTATTAACCCTTTGCACTCCTGTGTCGAGTGTGATTCGACATCAATTTTTAAATTTTTATCCGAGGAGCTTCTTTTTTAAGTCCCACTCGACATTTTTTCAAGTCCAAACCAAAGAGATATACACTTGAAAATAACAAAATAAAACAGATATTTTAACAGGTAAATTTCAAATAAAACACTTGAAGGCGTTTGGGAGCTGCTGGTAACAAAATTGAAATAAAATTCGGAGTGCAAAGGGTTAACATCGTATCACGGAGGAAAAATGATTAATACAATTTCAATTTTGTAAAAGAATTATTGAAACCGTTATCTACGTTGCTCGAAAATTTTATTTCCCATTTTAATTCGAGGTTTTTCCGTTTGCAGGAATAAGCGTGAAAGTAAAAGGTGTCGCGAATACGTGCTGGACAACCGACAAACAAGAGATGGATGATAGGGGACAATACAGAGAGGGGACACAGACAGTCACTGCCCACGAAGAATATTTCGAGACAAAGTATTATCTGGTTGGATCCGCTTCTGGTAAACTTCCAAACGAACATACATACATACGTGTATCTATGTATTAACATTTCTTTCTTTCAACTATACTCGAGTGTACTGTCTTTGGGAATTTCAAACAAACTGTAACTCTCGTTGCAGTGATTATTCACAGTGTCTGAAGAAAATTTAAACATTTTTTGGACCAGAATCCTGTTAAGAAAAAGGACGAGATTATTTCTCAGGCACTGGATACATGTACATTCATTGCCCGCTGAGAATGTTCCAGTTACAACAAATTGTTTTTGTCTCGAATGTTTCGTTGCGACGAGCGACCGTTCCATTACATATTTTCATGTCCAACGGAACGTTTCTGTACTGCCTTAGTTTTGCTTTTATATAAATTCATATCTCGTTCGTTTTGTGTCTATGTTTATTAGTTTATATCCTGACCTCATCAACAAATCCCAATTCAAATGTGTTTCTTTTTCAGGAGGCGAGATCGAGATACAAAGCGGCGACCATAAATTTCCGTTTCAATGCGTTCTACCGACCAATTTGCCGAGCAGTTTCGAGTCTGATTTTGGGCACGTTCGTTACACCGTCAAAGCAACTTTGGATCGACCCTGGAAGTTCGATCAAGAAGTGAAGAGTCCCTTCACTGTGATTCTGCCCCTCGATCTTAATCAAGAATTAAGAGCTTCGGTACCGATTCATCAGCATTTTAATATCTACAGAATCGTTTAAACGCAAATGTGATATTTATTAAAAATTAGCTAGTTTCCTTCATTGTCCACACATTTCGATAAGAAGTATTTTCCTCTGTACGGTACAGACAGAACAATAATCGACCCAGAAACCATTTTTCACGTCAACATACGTGCATGTAACAGCGATGATATAATCGTTTGATTATTATCACTGAACTTGCACGCGCTTATGTACGTTGAAACATTTACGATTCGCTTCGAACAAACATAGCAACCTCGAAATCTCTTTAAAGTATTTAAACTTTTTCTAATAATACTTGTTAGTTTCTAATAATTATATTCTAATAATTATATAATTATTCTAATAATTATATTCTCACATTTTTTACATTTCTCGAAAGATAATTTCGAGAAACTTCTATACCGGGAATTTATTGTTTTTCAGGAAAAAGTTCAAGAGGAGATGAGCAAAACGTTTTGCTGTTTATGTTGCGCGACCGCGCCTCTGACTGTGAATTATTCTTTACCGGTCAGAGGCTATGTACCAGGCCAGTCGATGTCGATCAAGATCAACGTTGAAAATCAATCGGGAGTGACGGTGAATACTGTGAAGCTCATTCTTTGCAAGGTATGTGCAAAGTCGCTGGTTGTACAGGGCGCGGGGAAATTTGTAAAAGCGTGGATTAATCTTTCTCCGCGCGAGAAAACGCTGTTATCGAGAAAATCGATTTTGAAAGTTTGCTAATTGTATTGGCGTTCGTAAACATCGATATCGTTTCTTTATGCAAGAATAAAAATTAAAGGTAAATTCGCTTGGATCTCGAGAGTTTTGAATCATAATATATTCTTTATTATTTTTGTATAAAAAGAATTTATAGTATTTCACATTTTCGATTTATTTTTACAGGAAGAATTACCTTTTTTTTTATATTCCGTGTATCGTTTCTTTATGCAGAAATAAAAATTAAAGGTAAATTTGCTTGGATTTCGAGAGTTTCGAATCATAATATTGTTTATTATTTATTTACAAGAATTTATAGTATTTCTGACTTTCGATTTATTTTTACACGAAGAATTATCCTTTTTTTTATGTTTTGTGAATCATTTAACCGCGTCCTGTACAGACGTTTGTGCAGTGTAAAACGTTTGACGATAACGACGAATGGTAAAGTCTAGATCGTAACCTTCCGTGCAACCACACCGAGCAACGACACGAGAACCGAGGAAATCGTCGTCTCAGAGGTTGGCAAAGGACCCGTCGAAGGAGGGGGAACAGCCGATTACGAGCAGAATCTCGAAATTCCGCCACTGCCACCGTCCAATTTGACCAATTGCGGTATCATCGACTTGGAATATAATCTGAAGGTCGTGGCCTGCGTTTCGGGATGGTCAGTACACGTTATAAATTTTAACGGGGGATTCTCGAGGCCAAAATAAGACGAAAATCAAGAATATCAATTCGTAGATGGAGGCTTCATTAAAAAGTTATTCACAATTAAATTCAAAAATTTCAAATCGTTCTGGAAAAATTATTTTCGTTTGCGGGAGTCAATTACAATCATTTCTAGTCCTTACACATACCCCCGAAATCCTACGCACTTTCGAGAAAAAAATTCTTTACCGAAAATCTAAATAGGTGCCTTTTTTCGATAAAAAAGAAAAATTTCAAATCGTTCGGGAAAAATTATTTTCAGTTGCGGGGGTCGATTACAATCATTTTTGGTGAAGAGACATACCCCCGATATCCTACCCAGTTTCTAGAAAAAAATTCGAGAATGTGTGAAATTTTTCGACGGAAAAAAAAAATTTCAAATAGTTTTGGAAAAATTATTTTCGGTCGCAAAGGTCCATTACAATCATTTTCGGTGAATACACGTATCACCGAAATCCTATCCATTTTCGAGAAAAAAAATCGGGTAGGTGCTGAAATTTTTCGGCGAAAAAAAATTTTTCAAATCGTTCTAAAAAAATTATTTTCGGTCGCGGGGGTCAATTACAATCATTATTGGTCCTTACACATACCCCCGAAATCCTACGCACTTTCGAGAAAAAAATTCTTTACCGAGAGTATACCGTGTGGCCAGAAATATTTCCCCAAAATTTCATGCATATGTTTAAAACATCATAACTCCTCAAGGGATTGGACAATTTTAACGTTCAAAAAGGCAAACGACGCGTATTTTAATGAAGAATATGTAGAAATTCTAAAAATATTCGAAATGTTACTCCTTCATCCCGTAAAGTGAGAAAAACCCCACAAAAATGATCCAATTTTCAAACAGCCATAACTCCTACAATAGTGAATATATCTCAATGAAACTTTTTTCTGAAGTGGAGCTCATAGGTACCTATAAAAAAGTATTACACAACTTTTCTGTAGCGCGTCAAACAAAACTATTAAAAATTAAAAAGGAATTTCTAAGAAAAATCGAAAGGGTAAATTTTTCGATAAAAAAGAAAAATTTCAAATCGTTCGGGAAAAATTATTTTCGGTTGCGGGGGTCGATTACAATCATTTTTTGTTAAGAGACATACCCCTGATATCCTACCCAGTTTCTAGAAAAAAATTCGAGAATGTGTGAAATTTTTCGACGGAAAAAAAAAATTTCAAATAGTTTTGGAAAAATTATTTTCGGTTGCGGGGGTCGATTACAATCATTTTTGGTGAACAGATATACCCCCGAAATCTTGCGTGTTTTCGGGGAAAAAATTCAGTAAGGGCGGAACTTTAAATGTTAATAACTTTTTAACGAAGCCTCAGTCAAGAAATTAATATTCTTGATGTTCGTTTTATTTTGGCCTCTAGAATCCTCCATTAAAATTTTTTTCAGGGGTGGTCGAACACCCTGTATGTATTGCTTCGAAGTATTCATCGATAATTTTCACGGTTCGCTTAAATTACGATTGAAACTTCCTACCTGGTACAGAACTAACAACAGAGCCAGAAAATTGAAAATGGAACGAGAGATTCGATAATTGGAATACCAGAATTCCATAATCACCGTGACTCGCAAATTTCTTTGATGCAAAATTTAGGAAAAAACGATGCTAAAATTGTGTTCCCAGGTACTATCGAAATTTGTCGAGGAACACGGTCATTTACGTGGGCACGGTGCCACTAGTGAATTATCAGACTCCAAGTGCACCACCGGCAGAGGCGATGAAACCGGAAGTTGGATGGACGGCCCCCGATGGAATACCAACATCGAGCTTATATCCTGATTTACGTAAGAATACAACACTTTTTTTAAAATATTGATTTATGAGTTAATATTTAAGTAAGTACCTTTTCCTCTATATTGGATAAAAATTAATTTTAATATACGCGTATCGAATATATTTTTTCAGCGCCTCCGTCGTACGAGGAATCGACGAACGGTGCTAGAAGTCTTTGGGAACGCGGTGAATCCGAGCACGTTTTCGGTTTGACGAATCGTTTCGCGCCTAGATATCCGGTTTACAATTTCGTGCCTATACAATGAACAACGAAACGAAGCTATCGAAGGTTTTATCCGTAAAGAAAAAAAATCGTTCGTTTCACAGCGCAGCCTGCAAAGCACTTTCCAAGAGCTTCGTAACGATAACGAAAGTAGAGATTCGTGTTTGATCAAGTTGACAGTCTCGATTCTTATGGTGATCTTTTTCACCGTTTCGTTTTGCTTGAAACAGGAAACTATCAAATGTTCGATCAAGCTAATTGTTTATAAGTCACTTTGTTCCAAAGGATTCTCCATCTTGAGAATTTATAAACTTTTAGGCTGTAAGGACGCGTTTCGTGACTGGTCAAGTTTGAATTTGTGTGCCTCGAGTAAACAAAGATATTTTTGGTCAATTAAGACGTATAGTTCATAAATTTTCTACAAACGATCAAAGTCTGAAATTGTACATTGATATAACGATATACAAAGCAATATTAGCTAATTACCGCTGTCAGAACGCACCGGCTTTAATGAGAATTTGCTTAATTTACAATTTTTTTGTATGTATATAATTGTGTATTATTATTACTTATACAGATATACCGTATTTTAAAGGAACGAAGAAAAATTTAAATGCAAACAAGATCTGTATGCATATTTATCATGTTGTGAATAAAACATACATGTTTTTCATACATATTGTAATTATGAAATTCCATCGACTGTTCGTACGATTTCGTAATAACAGGGCACACCTCTGCATGTTTACATATTTTCTTATCCGAAGCTAATCCAAGACTGATATTCGCGTCTCACGATTGCGTTTTACTTCCAAATAAAATTGCATTACCACAATTTACAAAATTAAATACATCGGAGACTTAATATGTTTTCATAAAATATAATAATAATAGATACATATTAAAAAAGAAACGTTTTATATTTTTGCTTATTTTTATGAAATAATCATTATCTGGTAACATCGGAAACATTTAATAGAATCATTACGAACGAAACTATCCGAATAGTTCACTTATTGGTTGTAGTATTTCAATAAACAGTCTATCGACGCGTATTGAAATTACTAAAACTTTACACGCATGCAGTTCCGGAACTACCAGTGTTGTATCAATAATTGAGCCATCGTTAGAAGCAGCAAAGCCTCCCCTTTAAAATGGCGTTTGAATTATGTCGATCCGACTTTCCGTTCCGGAGATATCGTCGTGTAAAGGAAAGTGTAATTTTTTAAATTCTACTATCTCTGTCTCCGTCTCACGCGTCGGACCTCTCTCTCGCTCTCGCGTCTTGCTAGTCTACCTCAAGCGCGTGACCAGTCTATTAGCGCGCATTGAATCACTAAAACTTTACACGCATGCAGTTCCGGAACTACCACTGTTATATTAATAATTGAGCCATCGTTAGAAGTGGCAAAGCCTTCCCTTTAAAGTGGTTTTTGAATCATGTCGATCCGACTTTCCGTTCCGGAGATATCGTCGTGTAAAGGAGAGTGTAATTTTTTTAAATTCTACCATCTCTGTCTTCGTCTTACGCGTCGATCTCTCTCTCTCTCTCTCGCTCTCGCGTCTTGCTAGTCTACCTCAAGCGCGTGACCAGTCTATTAGCGCGCATTGAATCACTAAAACTTTACACGCATGCAGTTCCGGAACTACCGGCGTTATATCAATAATTGAGCCATCGTTAGAAGCAAGAAAGCCTCCCCTTTAAAATGGCTTTTGAATTATGTCGATCCGACTTTCCGTTCCGGAGATATCGTCGTGTAAAGGAAAGTGTAATTTTTTAAATTCTACTATCTCCGTCTCCGTCTCACGCGTCGGATCTCTCTCTCTCTCGCTCCCGCGTCCTGCTAACCTACCCCAATCACGTGACCTGCGCGGTGGTCAGTGCGCGTAGTACTCACTACTGGCACGAATGCGTACGCATTTAAAAGGGGTCGTAGTAGTGCCAAGAATTTCCTCGACCATTGCGTGCTTATCAATGAAATGCAACGAAGCCTCGTATCTTTGGAATAACCACGGTATCGGTTCGAAACGAAATTCGTTGTATCTCCGTAACTAACCAAGGGATCGACTTGAAACAAAATTCGTTTTCCAGGGCACATCGTCGTCTATCCGACGGATATAGCAACTGTTTAAATTTACTTTTACGCTATGCACTCAAAGCAGTTTTCCCTATTCGCTATATTGTAGTCCGTTATCTTTTGGATTATGAATTTGTCGAAAGTACTTATTCTAGAGGTTAAAATAAGACGAAAATTAAGAATACCAATATGTTGATGGAGGCTTCGTTAAAAAGTTATTAACGTTTAAAGTTCCGCCTGAATTTTTTACTGAATTTTTTTCTAGAAACTGAGTAGGATTTTGTGGGTATGTCTATTCACCAAAAATTATTGTAATTGACCCCCGCAACGGAAAATAATTTTTTCAGAATGATTTGAAATTTCTTTTTTGCCGTAAAATTTAGGCACCTTCTGAATTTTTTTCCTCGAAACTACGTAGGATTTCGGACATATGTGTATTCACCAAAAATGATTGCAATTGATCCCCGCAACGGAAAATAATTTTTTCAGAACGATTTGAAATGTTTTTTTTTCGTCGAAAAATTTACGCAGCAAATTAGATTTTCGGTAAAGAATTTTTTTCTCGAAAGTGCGTAGGATTTTGGGGGTATGTGTAATGACCAAATATGATTGTAATCGACTCCCGCGATCGAAAATAATTTTTTTAGAACGATTTGAAAAATTTTTTTTTCGCCGAAAAATTTCAGCACCTACCCGATTTTTTTTCTCGAAAATGGATAGGATTTCGAAAGTATGTGTAATGACCAAAAATTATTGTAATTAACCCCCGCAACCGAAAATAATTTTTCCAGAACGATTTGAAAAATTTTTGATATTAATTGTTAATAACTTTTTAACAAAGCCTCCATCAACAAATTTGTATTCTTGATTTTCGTCTTATTTTGGCCTCTAGAATCTCCATGTTCCATCCAGATGATCGATTGAAATATTTAATTCTCCTTGCTAAGTTATACACGGAAATTTTTAAATATTTAAGTTTTCTCATTTACACGTATAAACCTATATTTCTATTTGATAAAAGACTCTGACATCGGCATCAGATTGTCCTGCATGCTGCTAACAATAAACTGTTCGACCGTTTTTTCGTATTATCCCGTTCTCGTTACTCACGTTTATAAATTAAACTGGCACGAATATGAATTATTGAAAAGCTTGGGCATAATTTAATCATTTATAGACACTCGAGATTGAAAATAACCGTAAATGCATTGTAAGGATCATTATACGACATCCTTGTGCGCGTAACCAGGTTGTTTTCTGGCATTTTGCCAAAGTCAAGATTGTCGAACGAGAATCAACTCGAAGAACTTGGGTGGATTCTGTCCTATCTGCAATGACGTTGCACATCGTGTCTTCGTTCATGTAGTTTGCAATTTCCGGATCATCTGGAAAGGACACTTTCCACGGAAAAGTCAGCTTGACAACGTCGATCGAGCGACAAATAATGAGAAAATTATTTTACCCGTCGTTTCAGAATTAAATTCGACCACAAAACCTATCAATAATCCTTATATATTCTTCAAAAGAAAAATGGAGGACGTTTTTCACATAACGTTTAGAATTTTTGAACGTAACAGTGAATCGATAGAGATCTGTAAGGCATTTGGGAACATTCTGCCAGTCGATTTTAGGCGGTGACCTAAACAAGAATAAAAGACAAAAGATGTCAAGAACGATATCGAGGATCCTTGTTAAGCTTCCCCGCGATCAATTGTCACAGAATTATCATCGTCGTCGCTAGACTGCGTTCTTGAGTTACGATCCAGGGTACGTCGAGAGATAGGCGAACGTCTGCGAGATAAACGCGATCGAGAAAAGGGAACAAACCGTAAGATGGAAATGCGCAGAATTTAAAAACTGGAAGAATTTCTCGGCATGAAATACTTTCCACGAATAAACCGGGTCTGGAATGTCGTTTATATTCGGGTTAATCGGGGGCCAATTCTCGGGAAATCAAATATACCGGATAATTGGACTATGCTTTCGTACGAAGTGAATAAAAACGAGGAATATAGTGTCACAGACGAGGAATACGAGTGGACATAACATCTAATGTGTTTTTTGGGGATTTAGAGCCCCCATTACCATTTTCGTATCTCACTGGCGACATTACCAACAGGTTACAGAAATAAACACAAGAGGAAGTGAGACAGAAAATGAAATTAGAAAGACGTTTCCGGCCACGCATTATATTTTCGGTAAGGAATTTTTTTTCTCGAAAATGCGTAGAATTTCGGGGGTATGTGTAATGACCAAAAATGATTGCAATTGACCCCTGCAACCGAAAATAATTTTTCCAAAACGATTTGAAATTTTTTTTTTCCGTCGAAAAATGTCTCACCTCTCGATTTTTTTCTCGAAAATGCGTAGGATTTCGGGGATATGTCCATTGACCAAAAATGATTGCAATCGACCCCTGCAAACGAAAATAATTTTTCCAAAACGATTTGAAATTTTTCTTTTCCGTCGAAAAATTTCACACATTCTCGAATTTTTTTCTAGAAACTGGGTAGGATATCGGGGGTATGTCTCCTCACCAAAAATTATTGCAATTGACCCTTGCAATTGAAAATAATTTTTTCAGAGTGATTTGATACTTTTCAATTTCGCCGAAAAATTTAGACTCTCTACCTCTGTCGATTTTTCTTGAAAATTCGTTTTTGATTTTTAATAATTTTGCTTGACGCTCTAGAGAAAAGTTGTCTAATACTTTTTTGTAGGTACCCACGAGCTCTACTTCAGAAAAAAGTTTCATTGAATTATATCCACTATTGAAGGAGTTATGGTTATTTGAAAATTGGATCACTTTTAGAGGGTTTTTCCTTATTTTACGGGGTTAAGGAACAACTTTTTGAATATTTTTGGAATTTTCACGTATTCTCCATCAAAATACGCGTAATTTGCCTTTTTGAACATTAAAATCGTCCAATCCGTTGAGGAGTAATGATATTTCAAAGATTCGAATGTAATTTCGGGGAACCATTGAATTATATTTTCGGTAAGGAATTTTTTTCTCGAATATGCGTAAAAATTCAGGGGTATGTCTAATCACCAAAAATGATTGTAATTAAGCCCTGCAACTAAATATAATTTTTTTAGCGTGATTTTAAATATTTCAATTTTATCTAAAAATTTCAGTACCTACTCGAATTTTTTTCTCGAAAGTGGGTAGGATTTCGGGTGTATGTGTATTCACCAAAAATGATTGCAATTGACCCCTGCAATCGAAAACAATTTTTTCAGAGTGATTTGAAACTTTTCAATTTCGCCGAAAAATTTCACACCTTCTCGAATTTTTTTCTCAAAAGTGCGTAGGATTTCGGGGGTATGTATAATAATAAAAAATAATTGTAATTGACCCCCGTAACTAAATATAATTTTTTTAGCGCGATTTTAAATATTTTAATTTCATCTAAAAATTTCAGTACCTACTCGAATTTTTTTCTCGAAAATGCGTAGGATTTCGGGGGTATGCCCATTGACCAAAAATGATTGCAATTTACCCCTGCAACCGAAAATAATTTTTTCAGAACCATTTGAAATT